GGAAAACCAAACAGAAAACGAAAACTTAAAACGAAAACGCAACAATTAAAGTGCAATTAAAAAATTTCGAATTTAATTAGACAATACAAATTATTATTGTTGTTGAAGCTAACAACAAATTAAATACAGAAACGGAAAAAAAGGCTAAAAATCGGTCAAAAATAATTTATGCAACTTCTGAACATCCGATAAGCGTAAAGAAAACAACAAAACAATCGAGTGCAAAATGAAACTTTTTTTCGTAGGCGTTTTGTTACACAAAAACAATGAAAAAGTAAAAAGTATTTAGAGCAAAAATTAAAGGCAGCAACAATAATGAATAAAAAAAAACAGGCGGTTTTGTGTGGGTTGACTATGTGAGGCAACACAGACGAACACATACACATCCATAGAGAAAAACTGAGGTAAAACAATTGAAGTATGACCAAATGCAGAGAGTTGTCCGCACGAGGAAGAAGAAGAGCAAGTGCACTGAAAAAAATATGGGGTTAATATGTTATAGTATCCCAACTTCATCGAGAAGTGGTATAATTTTTTATTGAAAAATTCTCGTTTGCCTTAATACATTATGGGGAAAGTATATTCTTATAATTAAATAAAAAAATTTAAACCCAGTAATAAACATTGTAAACTTTCCAAACCTTAAATATTTAATTTAATTTTAATATATAATTTAGAAAGTATTCAGCAAACTAAAGATAATAGTTTTATTATATGATTAGAATATGAAATAAATTTTAAAGATACAAAAGGTATGTTGGAAACACAAGCAATGGTTTCTGTATTCCATTTTTCGACAAATTTGTGTAATAACATTTTTATAAAATATATATTTAGGAACTACATATAACTATTTTATAAACCTTTACAATGTAAAGCAACAAAATAACATCAATTTCTTTCTGTGCTCCGTGAAAAGGAGAAAGATGAAGCAGTAAACAATCCCGGGCAACCGTCCAAGTTAGCCCAGTTAGCAACGTGCAACGTGCTTGTGTTGTGGCCAAACATCGGACCCACAACGTGGGCTAAGGGTTGGACCCACATGAAATGGGGCAGGGAGGAAGTGCAACGCTTTCCAGGGAAGTTAATACTTAGCTGCAATTGCCAGAGTGTCAGCAGTGAACTGAAACAACAGGGCTTAAAAAGAGGGGAACCCCTAACCAAAACATTATTGAGACAAAACTAAAAAAAAACAAACAAATTGCAACTGCATTTAATATAAGAAGCGGGAAACTAGTAAACTATATTAAATATGTAGAAAGCTGTCATTATTTGTAGACTCATAAAATCTTAAACTTTAAAACAATTGAGTAATTTCACACTGAATATAAAGATGAGTTAAACATATAGAATAAATAGTAGGTAAACCTTTCTGTTCCATAACATTAACATTAATATAAAAAGGAATCTTTTAAATGTAAAATATCTTAATTTTGTTTTAAATATTTAGCAAGAAAAAGCGTTGCCCGCTATCTCAAACGTGCCTCTGTTGGTAATAGTTTATCTTATCCTGTTTAGAACAAATGCTTAAATATTTGCTTGTCAAATAAAATAGACTTAGTAAGCTTTTTTTATATTTTAGATATTAGGTTTTTATGAAGTAAATCTTATTCCAATATATCTGTTTTTCTGAGAGCGTTGAGGGACTTTACTTGGCTTTGCTTTTACGCTGACCACGAGTGTGTGACGGCACACCACTTGTACCAATTGCAATGTACTTGGTGTTGTTTTGCATATGCAGACGCCGATTAGTCATACCAACAGAATGCAATGTAAAAAAAAGGCAAAATAAAAATAAAAGTAAAAATCACAAAGCTGCAAAGGCAAAGCCGGGGCCAAAAGCAAAGCAATGCAAGCTGAGCTAATTTGCATACATCTACTTATGTTGTATTGCAAGTGTTGCAATGAATGCTGAATGTTTTTTTGTTAACTGGGTCCCCCACCTCTTTTGGGCCATCTTGAGATGTGAGTGTGTGTGGATGTGTGGGCGTGCCAGGAATTTGCGGCTGTTGTTTCCTTTTTCCAACATTTAGCGTGCTTTTAGCGCAATGCACTTTGCATAAATCACTTTTTTTGGCTTAAATACGATGGGAAGTACGAAATGGGGAACTTGAAAAGAGAGTGATTATATCTGCTAGCGTTTTCTCTTTTAAATTGGAAGACTTAACTTAAGTGTGGTTGGAAAACTAAAATTATAATATCCGAAATGTTGTTAGTAGGTATTTATTAACTTAAAAACGTATCAAAAATGAGTAAGGAAATACTTCAGCTTTATAATAAGAACTGTAAAACATTCAAGATATTTTCACAATAGATCTGAAAACTCAAAATAAATCCAGTTTAAATCTCTTGCTGACAAACTATTACCTAAAAGTTCATTTACATTTAAAAGATCTTGGTCATTCGCCACACCCCTGCTCAAGAACCGGCACAAAAGCATCTTTGTCCCCGAAAAACTCCAAGCGCGACATCATTAAAAGCTTAAGAAGCATTTCTTTTTTTTTCTGGTAAAAAGACGAAAAGAACCTATTAAACTGTTTCTTTTATGGCACCGCTAAACAGAGAATCGCTCGCTCTTTGGAGCCAAGTTAAGCTCGAGTTTTGCAGTTTCCAGTTTGAAGCCAAAGTCGAGTCATTCATGACTCAAATAAAAAAGAAACAGACAGACAAACGGTTGTATAAAACCACTCAAATATATATGTATTTTGTATATAAAAGAGTGAAATAGAGTTGTTCTCGCTGTGTGATTTGATTATGAAATTTCCGTTCCGTTTTTAACGGCCAAACACATTGAAGTCCAAGATTATATAAAAGCGCATACCGAAGCCGGAGGTAGATCTATAATTCAGTTGCTTAATGCTTACACTTGAAGAAAAGGTTGTAAATTGTATATAGAATTAATTTTTTAAACAAAAAGAAAAGCAGCTGTCGAGTGCTTTTTAATGCGACAAATTTAGTTTTTTGTTCATTCATCAAACCTCTTTTTATGTTCTTAAATTTCTCGCGTGTACTTTATAGCATTTTTGCCTCTTAACTTTTAAATATTTTTCTGCATAGTTTCGTACGTGAGTATAATATAATTATGAGCTACTTTGCTGGAGGCTTATTTACTTGTTGTTCACTCACTGAGTAGACATAGTCTGCCCCTTGAACACTCCCCTTTCGCACCTGAGACACACACACTCACACACATGGAACACACCAAATGGCCACAATACCGAACTGTCAATGCAAATAGCAAATCGCCTTTAAATACAAAATAAAATGTTTGCAAAGAGTGAGCAAGAGGAGGCGGCAAAATCGATGGCCTCATAAAGTATTGTATTTGGTTTCCCGCCGTATGTTAACGTCGCGGCGGCGAGGTCTCCCGAGCGCCTTCTAAGCCCGTGCCGGCCATGGGTCAGGGCAGCCCAAAGGGCACAGAGGAGCAGCAACGGGTTCACCCCTTGGACCAGAAGGTGCTAAAAAGATCTTTTCTCGAGGGGGGAGATGTGAAAAAACCATGTTAATACACAAGTATTAACTTGATTCACGCAAATACTAACATAACATTTTTGTTTTTGGCAATTTAGTTAAACGATGCCATTGAAATGGCTGAGGTAATCTTTGTTTTTGAATGCCAAAATGAGCTTCCAAGCAAGGCTTCCATTTAAAGAAATGTTTATTAGGCAAAATATGTTTTTAATGCCACCATTTTTGATATGAAGTAATTACATTTAAAGCAGATAATAAATATAATTTTTTTATAGTAATTTAATTGGCTAAAACTCTGTTAAAATGTTCAAAAGCTGAATATATTATAAAGTTTCATGATTTAATAATACATGTTAAAAGAAACATTTCATGTATGAATTGCTTTAGAGTAATTTTCTTCAAACCTTTAATAAAGCATTTAATTAATACACTATTTTAATTTCCTAATGCGTTTATATACCTTCAATTTGTTGTATAATTTAATATACTCATTATTTTAATCAAAAACTAAGTAATTTCCCTTTATTTTCGTTTCAATTTCCTTTCTCTAATCTCTTTTTTCCTGTGCCACTTTCTTTCCGTTTTAAGATTTTGTTTTCGATTTTTCCCTGAGATCTCTATGGTGTATTGATGAAAACTAGCTTATGAACATGCAAGTCTGTTTATTTTTCATGTATGTACTAATGGTACATTCATATTTTGTTTTTTGCTGATTTTTTACGCCTTCTGCACTCGGACCAAGAAAGTTCGTTAGTTGTGTCTGGCTCTCTTTTGGTTTCTTGGTATGAAAATGTTGCAAAAAACTATTTGGAGTCGGTTATGGAGTCTTTTGTTTTGATTGTTTTGTGTTCATCTTTTGTTATTTTCTTCCTAATGTTTGGTGGGATTGATTCTGCGCTTTGGTGATCAACGCAAATGAAAGTTGGAAACAAGAGGGGGCCTCTAACTGATTACCACTTAAGTGGCATGTGCCGGGCCATGGCAACTCGTCTAATTTGGTCAATGCTACTCGAAAAGACAAAACACTTTCTTAGCCAGAGTGGCTCAGAGCAGCAGAAGCAGCAGCAGCAAATAGGCAGACGTTGTGAAAATGCTGAAGCAGACAGCACTGGGAAAATGTAAGCCAAAGTAAACCAATTGGCCATTTGCCGTGTGCCAAATACGCGAAATGAGGAAGTCTACGGTTACAAATGCGTTGGCCAAATGCGAATGAAATGCGATTAGTTAAATGGGAGACCGACTTGGCCCGTACCGACCTGGCCTTGTCATGCTTTTATTTTATACATTTCAACCATCAAGTCTCTTACAATCAGCAGAAAAATTGCACTGAAAATTAAAGATATTGCAAATGGATTTTGATTGGAAACGAATAGTTTACATATAAATGATTTTACAAACCAAATGGTACAAAAAAGTTAAGAATAAAAACTATTTCATTGCCCTAAGTAAAGGTATTCTAAAAACTACTTCTCATTTCTTTGACTGTAATCCCACTAACCCTGACCAATCTTAATCTTCTCTTGCAGATGTCGCCTCTGTGGAGGTTCAAACCAAGGAAGCATACTTCAACGGCTCCACTTACCTCCGACTGACCACACCGATGCCCATTTGGGATCACTCAGCGATTAGCTTCCGCTCTTGCCGCGGCGGAGAGATCCTTGCCCAGCAATACAACAAGAACTCCATTGTAATCTCAGTGCTCAATGATTTTCTGCAAATCTCTTTGGCGGGACCGGCAGTCCATGGGCCCAACAATCGGTTGGATGTCAAGCTTCCATACCAGCTGCTGGACAACCGCTGGCACACGCTGCAGTTCAAGTACGAGTATGGCAATCTTTACCTGCACGTGGATCGTGCGGCAAGCATATTTGGTAAGTTCAAATCCCGTCAATCTTTCTTTCTCCCCCCTCAATGCCCAGGTTGCAAGCCACTTAAAAATGGGGTCGTGTCCGGCTGTGAAACGTGAAATGTTGCAAGACAAATAAAAGCGAATCACATGATGAGGGTTCAGTCATGCAATTGTACTGGAAAAATGGGACAGCAGGAGCGGGGTAATGATGAACTCATTTGTAAAATCAATTTAACGATTGGAAAGAGAAATGTAGAGTACAGGGAACAAGAGAATTTTTCTGGTATTTAAAAAGGTTTTGAGTAAAGCTTAAGTGAATATACATCCATTAACATAACTCTTATATTAATTACTTTCCGTTCCATACCCCTTAGCTAACTCCACGTACAACAGTCAGTTCTTAACGAACCAGGACATTGGCTACAAGGATGCCATCTTAATACTGGGAAACTCCTTCTCCGGCTGCCTTCTGGATGGTCCTGGTCTTCAGTTTGTGAATAACTCGACTGTTCAAAATGTGGTCTTTGGAGCTTGTCCTCTGACTCCTGGACCCTGCAGTGATCATGATCTGTTCACTCGCCTGCCGGATAACTATTGTCTCAATGATCCCTGCATGGGTCATGGAACTTGCTCATCCAGTCCCGAAGGATACGAGTGTCGCTGCACAGCTCGTTACTCGGGCAAGAATTGCCAGAAGGACAACGGTTCGCCCTGCGCCAAGAATCCCTGTGTGAATGGGGGCTCTTGTTTGGAGAACTCTCGCGGAGATTACCAGTGCTTCTGCGATGCTAATCATAGTGGTCAGCACTGTGAAACGGAGGTCAATATCCACCCACTCTGCCAGACGAATCCCTGCCTGAACAACGGGGCCTGCGTGGTCCTGGGAGGAAGTGGGGCAATTGCCTGCGAGTGCCCCAAAGGATATGCGGGAGCCAGGTGCGAGATCGACACGGATGAGTGTGCCTCACAGCCGTGCCAGAATAATGGAAGCTGCATCGATCGGATCAATGGATTCAGTTGCGACTGCACCGGCACCGGCTACATGGGAGCCTTCTGTCAGACCAACATTGATGAATGCGACAAGAATCCCTGTCTGAATGGAGGCCAATGCTTCGATACCTATGGTTGGTACACCTGCCAGTGTCTGGATGGCTGGGGCGGTGAGATCTGTGATCGACCCATGACCTGCCAGACCCAGCAATGCCTAAACGGTGGCACTTGTGTGGACAAGCCCATTGGCTTCCAGTGCCTCTGTCCACAGGAGTATACTGGAGAGCTCTGCCAACTGGCACCGAGCTGTGCCCAGCAGTGTCCCATCGACTCGGAGTGCGTCGGCGGCAAATGCGTGTGTAAGCCAGGCTCATCGGGTGAGTTACAAGTTCCATTTTCTTTCGGTTTCGGGTCATGCATGTCATTTTAAAATTTATTTCTCATTTGCTTAGTTTTAAGTTCATGGTTTATGGTTTCTTTCTGAGTGAGATTTAATATGTTATATGTATATACAACAAAATAAGCTTCCGATTTGGAGCCGCTGACTTCTCTTGAGGTGGAGATGCTGGACTCCACGTTGTGTCCCAGCGAAAAGAAGAAGCGCTACATATCGCCCGAGTGGCTCAAACGCAAGCGTTGTGAGCTAAAACTGAGTACGTGGACAAAGTTCACAGGGGTTAATCTAGAGCTCTTAAAAATCGCTCAGCAGTCGATTCAATTATGGCTTTATTTAAAGATTTTAACGCTTTATAAATGTATTACAATAAAAGTTAGCTTGCAATTTATGAAACCCTCAGTATTTTCATCTTTCTTTGTTAATAATTCCCACAAAATCCCACACAATACTAACTTGTATATATTTCCCGCTAATGTATTTGCTATAACCTAATACCCTTAATCTTATATTGTAAAAAAACAACAACGCTATGATGTAAATGGGAACGGTTTTTAGGCCCCATTGGTCACTGTTTGCCAACAACAACCACACCGACACCAGAACCACAGCCAACAACGACAACAATAAGAATTGCTACCGAAATCCCTATCCCAATTTTAACAACAACAAAGATTCCACCAACAATAACAACGACAACAGTCAGAACAACAATTGCAACAACACCAACGACAACAACAACAACGACGACAACAGCTAGCAATAAAGCACAACAACACCCCAACCAGGCACAACAACAACAACAACATCAACAACAATCACCAACCCAACGCTCGGCTTCCCTGAATGCATGTCCCCAAGAAAACTGCTTGAACGGTGGCACCTGCCTGGGCCATAGTAGCAATTATACCTGTATCTGTGCCGCCGGATACACAGGTTTGGCATATATACATATAAATATATATATATCCATTATGTTACCCCGCGGCAGCAGGGGCAAAAGGGTTGTCCTAAAAGTGTGCATGCCGAAGCACTTAGCCCGCTTTAATTGAGTTAAATTTGAATGCGGTTATTGGCCTTAGTTAGTTTGGTTGTTCTTTAAAATTGATATTGATCCCGGCTAGAGTCCTGCTTGAATCTAGTAATGTTTAGAAAAAGCTCAAAAAATGTTATTATAAAGTTATAATATTTTTTAGATTCTTTATTTATGCGTTTTATTTTTGTAAATATTTAAAAGCGTGAGAAGTTTTTTATACATTTTCCTATACCAAAGCACGTTCTTCAAACGTGTTTCCTATTAAATATTTTATTATTGAAACTTTGTTACATAGCTTTTAAATATCAGTAATAAAGAGTTCAATTGTATTAAATATTTATATACGGTAGTCACAGAAAACTTTGCAATTTGTTTAATATTAAAAAAAAGCGTTTTAGATTCACTTAGAGCTCTAGCTTAATTTTAATTCTAATTCAATTTTGTAGAATCTTTTAGTGCAACCCCAACAAAAATTAACTGTAAATACGTAGTAAAGTAGTTAAACTTAAACATAAACAATTGATATTTGGTAAACACTTGAAATTCCTTGAGTTATTTAATTAGCAAATAATTTTTTACTTTGAGTTATTTGATAATTTAGACTGTGTACTAATCTTTATTCTTAAATCCCAGGTTACAACTGTCAAACGAGCACGGGCGATGGTGCGGCCGCCTTGGCCCTGACCCCCATCAATTGCAATGCCACCAATGGGAAATGCCTGAACGGAGGAACCTGCTCAATGAATGGAACCCACTGCTACTGTGCCGTGGGCTATTCCGGCGATCGTTGCGAGAAGGCTGAGAACTGCTCACCGCTGAATTGTCAGGAGCCGATGATCTGTGTCCAGAATCAATGCCTCTGTCCGGAGAACAAGGTGTGCAACCAGTGCGCTACCCAACCGTGCCAAAATGGTGGCGAGTGTGTAGATCTGCCGAACGGAGACTACGAGTGCAAGTGCACCAGGGGATGGACCGGTCGAACTTGTGGCAACGACGTGGACGAATGCACCCTGCATCCGAAGATCTGTGGCAACGGCATCTGCAAGAACGAGAAGGGATCGTACAAGTGCTATTGCACACCCGGATTCACCGGCATCCACTGCGACTCGGATGTGGATGAATGCCTCAGCTTTCCCTGCCTCAATGGAGCCACATGCCACAATAAGGTAAGGTAAAGGGCAGTCGGATTTGTATCCGATATTGCCTTCTTGTGTCCCTCGAAAGTGTATCTGTTACTAAAGTGTACTAGTTGTTTTTCTTTAAATACGGAAAGCATCGGATATTGAGACAAGTGAGTGGGTGCAGAATGCTTTTGTCAGTCTCCTAAAATGCTCCTGCTTACCAAACTAGTTGCGTTTCCCTTGCCTTCACTTAGAGAGGTCCTAGAGTAGACTTATATCCGGGAATTCCCTATTCAAGTAGCTTGAAATGAACTATTATTAACTATATTTTTGCTTGGTTTAATTCAAAGTTTAAATAGAAAGAAGTATACTAATAACCCCTCTTTACTCCTTGATTCATCCAGATCAATGCCTACGAATGTGTTTGCCAGCCGGGCTATCAGGGCGAGAACTGTGAGGTTGACATTGACGAATGCATCAGCAATCCCTGCTCAAACGGATCCACCTGCATTGACATGATCAATAACTTTACCTGCAACTGCATTCCTGGAATGACAGGACGCATCTGTGACATTGACATCGATGACTGCGTGGGAGATCCCTGTCTCAACGGAGGTCATTGTATCGATCAGCTGGGTGGCTTCCGGTGCGATTGCAGTGGCACTGGCTATAATGGCGAGAACTGTGAGCTGAACATTGACGAGTGCATCTCGAATCCCTGTCAGAATGGCGCCAAATGTATTGATCAAGTAAAGGACTACTTCTGCGAATGCCATGCGGGTTATAAGGGCAAGAATTGCGAGCAGGATATCAATGAGTGTGAGAGTAATCCGTGTCAGTACAACAGCAACTGTCTGGAACGTTCCAACACCACGTTATATCAGCTGAGCCGCAACACGGACTTGCCCAAGGTCTTCAGCCAGGCCTTTAGCTTCGAAAATGCCAGCGGGTAAGTCTTCAGGCTGGATTTTAAACCAATTCCTTGCTTAATTCCCTGTGATCCTTACAGATACGAGTGCGTCTGCGTACCAGGCATTATTGGCAAAAACTGTGAGATCAATATAAACGAGTGCGAGAGCAATCCCTGCAGCAAACATGGAACCTGTAATGATGGGGTAGGTGTCGGGTTTCCCGTAAAACCTATCTTTGAAGTGAAGTTATGTATGACTAATCCTTTTTGTCCTGGTTTTCCTTGCGCAGATTGGCGCCTACACCTGCGAATGTGAACCCGGCTTTGAGGGCACCCACTGCGAGATCAATATAGATGAATGCGACCGCTATAATCCCTGCCAGAGCGGCACCTGTTATGACCAGATCAACGACTATGATTGCGACTGCGATGCCAACTTTGGAGGCAAAAACTGTTCGGTGCCACTAAGGGGATGCAAAACGAACGTAAGACTAAAGAATCCTTAATCCAGGATTTATATTAATTACTTTCTTTTTGTTTTCTTAGCCCTGCTTAAATAATGGCACCTGTCTGCCGTATTTGGTCAACGAAACGATACATAAGTACAATTGTACCTGCGAGAACGGCTTCCAGGGCAACACCTGCGAAAAGACGACCACACTGTCCATGGTGGCCACCAGTTTGATTTCGGTTACCACGGAACGCGAAGAGGGCTATGACATCAACCTGCAATTTAGGACAACGCTGCCCAACGGAGTTCTGGCCTTTGGCACCTCCGGCGAGAAGAACGAACCAGTTAGCTACATCCTAGAGCTAATCAACGGCCGGCTTAATCTACACTCTTCCCTACTGAACAAGTGGGAAGGCGTGTTCATCGGTTCCAAGCTAAATGACAGCAATTGGCACAAGGTGTTTGTAGCAATTAATACATCGCATTTGGTGCTTTCGGCCAACGATGAACAGGCCATCTATCCGGTGGGCTCCTACGAAACGGCCAACAACAGCCAGCCCTCCTTCCCACGCACCTATCTGGGCGGCACGATACCCAATCTCAAGTCCTATTTGAGACACCTCACACACCAACCGTCCGCTTTTGTGGGTTGCATGCAGGATATCGTGGTCAATGGAAAATGGATTTTCCCCGACGAGCAGAGTGCAAACTATACTTCCGATGACACCAAACTGGAGAACGTACAGAGCGGCTGTCAGCGCATGGAGCAATGCAAACCGAATCCCTGCCACTCGAATGGAGAGTGCACGGATCTGTGGCATACCTTTGCCTGTCACTGCCCCAGGCCGTTCTTCGGACACACTTGTCAGCACAGTGAGTACACCGCAATGACAAGAGGAGATCATCGGTTAAAACTATTCTGATTTATTCTGTTTTCAGACATGACTGCCGCTACCTTTGGTCACGAGAACACAACCCACTCGGCGGTGATTGTGGAGACCACTGATGTGGCTCGAAGGGCCATTCGTTCTATTTTGGATATCTCAATGTTTATACGAACCCGAGAACCGACCGGACAGGTGTTCTATTTGGGAACTGATCCACGCAAGGCGCCCACCAAGAGTAAGTGAAAATGGGGAACCCCTAAATAACCTTTTTCAACCTTGTTTAACCTTTCTTCTCTCCCTTAGACGTCGGTGACTCATATGTGGCTGCCAAATTGCATGGCGGCGAGCTGCTGGTAAAAATGCAATTCAGCGGAACTCCGGAGGCCTACACCGTTGGTGGCCAGAAGCTAGACAACGGCTATAACCATCTGATCGAGGTGGTGCGCAATCAGACGCTCGTGCAGGTCAAGCTCAATGGCACCGAGTACTTCCGCAAGACGCTGTCGACGACGGGTCTGTTGGACGCACAGGTGCTCTACTTGGGCGGACCTGCACCCACACGGGAGTCCCTACTGGGAGCCACCACGGAACCGGGCCCAGTAGGAGCTCCAGGCGCAGCAGCAGTAGCTCCCACTGAAGCCACCACGGTGTCCAAGGATGCGGACGACAGCAGAGACTACTTTAAGGGCATTATCCAGGACGTGAAGGTGAGCAATGGCTCGCTCAATCTGATCGTCGAGATGTATCCACTGAACGTGACAGATGTTCAAGTGAATGCCAAGCCCCTGGGCGCCGTCTCCATCGATCGGGCATCTGTGCTACCGGGCGCCGTGTCCGATGATCTGTGCCGCAAGAATCCCTGCCGACATAACGCGGAGTGCAGGAATACATGGAACGACTACAGTTGCAAGTGTCCCAACGGCTACAAGGGCAAGGATTGCCAGGAGATCGAGTTCTGTCAGCTGGTCACGTGTCCCGGACAGAGTGTCTGCCAGAATCTGGACGATGGCTACGAGTGTCTGACCAACACCACGTTCACTGGACAGGAGCGTTCACCTCTGGCGTTCTTCTACTTCCAAGAACAGCCATCCGAGGAGATTGTGGGTGAAACTGCTCCCAAGCAGACTCTCAAGCCGGTCATAGATATAGCCTACCGCACCCGGGCTGGAGGCACTTTGCTGTATATCGACAATGTGGACAGTTTCTTCGAGATTGGCGTGAACGGAGGCCGGGTAACCATTACCTGGAAGTTAAGCCAGCTGCATTTTGGCGAGTCCACGCGTTTCGAGAAGGAGAACACTGACGGAGAATGGAGTCGCATTTATCTGAGGGCCCACAACGGCAAGCTAGAGGGCGGCTGGAAGGGCTGGGAATCGATGGTGGATCCAGCACCAGCCTTCTCGGTTGACATTGACCAAGGAGCCATCCAATACCTAATCGCCAGCAGCACCCAGATATACTTGGGTGGCATGCCTGAGTCGAGACAGGCACGAGGCTCCACGCTTTCGGCCCAGCAGGGCTCCCAGTTCAAGGGCTGTGTGGGCGAGGCGAGAGTGGGTGATCTCCTGCTACCGTACTTCTCCAATGCTGAGCTCTATCCGCGCACCGAGAACGTGTCCGTGCAGCTGAAGGCTCAGTTCCGCCTGAATGCCACGCGTCCGGAGGAGGGCTGCATTCTCTGCTTCCAATCGGACTGCAAAAATGCCGGCTTCTGCCGAGCTCCGTCAGATGAATACGCCTGCACCTGTCAGCCTGGCTTCGAGGGCGATGACTGCGGCACGGATATCGATGAGTGCCTGGACACGGAATGCAAGAACAATGGCACCTGCATCAACCTAGTGGCTGCCTTCCAGTGTCAGTGTCAGCCAGGCTTTGAGGGCCTTCACTGCGAGCAGAATACCGACGAGTGTGCGGATCAGCCCTGTCAAAACGGTGGCAACTGCACGGATCTGATTGCTGCCTATGTATGCGACTGTCCAGAGGACTATACGGGTCCGCAGTGTGAAGTGCTCAAGCAGATGACTTGCGAGAACGAGCCGTGCCGTAACGGATCCACCTGCGAGAATGGATTTAGTAAGTACTTGAAGATAATAGGATTATAGGTCTCGGAATTAACATTTGTATTCCCCTTCCATAGATGCCTCCACGGGAAATAACTTCACATGCACATGCGTGACCGGCTTCGAGGGACCGCTGTGTGACATTCCCTTCTGCGAGCGAACGCCCTGCGATAATGGAGGTCTCTGCCTGACCACGGGACCTGTGAGTATCTAGCTTAAAACTAAGGTCTTTCTCCTAAAATAATAATCTGGTTTTTTTTCCTCCCTCAGGCACCCATGTGCAAGTGTAGCCTGGGATACACAGGTCGCCTGTGCGAACAGGACATCAACGAGTGCGAGTCCAATCCCTGCCAAAACGGCGGACAGTGCAAGGATCTCGTCGGCAAGTTTGAATGCGACTGCCAGGGCACGGGATTCGAGGGCATCCTCTGCGAGAACGACATTGACGAGTGCAGTGTGGAGAACGAATACTGCGGCGGATTGGGCCGTTGCTTTAACAAACGTGGCTCCTTCCAGTGCATCTGCCAGAAGCCATATTGCGGCGCCTACTGCAACTTCACAGATCCCTGCAATGCCACGGATATCTGCGCCAATGGCGGGCGTTGCGTAGAGGCCTGTGGCGCCAAGCCGGACTACTATTGCGAGTGCCTGGAGGGATTCACGGGCAAGAACTGCACGGCACCGGTGAGTTGTGGAAACCAAAACCAAAGGATCTTCCAACTAATTTACTGAATTTCCCTTTAGATCACGGCCAAGGAGGACGGCCCCTCGACAACGGATATTGCCATCATTGTCATACCCGTGGTGGTCGTGTTGTTGCTTATTGCGGGCGCCCTGTTGGGCACCTTCTTGGTAATGGCACGAAATAAGCGAGCCACTAGAGGTACTTACAGCCCCAGCGCCCAGGAGTACTGCAACCCGAGGCTGGAAATGGACAACGTGCTGAAGCCGCCGCCAGAGGAACGACTTATATAGTTTGAGCCACAAGGCGACGACGATTAGCAAAGCAAACGAAAGATATTTTTAAAAATCCGCCCATATACACCTTAGTTGTAAAAGTAATGCAATGTTTCGTCCTAAGTTCGCCCCTAGTTACGGTTACGTCTTAAGGTGCTCAAAGCAATAGCAGCAACCAGGCTTTCGCCGATCGTCCAATCGATCCCCCCTGCCTGCGCTTTAGTTAGTTAATAATGACGTTGTCTATTTATTCTTGTAGTTTATATACAACAGATATCAAAAAATGTCGATATATTGATTCTGCATCCATTTTTGACGCGAAAGGCAATATTTTATGTGTTAGTTTGGACCAATATAATTGATCATATCGATCATTTTACGTTAAATGCGATATCTGAAAAATTCGATAAATATTTTCGGTATGATATTGAGCGCGATGTTTTTGTTGATATATCATATCGGATTTGTTTCGATATACATTCCTAGACAGACGTACCGCCCCCTATAGTCGTTATGTAGTTACGTTCCAATAGTTTAGATTCAGTATTCGATTTCTCGTATGTGTAATCCTAAAGCTGCGAACAAAGTTGAGCTCTGACACCGATTCCCTCCCCTTCTTGCTCCTCAACATTCCCAACGGAAGCCCATCAAGTGTATTGTACGAGTATTTTTGTAAATAGATCTGTACGACTCTTTAAACTATATTAGCTGAGCTAAACCTGAAAATCCTATATGCCTATATATATGCGAGTATATATATCAGTAAATGTGGCCTTATAACAAAAAAAATTAATATACATTAAAATAGCAATGGCAACTATAAAGAACATGAGAAACTATTGGATAAGTAAATCAAGTGAAAGACATTTTTTGCTCTAGAATTTCTAAGCGTAAACGTAAGAGACTGTACTATATAATAAATATTCAATATTTCGAAGCTTTTCCAATTTATTGATTTATTAGCTATAAGGGAGTATAATATTTAAAAATTTTAATTTAATTATTTGTCCCATTAAAAAAAATTTTTTTTTAAATGGAATATTGGGCAATTTTAAAAGCAATGGAACGATCATATCTATCGACTATATCATATCGTTGTTTTTCAACATATTTAATACGTATAAATAGTACAATTAAATCTCTTTTTTTTTCAATTTGTAGCAACTATTGCTAAATTTATTCGTCAACGTAGGCATGTCGTGTTTTTAATGGTTTGAATGCAAGCAACAAACTTGGGATTAGTTTTACCTTTCAATTTGTATAAGAGAGCTAATGTCTAATTTAAAAGGTTTTTAAATAGTTTAATGAAAGAGTATGGATGAAAAATGAACATGAAAATGGGTACAGGCGAAAATAGGTAAAATCCAAGCGCGCCTAGTTGTATAATTGTGGAACATAATGATTGGATTGAAGTGTAGTGGTTAGTAAGACTTGGCTAAATATTGTTAAAATGTATTGTGTGTGAGTGTTTGTGCTTTCCGCTCAGCCCAACGAGGCCACCCACTTGAATTTGCTCTGCATCTCCGGATGATAGAAGATGCACTCCAGCTTGTTCACACAATTCTTGCCGAAGCGGCAGGGCTTTGGGTGATAGAAGGTGCATCCCATTTTGGAGCAATTGGGGTAGTACTTGCACATTGTTGTGGCAGTCGTGGAAGTTACTGGCGCCGATATTGACTTGTAGTTCTGTACTGGTATGACGTGCGAGGCTGTTGAAGAAAGGCATAGTTAGTTTATATTAAACAAGTTTATAATGCTTAAATACTTACACAGAGGCGGCGCAGTAAGCTGCACATGGCTGAGATCCCTTTGTCCGCTGTGGGCAAAGTTGCAATCAACACTCATGCAGGACATGTCGTACTTGCACTTGGGATGCGAGTACATACACTTGTCAGCGAACTTGCAGTTTGGAAAGGACTTGCAGGGCGCCGTTGGGTGATAGTACTCGCAGAACTGCTTGGTACAGCTCGGATGGTACTTGCACCGCTCCTTTGGCTTGGTCACCTTCAGCACGGCGGAGTCCACGCTTACTGCACTCACTGTGAATATGAATAGAATCAGTTAAACAAATTTTCTTGAATATTTTTAGGAATTCACGTACATGCAGGCAGATTGTCGTACTTTCTGTCCTCGGCATTGCGTATGGGTATTTTGCGCACCCCTTCACGTTCGGGGCTATTGGAGCGATGCTTTTTCTTTGAACTCGGCTCGTCCTCGTTTTTTAGAGTGAAGCGTATAGGCGTATGCTTGCCTTTGGTAGATGTAGAGGAAGTGGTGACGCTAGCGGAGTTTTCTACCGCTGCTGGTTCCGCGCTGGAGTTTGTGGTTTTCTCCTTGCTGGCCGGCCGCTTTTCTGCCCGAGGCTTTGGTTTAGCCGGTAGGGGGGGCGTGGTTGATCGTTCCTCTACCAGAGGTTTTGCTCTATTGTCCTTGTGGCCGTTGGCCGAGGTCGTCGCCGACGTTGATGTATTCTGGCGCCTTATGGACGAACGCTTCTTGTGCGAACCGTGCTTGTCGTCATCTTCATCGGTGTCGTTTTTGATGACGAGCTTCTTAATTTCCTGGGGCTGTCGCACCACCTCGCTACGATTAAGGCTGCGAGATGTCTGGGGCGAGGCACTGCTCTGTGTGGGCGAAGGTGTGAAGCTTTTTTCTGGATTCGATCGGCGTGACCGCTTTTCCGATGTTGTGGACGTTGGCTCAACACTGGAAGAGGACACTTGTGGTGTAGACACAGGCGAGGAGGAACGTTTGCGTGAGCTGCTCGGTCGTTTGCGATAGGAAGGGCTGCCTTGGCTGCTGCTTCGCCCACCGGCAGACTTATCGCCGTTCAGGGTCACCACAAACTGTGTCTTCCGCGCTCCAGAGCTGGGACTTGCATCATCGTGCGAGCTAATATGCAAGTCTATGTCCTCCACACTGGACAGAAGTTGCGGCACATAGGTTTCGAAATCCTTAGAGCTCAGACTAGGGGCATACTCTTCCTCAACCACCTTGATCTCGGCATGAGTCTCATTGGAGCGCCGTGATCGTTTGCCATCGCGTTGCGTCACATTTACCAACAGCTCCCGAGTGCTTCGCCGGAAGAGTTCAGTGTTCGTGGGAGCACTTCGCTTACCACGATCCCTGCTCCGATTGTTGGCACGATCTGTTTGGTCTACCGGTTTTTGCTTGGCAACCGTGGGACTGACTTTGTCCACCTCCTGACTTTCCTTCTTATTAGAAGACTTGGCCAAGATGGTGGAACGCTGGGCATCGGCTACCGCTCGCAGCAGGAGATTCTTGCAGGCCTGCCGCCGTGGGGAGACCTTTGGTCTAGGCTGAATCTTGATAACCGAATTCAACGGCTTATCAGCTAGATCCTCATCGTCTGACGGTTCTGGCGGTTTTTGCACTGCCACAATCACCCTGGAACCGATGCGTTGCTTGCTACTGGGCGTCTCTGGACTAGGCGAGCGACGCTGGCGGTGACTACGGTTGGCGTCCCTGGAGTTATCCCGGCTAGAGCGTCGTTCCCGGTCGTTTCCTCGATCTCGCTGACTCCGTTCCCGGCTGGACTCCGGTTCACTGCGTCGACGATGAGCTGGTACGTATAGCTCCTTTTGAGTGCGTGTCGGTCTTTCTGGCGGTAACTGATTCTTGGAGCCGAGCCGATCGTGCACGGAACGTCGCTCAGAGGGGTCTTCTTTTGGTTTCCCAACTGCAGACTGCGGGTCTTCCATCTCCTCTTCCATTTTCTCCTCTTCCTGCTCTGGTTCATGACGTGAGTGGGTATCAGGCTCAGGTTCTTGTTGCTTTTCGGGACTCTTCTCACGCCTGTTGAAGATAATCGGACTCTTGGCCTGCCGCGGGGGTGGTTCTTTCTGCGGCGGCTCCTCATCGACCTCCTGGTCTACCGACTCTTCGGGGGCACTTAAATTTAGCAGATCCTCGTCATCCTCATCACTCTCGTCATCGATTTCGCCAATTTGGCGTAAATGCTTCTTGGCTGCCTGGATTTTCTTCTGGATCTCGGCCAGCTCAGCAAGATCCTTTTGCCTATTGACCCCGCAAGTGGTTGAGCTGATCTCAGAGATGTTGGCCGGCACTTCGCTGTCCTTGGTTCTGGCCTCCTCAATCGACGCCGACCTTCGCTTCTTCTTTTTCTGCACAATCTCATCCTTAGCATTGATGTCGATGTTGAGCGATTTCTTGGCCTTCTGCATCAGTTCATCGGCAAAGACATCTGTGATGGAAGTGATGACGGGCATAGCACCCGCAGAGCTGGATTGCGGCTCCTGCATCTCGTCGCTGGACTTGCGGTGCGGCTTCTTGTCCTTTTTAGACACCTTCTTGTCCTTTTCCTTCGACTTGATCGCTTCGCCATGGCCGCGTGACCTTCGCTTTTTGCTGGAAACTAATGGAAACAGGCATTAATTACGAATCCGTCAAGGGAGTTCAGGAACTCACCATTGGATGTCGGCAGAGTGACCTCCTGGAGCTTCTGCAGCACCTCATGCAGCCAGGTTACAAACAAGTCAGTCTGATCGCCCAGGAACAGATTCAGCTCAGCGTTCATCTGCTGCTTGGAGCGCTTATTGGCCACCATGACCATCACGTAGTCGGGCAGTTCGTCGTCAATAAAGCCGGAAGATCCGCCGGTGCCCAGCTCCAGCAGCTTCGCCTTGACGGCGCTCTGTGAAATGGAAACAATTTTCGCCGATGCATTCGAGTTGGATTACGAGTTCATTGATTTTCCACGATGACTTACGCGCATCTTCTGGCCAATTTCGCTGCCCAGGTTGCACTCCATTTTCGCGTTGTCTCTATCCCTTTTCTCACTTAAGTGTCATGTATATTTATTGACGTCTGGTTCGCAAAAAAAGACTCAATTTCTATTACATGAAAAATGGGCAAAATCTGCCAAAAAGTAATTATCGCAGCTGCTGTTTCGATATCCAAAATTAGAGATGTGAGGTCGGCGGTAGTGTTGGCGAACCGACAACACAGCTAGTTCTAGCTATTTTAAGGGTGAAAAGTCGAAAACCATTTATGAATATATATGGGCTATTGGCCTAATATTTTAAAGATCATCTTAAATTAAGAACAATATGTATACATGCATTTTTACTTTGCTAGCCGTTTTTAAATTTATTTCGTCATTTAATTGTTTTGTAGAAAATTCGGACCGCAATGGTCATTGGGAGGTGTATGCCAAAAAGCCAAAAAAGTTGGAAATATTGAATAAAACTTTAACTTAATGCTTGTAGGTATTTGAATAATTTGAACAGCAGTCTATTCAACATGAACAGATTAAATGTATGTCCTGCAAATCAGTTTTTAATTTTTTTAAGTATTTTTATTTTTTGTGCTTAACATTGTTTTTCATATATTTTTTAAGAATAACTTGACAAGACTGTTAAGAGAACGGCATACAAATAGAATTTGAACGATTTCCTACAAAAATGAGCAATTTTTAATTTTCAAAACCATAAAACCAGCTTGAAAACGCAGTCCAAATGCATGACGCACAACCCATATATTTTCATGTTCACAAGACCAAAAATATTGTATATGTGATTTAAATATGACTTTAAATATAAAAACATGTTGAAAAAAGCTTAAATTAATATAAACTGCAATAAAATATAAGTGCCAAGCTTAAAAAATTCGAAAATTTAAAACCCAGTCAACATTGCATTATGTATCGTCATATTCACGAAAGACAGCACGAGACTCGAATGCGATATCGATAGCCCGTGAGCATCGATTGTGCGAACCTTCCCTGTTAATGGCAAAAAAGAAGAAGCGAGAAAAGAATTTTAGAAGAAAGCAACTGCAATTTTGTCATAATCTAGGTGCAATTCGCAATGAATAATGGAAAATAGACAGTCCAGTGCCAGTGATGTGATAGTGCCAGGTGCGTACCGTCCCCGTGCTGTGTGTAGTGTGTAAAAACGGGCCCAATTCGGGCCCCTCTGCCCTGCTGCCTGGCCAAAATGTGTGTCTGTGTCTCGCTTCGCCTTCCGTTCCAATGGCTGTGGAAGCCAGCCAGTTGGCCCGTGAATTGCACGGCCCGGATTTATAATGCATTTTGGCGACTTCTTATGCGTGTGCCCAGCCACTTGTTGCACTCATGGTGTTGCCTTTCGTTTCCTTTCAGAGCTCTACTTCCTCATCTCCAAGTTCCTGGCTGCGGGGCCGCTGGAGGAGACGGGAAAGGTCGGTATACAGAGGAGGCGGGATCGGCTTGCTGCGGCAAAAGAGCGCAATTTTCAGCGGTCGCAGCTTGCTGGCGGCTTTGTTTACAAACATTTTACTAATTTGGCCTTTCCAAACCCCATCCTTACAGGTGTTAATCCGCGAGCTCGAGGAGAAGAAGGTGAGTTGTTGGGCTTGGGCAGACTCCAGCCCCGATTCCTGTCGGGGGGTGTCACTAAAAAAGAAGCGAATCTCTGGCACCGCGTTTGTTTATACGCTTTGTTTTGGTTTTGTTGTTGTTTTCGCTGCCGGCAGCGAACGACGACAAAGCCTACATACGTCCGCTTGTCTCAGAGTTGGAAATCAGACGAATTTGGACTGGCCACGGGATATGTAGCGCGCTCGGCTGCAGCCTGTCTGTCCAAGAGTAGGTAGCGGCGGCGAAAAAAAAGACAAATAAACTGAAAGGGATGCCCCGCGACGTCATCATAAACGTCATAGAGTGCAAGTGATAACACCTACAACCGAACGCACACACATGCACATACATTATACATATATTCTCCCCTCCTCTTGTATCGCCCGCAGGTTCTGCCCCGTCGCATTGATTGGCTGGGGAATGAGCATGAACAGACCTTTGCCGAATTGGTGAGTATTGCCAATTGCCTAATTAACAACTAATAGCCGCTTAGCCTCGAATTGATTTGATCGTCGGTCCGTCATTGCGTAAGTGTGCGCGCATTTCTTTTCCGCTTTGTCGTGCGTGTGCCTGTGACGTCATGGGCGAGGGGATAGAGAAAAAACATAGCGCATGCCAATTTCTTTTTAAAGTTTTTGCCCTAAAACATTAAAAGTGCAGCTATCAATCATTTTAGCACTGCAATTAATAAACAAATAGGTAATTATTAAACAAAAAAAACGTAAAAAATTAACAAATTACAAAATTCTTAAGAACGGAGTGAAAAAATTCCCAAACTGGTGAAAAACAAGACATTTTTGAAAAACAAGCATGTTTAAACAAATTCGTTGTAATATTAGTTATAACAATTAGCTGCAGCCGCCGACATTTTGCTTTCGCACACATCGACAGCCTGCGCGCTTACACGGACAGGCGCAGCCACCACTTTGCCTTGACTCGTGTGCACCAGAGCGAGACAACCGTATGTCGGCCTTGTGCTGGCGAACAGCTGCCTCCCAAGAGTTATCGATAGACATGCGTTATTTTTATCAAATTCAAATTTATAGGAAAAAAAATACGCGCACATTGGCGCCCAACATTTGCTGGAGATATGCGGCCGCCTGTGCCCTCTGGTGGACCGGGAACTGCCACCCAGTGTGCCGGGAATAAACTCGCTGCTGGGCCGTGGGCGACAGAACCTGCTGCGTACCAAGGAGACCGTTTACAGTCATCGCTCGCTAAGAGACTACTGCACTACATTGCATGGCGTCTCCCTTCCGGACTCGAACCTAACCAAGTCCACACACAACTTGAGTGAGTAGCCAATGAAATCCTTTCTCTCATTGTTTAATAACGAATATCGACCTTTTCAGGCCGCGTCCTTGCTGGCCGGGAACATGGCTGCAATGTGCGGCGCAAGCTGCTCGTGCCCACGGAAATTTATCGTAAGACGAAGCTCCTCCGCCGCACCGTGGGCCACCTGTCTTCGGTGTATTGCGTGCTCTTCGACCGCACTGGACGCTACATAATCACGGGAGCCGATGATCTGCTCATCAAGATATGGTCGGCTGCAGATGGTCGTCTGCTGGCCACCTTGCGCGGCGCCTCTGCTGAGATCACGGACATTGCCATTAACCTGGACAATACAATGCTGGCCGCAGGATCGTTGGATCACATCCTTAGGGTGTGGGATATGCAGACCACCTCACCTATCGCCGTCCTGTCTGCCCACACTGGCATGATAACGTCGGTGAACTTCTGTCCCTCGCCTCGCAGCGATTTGAAGTATCTGGTGACGACTAGCACGGATGGGTCAATAGCCTTCTGGCAGTACTCCACGCCGCGCGGCCAGAAGATTACATTTGCTCCGAAGCCGACACAGTACCACGAGAAGCTGCGCCCCGGCCAGGCACAGATGATGTGCACCACATTCTCGCCGGGTGGCATATTCCTGGCCGCCGGCTCAGCTGATCACCATGTGCGCGTCTACATGATGGGCGAGGACGGACCGAAACGGATTCTGGAAACGGAGGCTTACACCGATGCCGTAGACTCGGTGCAGTGGTCGCACCGTGGCCTGAGATTCATTTCGGGCAGCAAAGATGGTACAGCTCACATCTGGACCTTTGAGTCGCAACAGTGGAAAAGCGCCAAGCTGTGTATGACGGAGCGCCTGCCCAGGTGAGTTTTGTTACGATATTGATCAAGAAGTAATGGAAATAATATATATATTGTAATATTATAGCTGTCCGCAGCCGGAGGAGGGAAAGAAGCTGAAGGTCACCATGGTGGCCTGGGATGCCTCAGACCGTTATGTTATCACCGCCGTCAACGATTTCACCGTGAGCAAACCTTATATTTCAGCAGTCACTGAGATATCCACTAACTATCCAATCATTCCACTCTCCCAACAGATTAAAATCTGGGACTCGAAATCAGCCAAGCTGCATCGCGTCTTGCGCGGCCACAGGGACGAGCTTTATGTACTGGAGTCGAACCCTAGGGATGAACATGTCCTGCTCTCTGCTGGCCACGACGGCCAGGTGTTCTTGTGGGACATTGACCAGGGTGTTTATGTTGCAAACTTCCTCAATGATATCGATGGCCAGGGCCATGGCTGCCTCTTTGATGCCAAGTGGTCGCCAGATGGCACAATGATAGCCGCCACAGACTCTCATGGACACATCCTGATCTTTGGCCTGGGAATGTGTATTGAGAAATACAAAATGGTAAGTGTTCATCTATTTCACCGCATGATATATATATATATATATATTTATATTCTTTACTAGCTGCCCACCGAGCTCTTCTTCCACACGGATTTCCGGCCCTTGCTGCGCGACGCCCAACAACATGTGGTGGACGAACAGACTCAGATAATGCCGCATCTCATGCCGCCGCCATTTTTGGTCGACGCCGATGGCAACCCGCATCCCTCCAAGTACCAACGCTTCGTCCCGGGCAGGGAGAGCTGCAGCATGGACCAATTGATACCCAATTTGACGGTAGGCGTGGATGGCGTCGTGATCGATGACAATGCCAACGCTCAGCTGAATGCTGACGGTGTTGCTGCTCCTGCTGCGCCGGTTGGTGCGCCCGCTCCAGCCTCTCCCGCAATTGGTGGCCCAGGTGCAGGAGGAGGAGGAGGAGGAGCAGCTGGAGCCAACTACTCGCACATAGACCGCATGATCGCAGCCCTGGCCAATCGCCAGTCGGGCAATGCCAACGTCAACGAAGCCAATGCGAGCAATGCCAACCAATCTTTCGAGCGCCTGACCAACCGACAACCGCTTCCCGACTCCAATGGCAGACAGTCCTCTCGCGGCAATGTTCTGGGCAGCCGTATGGGTACACCACGCCAAGGATGGGGCGCGGCAGCGGCTCCAGCTGCGGAGGAGGCCCTGCTACCGCCGGCAGAGCCATTGGGACAGGCGGCACCAGCGCAAGCCCAGCAGGCGCTACCACTTAAGTTTGTCCGCCGCACATATGTGCGTCCCATGAAGTACGCTCAGTTGCAGAACCTTAAGCAGACCATATACGCCGCCGGCCAGTTCGAGAAACAGGAATACAAGCGGGAAATGCGTCGCCGACCCATAATGATCAATACGGCCAGTGTGGCGTCATCGCAGCTAGCTGGCGTTGTGGGCAGACCGCGCAATACGAGAGCCAATGGAAGCGGAGGCAGTGGTGGAGGAGGCGCAAGACCGGCTCGGAGGCGTGGAGCCCAGTCAGGAGCCGGACAACAGCAACCGGCCTATCGTACGCGTGCTGTGCGTTCGCAGGAGCCGGAGCCATACGATGAAGTGGCACCGCCCCACGAGGAAGAGGAAGATGACGTTTCCAGCAACTCATCTGGTGACACAAGCTACTCAAATGTGGAAGAAAACCTGGAGGACAGTAGCGACGAGTCGGATACGGACAGCTCCGACTACTCGGACTGGGTGGCGGACACCCCGGGACCGAACCTGGAGCCGCCCAAGCGCTCCAAGCGCAAACCGCTCTCCCGCCGACCTCTTAGCAGCGATGACAGTAGCGATGATGAAGCAGCAGCCGGCCGAGCAACTGGTGGCCAGGTTCAGGCCCGCAAGGTGGGCCGTAAGACTGTCCTGATTCCGCCCACAGATGCGAATGGCGAGATACCGGAACTGTATCGTCCCGCCGAATGGCTTTCCGAGGTGATTCCCCGCAAGGCGCCCTACTACCCCCAAATGGGTGACGAGGTGGTTTACTTCAGGCAGGGACATGCCAAGTACTTGGACGCTGTTCGCACGAAGAAGGTCTACAAGCTGTCGCACAGCTCGGAACCCTGGAACTTTCACACGCTGCGGGACCACGAGCTGGTCCGTGTCATTGGCATTAAGTACGAGATCCGGCCGCCTAGACTGTGCTGCCTGAAGCTGGCCATCATCGATGAAGAGGGTAACATGACGGGGACCTCGTTTAAGATCAAATACCATGACATGCCCGATGTCCTGGACTTTCTGGTGCTGCGCCAGACCTTCGATTTGGCGGTGCAGCGCAACTGGAGCATTGGTGATCGCTTTCGCTGCATGATCGTTGACGGCTGGTGGATGGGACAGATCGAGTCGCGCCACCCCCTCTCTGCAGACTTCCCCGATTCCTTTTTCATGTGCTTCCGCGTGCGCTGGGACAACGGTGAATACGAATTCATGAGTCCCTGGGATATGGAGCCGATTGATCAGGAACGTGTGCCGGACGAGGTCGGAGGTGCTGTACCGGTGCTGCCAGAAGAGATTCGCGCCACCCTGTACCAGCCCAAGTCGGAGGAGTGGCATCGTGGAGATCGTGATGGCACATGTCGACGCATTATCAATGGCCTGGAGCAGGTTATGCGTCTGTCCATCGCTGAGCACTTTCTGGCTCCTGTGGACCTTAATATCTATCCGGACTACGCTTACCTGATCGAGTATCCCATCGATCTGACCACGGTCAAGTCACGCTTCGAGAATCACTTCTATCGCCGCATCACCTCAGCACAGTTCGATGTGCGCTATCTGGCCACCAATGCGGAGCAGTATAACCGCCGGCACACGATTATCGTCAAGCATTCCCGGATTGTCACCGATCTCTGTCTAAGGATTATCAGGTGAGTCAAGAGTGATGTGGATATGAAGTAGAAAAGATGGAAAATATGGATATAACAATGAATGGAATTTCTAGGGAAGCGGATGAGATTGATGTGGCTGCCGTCTATCATCAGCTGGTGGATGTATATCACTCATCCGAGTCGGAAAACGAAGCGGATTCGGATGTAGTACCGTCGACCAGCACAGGGCCCACCACATCGGCAGCTGCAGCAGCAGCCAGACAAAGAGTATCCTCCACCCGACGGTGAGTATTATACGACGCTGTTTCTCTGACTGTTTCACTAATAAATCCTGGCTGAATTGCAGCTCCACTCGTACTCATTCGGAGGGCGATTGGCGCGCCGACTGCCGGCAGTTGCTGGATTTGATGTGGGCGCGTACGGATTCGATGCCGTTCCGAGAACCCGTGGACACCATTGAGTTTCCCGACTACCTGGAGATCATTGCCACTCCCATGGATCTGCGTACAGTGAAGGAGGATTTGCTGGGTGGGAACTATGATGATCCGCTGGACTTTGCCAAGGATGTGAGGCTTATATTCCAAAACTCGAAGAACTACAACACCAACAAGCGCTCGCGGGTGAGTGATGGAGAAGCAATTCGGCAGATCGTCGTATAGATCGTCATTTATTGCATTCCCGGACTGAGATCGACCTTCTTTCTCAGTCGGCGCGCCTTCCTTTTTTTGTTTCTAACCCCCTCCTATTCCTCCTTTCCCCCCTCCACACGCACTCACTTGGACACATATGCAAGCTCATCAATCTGTTTCTTACGTTTCTTTTGCCTCTCGCGTAACATGCCTTCAATATCGATCTTCAAATTAACCATCCCAACTCATGATCAAAAATAACCCATCAAACATATTGATAAAATGACTAACCAAATGAATGACGATCTCCGTGACTATCATCTAATATAGGATAATCTAGCGGTAAGGTTTCTCATTTCCCAGGCGGGCTACTAACAAGCTTGATAGAGCTTGTGGAACCCTTGATTCTATTTTGAATGGTTCTCCATTTTCTTGCCTTTGCAGATATATGCCATGACACTGCGTTTGAGCGCTCTATTTGAGTCCCACATTAAGACGGTAGTCACCAGCTGGAAGGCGGCCTGCAGGAGAGCGAATAAAACGAAGTCAGGCAGCAGTGGTGGCGGAGGACGTGGTGGCTCAAGCAGTCCCAACAAGCGGGCCAACAAGGAGCGATCGACGCGTCGTAAACAGAAGCCATCGGCTGCAGCTAGACGGTTACCGATGGCCCACTCTAGCGACGAGGACGAGGATGATGATGACGATGATGATGATGAGGACGGCAGAGCGGCTGCGTCAAGAGCCTCACGATCTCGCCGTCGGAACGGTGTTGCCGTCACTGCCAGCTCTTCGGGCTCCAACCGCGTCACATCTTCATCTACCACGCAGCAGCGCAGGCACAAGAGCAGCAGCAGCGAGGAAGAGGAGGAAGAATCCAGTGCACAGGCCACCTCAGATGCTAGCAGTGATGAGGAGGAGGAGGATGATGCCCACTCTAATGCCAGTTCCCCAGAGCAAATACGCACGCGCCGGGGCAGACAGAGGCAACGTGTCAATGACGATGAGTCCATTGCTAACGATTCCGAGGATAGTTATAATCCCAATGAGGGACGCAGCAGTGGCCGGCGATCGGGAAACAAACGACCGTCGAGCAACCGGAACAGAGACAGCGGCCACCCCAGTAAACGTCGGCGTGTGAACAAGAGTCCAGCCAATGTGGCCTCCGCCTCTGGGCCTTCTCGCCGGACTCGTCGCCTGTTGGGCAGTTCAGCCGAGGAGGCGGCCCTCTCACAGCTCGACGAGAGCACCCAGGACAGCCAGACGGGACGTCGTAAAGGTAGATCAGCCACAAACCGCTCCCAGCCAATTGGCAACGGTCCCAGTACGAGTGCTGCTGCGGCTGCCAGTGGCTCCGGCAGCCTTGAGAGCCCCTCTCGAAAAACTCGCACCAATGGTAACCGGACAACGTCGAGCCATCATGCTGCCGAAAATGATCACAGCTATCACCTGCCAGTGCGCAACGGGCGCATCATAGAATCGGATACGGATTCCCACGGACCTATGAGCAGACCAACTCGCCAGAGCACCAAGCGGGCTCTAATGGATTGGGGACGTGGCAGCGACATCGAAGAGGAGGACAGCGATGATGCCGAAGAGGTAAGTGGGCTGGTCTCATTAATCTTTTTGGTCAAAAAATATCAATGTATCGATGTCCTTAGATCCTGCCCACGCCCACGAAGGATGACGTACCGTCGACTAGCAGAGCTGCTTTAGCTCAGGCCGCCGCCAGTGGACCTGTCCGTCAGTTGCGTACGAATCGCAACACTGTCATCCGACCGGCCCATAGCGACGACGACGATGATGATGACAGTGACAACGAGCCTTTGGCCAACAATCAGCAAAGTAAGTACAAGGAATTTATCGTTTAAAAGCAAATATTAATCTTAATTTTTCCAACAGAAAATTCACAACCTCCCGCAAAATCAAACTCAACGGCGGCAGCACCTCATCCGCTCTCCCTTCGTCGCCGTTTGGTCTCGCCGCTGGAACGAAGTCCACACATGACACGCTCGCATGCCACCTCGACGACCACTACAACGTCCTCGGTCGCAGGATCTCAGGCACAGCAGCAGCCACCGGCGCTTTCTACTCATGACCACAACTACCTGGGCAACCTGAACTCGTCCCGGACCCCGCGACGCATTCTGTCTCGCCATCAGCGCAATGCGGATGAGTTGGATACGAGCCCGGATCCTCTGGAGAGTTCCCGCCTGCATACAGCCATAGTCAATCACCGGCGTCCCACCTCAACGACGACAAATAGTACCAGTAACAGCACCAGCCATATGGTCACCAGACGTCTGCGAGGACGTGTCAGTCAGGCGAACTCTCAGGACGAGGACGAGGAGCAAGAACAGGAAGAGGATGAAGCAGCTGCCTCCGACGAGGGCACCGATGGCGGCTCTAGCACACAATTGAACGAGGACGAGGAAGAAGATGATGATGATGATGATGACGACGAGGAAGAGGACTCCGACTCGGAAGACAATCAGCCACTGACCAGCTACGTTTCGCCCAGCAACGGGCGCACCCGCCCACGTGAAGCGAAGACTTCCTCCTCCTCGGCAACGGCACAGGAGCGCCCGCTACGGCGCACACGTCGCCGGCCCTCCGATCAATCCTTTGTCAACGACAATGATGATGACGATGATTATGTGGTGCCACGCAGTCGGCGGAGCGCGAATCGAAGCTCCAATCAGCGTGGCGGAGGCCGTAATCAGAAACGTCCACGCTACAACGAGGAATCTGACGAGGAGGAAGCGGCGGCAGCAGCCAGATCTTCTCATCGCAGTAAACGAATTCGCAATGGGGATGCCCATGCCAGCAGCCAGGAGAGATCACGATCCGCCGACCACGGGCACGCCGCGGAGGACGACGACGAGGAAGAGGCTGCCAGCTCAGGGGACAGCGATGGCCAGCGTGTTAGCGTAAGCAGCCGGGGCAGGGTGCGAAAGATTTCGGCAAAGGCGCGTGGCATGTTCAAGGAGTGACCGCAGACTGTTTTTTGTATAAATTAAATCTAAAATGGCGAATCCCTGTAGCAACGTCGCTTTCTTATTATTGATTAATGTGTAAGAGTAAACCACGTCGTCACCTGTCATTGCCCCACGTCTCAGTCGCCATCATTGTCCAGTCCATGCCAGCACACAAGAATCCCCATCAAACCATCAAACCAGCCCAGACAAGGAGTGTTCGTTCTCGTCATCAACATCCACATCCGTCATTCTTCAATCGTTATGTTCAAGTCTTGGGCTGATCATTGGCCTCCGCCCTACGTACTATGTGTAGGGCGGGGTTTATCTGTATTTCTATAATATATAGGTACTATCATACATATATATTACAAAGGTAGCACTCGGAATCACACTTCATTTAAAATAGTTTTAGAATAAAGTATCATGAAAAAAACTGTAACTCTGCATGTAAATATTCTCTAATCTCTATTTACGATCTATAAGTTAGGGGAAGGATGTGGTGAGTGGATGGCGCTCCAACTACTTGACCGCCTTGGCGTAGTTCTTCACCCATTCCTCTGCCTGCCGCTTCACCTTAGCCACCGTTGCTTCCGTGCCGTGGGTCTCCTCCAGCTGCAGATACTTTTTGTAGATAACCTGCATCTTGTTGGGTTTCAGCTTCTGAAGTACAGCACGTTCCAGGACGTTTCTGCAATGGTGATAAAATAATGACAAAAACCTCGAGAAGATCTCCACTTTGAACTCACCTCGCCGAGTCTATGAGATCCGCCTTGATCAGCATGTCGACATACACCGACCAGATGTCAATTCGCTTCGGATAGGAAGTGACCACATCGTCGAGCAGTGTCTGAGCCATGTCGTTGGCATCGTTCTTGGCATACAGCTTGGCAAAGGACACAATACAGTTGATGTCTGAAAAGGTAATTAACAAATTAATATTTAGTTAAGGAAGAGGATATCTTATTATCCTTACGTTGTTGATTTGGCAGTACTCGCAGGGCTCGCTGGAGCAAGGCATGCACTTGGTCGGACTTCCCCAGCCAAAAGTAGGCCTCGGCTGCCACGGGCCACACCCTCACCTCGGCCTTGAACTTGTTAAGGATGGTGGTCAGCAGGGATGTGAGCCGTTCCTTCTGCTTATTTTTCTTTAGAATATCAATGACACTTATGTAAATCTCCAAGGGATCGTTGCAATTGAGGGCTTCCTTCAGGACATCATCGAAATTGCTGCTGTAGACAAGCTCAATGTTGAGCAGGGCACTCCACACGTTCCTCAGTTCCTGGGTCTCCCGGAAGGATATCGTTGAAATGGCCCGGCGGGCCAAGTCGCGAGCCTTTTCAATCTCCGTGTTGGACAGAAGGAAGGCTATGTATTTCAACCAGGAAATGCTATTGTTTGGCTGGGCTATAACCAGTCGCTCGTACTGGTCAATGGTCTCCAGGCGCGCCTTGGGATCGGCATTGCGCTCTTCAATCTCTCGGAGCCGCTGCTCTTCCTTTACCTCCGCCTTTGCCTTCTCCTTGGCACTCAATCGCTTCTTTTTCGCCGGCTGGACATCTGCTGCATCTTCTTGGTCTTCATCTTCGTCACTGGAAGCTGCCTGCTGCTGATCGCTCTCCCAAAAGCTGGACACACCGGGCAAACGCGTTTTGGCCTCGACTCCATTGGTTTTTGGTGTCTCAGTCTTGGCACTCTTGAATGGTTTTTTGTCCTCGAAAAAGAGCAGACCATTTTGCATGGATTTCTCCTTCACAATGCCATTTGTCAGGGATTGCGTCTTCTTTTGGCCCTTGGTGGTCTTTTCGTCCTCCTCCAGCTTTCGCTTCGTGGCTATGGCTTCCGCTTTGGCCTTTTTCTTTGACAATTTCTCCTCCGTTTTGGCCTTCTTCTTTGTAGTCGTCTCCTCAGTCTTGACCTTCTTTGCGGAGGTTTCATCCAGTTTTGCCTTTTTGGCCTTTACAACGATTTCCTCTTCAGTTGCCGCTCGCTTCGCATCTCTCCAGATGCGCCAAACATTTTCGGGAACGGCGATGGGCAGCTTATCGTGTATGAAGGCAATATTGCAGAAATCACCCTGTCGGAGGTCCACGCTGCCAGTGTTTTCGATGTCGTTCTGATGTAGGCGAATGGGACAGATGACCAACGGATTGGTTCCCTTCTTCAGCGAGCATATAGCCACGGTCTCCAGTTTCAGCAGCACCTTGGCCTTCATGCCGGCTCTACCGACCAGATTCTTGGGCAGCTCACCGCTTTTCGAAATGTGCTCAATGTCATGCTTCTTGTTGCTTATCAGCAGTTCATTGCTGGAATAGTCAATCCACAGGATCACCGCCGGTTGCTTGCTGCCCACCTGGGGAGGCGTTGCTGTGCCAGTGAGACTGGAGAGCAGAAGAGCGCTTAGATTGCCAGCTTCAGGGTCCTCTACATTGTATTTCCAGTTATGGGTATGCGGATCGATGCCCTTAAATACCACGCTAATCTTATCGCCGATGGAGTACTTGGCGATGGGGGTGGATTTATCCTTTAGTGATTTCCTAATCACCTTCACTTCATCCAAAAATTCTTCAACCACCTTGGCTGTGCCTTTTAAATCGCCGTTCCAGACATCGGTGAGCTTGGCGGACACCGTTAGGGTCTTGGTTTCCGCCTCCTTGCTGAGCACCTTCACTAGCAACAGCTGATCGAGTTCCAAATTCACAGACGCGTTCTTTACAACATTCAAACGAAGCATCTTAACGTGCACCTTCACCGGCTTGTTGTAGTTGCGAACGCACACCATGAGGTCCACCACCTGATCGTTGACTTGCTTGACGTAGGAGCGTAGGATGTCGCCCACTTGCACCGATGACCAATCCTTGGTAAGTTGATTGCTGAAGTAAGGGACATCGCGGATACTGAAGATGTTCTGATCGATGCACACGGCCCCGGTGAAGGTGCCAGCAGGATGAACTCGCAACTGGGCGTGCATAAGCTCAGGGTAATCGGAGAGCAGTCTTAACGGTACGAGACCCATAAACTCCTCCAGCTTGGGGTTCCCCTCCTCGTCTTCATCGTCGTCTTCAGAGGCACAAGTGATTTTAATCTCCAATCCAGCGTCCAAGACATTGGTTACCTCAACGGGACAGATTTCGCCCAGCTTGAACTTGTCCTCGGGCAGAGTCAGGATGATTTGATCCTTGCTGCGGCTCAAAATGCGAAATTTCGTGGTCTGTCCCTCGAAGAAGGTGCTCTGACCCTTTAGGTTTTTTCTGTGGAGAACTCCCTTGATGCCATTGCCAAACTTGACGAGCACGTAGTTAACCTCGCACCGGACCACAGTGCCGGTGTACACGTTGTCCGCCTGGGCGGCCGTGTAATCCGTGAGGAGATTCAATCCCTTGGCCAAATACTCGCTGCGGTTGCTCAGGTAGCAGACTTTGCGGTCTGTGTCCACTTCGAGGACCCGGCACTTTAGCTGCTGGCCCACATCATAACGGACATTAGGCGCCAGGTAGAACTGCTCCAGTATGCCGTTGACCTTGCCGATCTTCACCGCCCAGCCTTTGATCTTGTCGTCCTTGCGGAACACTTTGGCTGTGACCAGGTCTCCCGGTTTGATATCCTCCAGGCTGTAGACTTTCTCGTTGACCAAGTTGGGATCGTCCGAGCAGTAGTACAGGGATTCGATGACATCGTAGCCAAGAACGCGCACCTTGTGCTTGGTCCTTCGTGCATACTTGGATAGCACTTCGTCCTTGTCGTAGTTTCCTTTGAAATTGGCCCGGATGGAGCCGTAGGATATGATGCCAGCCACATGCTTGTTGAGCAGCAGCAGCACTCCACCACTGCCCAGCCGCAGGACCTTGCTCTTCTCCACCACGGAGCCCACCTTGATGGGTTCTCTCTTCTCTTCGTTTTCCTCATCTCTGCTTTGCACATCGGCTTCAACCTTGATGTCCAGATTGAGGGTCAAGTATACCAGTTTTGTTAGGGGCATCACGTAGAGCACCCTGGCGTTGTATTCCTCATTAAGGTCGTAGGCATCCACGGTTTCCAACGCGTTGCCCAGATGGTGCTCATTGACATAGGCGCTGAAGGATTCGTTCATGATGCTGCCCTTGAGGCCGTCTTTTAAATGCTTGTCCACCTTGAAGCGGACAATGCTGCCCGGCAGAATGTAGTCCAAATTGGTTTCGTTCTGGCTCTTAATTTTGATTTGGTCCTGATCCACTTGGACACAGGTGCAAGTGCTCTGGTGGGCGTCGTGCTTGACCTGCTTGATTTTTAGGAAAGCCAACTGACCCACATGAAGCGTCTGATTCTGTTCCTCGCAGGGCACAAAGGCCTGCAGTCCTTGTACTCCCGTTTCGATCACGTAGCCGTGCTCCTGAATCTCCGACACGGCGCCGGAGAAGATGAAGCCCTTCTTGATGCTCTTGTGGTGTAGGCTACCATGAACGTCGGCCGGCTTAAGGGAGAGCAGCAGCGAGATGCGGTTACTGTCCAGCTTTTCTGTTTTAATGGCCTTGCCGTAGACGATACGTCCCACCGGGAAGAGTTCTGTGAGGTCGTGGTATTCACTGGTGTCGCCCGACATGGCCGACTTCGCCACGCGCGTGTATGCTTCCGATATGTCCGCCACCAGAGTGCGTGCATACATCCGGCCGGGCAGAGCGATCTGCAGCGTAGTGGCGCTCGTCTCCTTGACCACTCCCATGACCAGCATGTCCTCCTGCAACGTATCCATGTTGAGCGTTTCCGCGGAGAACGCTTCCAGCTGCTCATTGTTGTCCTCGGTGAGTTCCTTGAGAAAGTTGTCTTTCGGCTTTGGAGCCTTTTTCGTTTTCTTCTGCGACGCACCAAATACCTGCACGAGAGAACAAAAAAGTATGTACCAGTTGAGCGATGATTTCTCAAAGAAAACTCACTATATTCGAGTTGCTGTCGGCTGATTTCGCCTCGGCGTGGACTGTCCCACCTCGGGGGAAACTTTTCTCATTCGGAACCATGACTAAAATCTGTAATTAATCGTTTTAAATAACAAAAATCAAGCAACGTGCCCACAACTACACGTGCTACACAGAGTGACCATGTCAAAGTTCTTGGTAAATGCCAAAAACTGCGAACCTCATACAAGAATATACCAAAACAAGGCATGAGACTCCGCCGTTTGAAAGGAAATACCATGGACTAAACGTGTAGAGCCGCCTTAGCCCGGCACACATGTGAGTTTGAGATCGCGACTTTTAAACAAAAATGCAAACTTTACGCGAATTTACGCGTAAAACCAAGCGCGGGAACATCCTGAAGATTGTGCGAGAGCACTACCTGCGGGACGACATTGGCTGCGGCTCCGATCTGTGTCAGCAATGCTTTCAGAACGAGGTGTATCAACTTACTTCCCAGCATGAGATCCAGAGCAGTCTCTTCAAGTTTCCCCACTACATTGTCTTGGACACCAATGTGGTCCTCGACCAGATCGATGTACTGGAGGAGGATGTGCTCCACAACGTGATTGTCCTCACCACAGTCCTCAACGAGGTGAAGCACAAGAGCTCCTCCATTTATAAGCGCTTCAATGAGCTCGTCCACGATCGCACCAGGAACTTCTATGTGTTTGTCAACGAGCACCACAAGTGAGTAAAGAAAGACAACATAATCTGCAGAAATACTTAAATTCTTGTTATAGGGAAACCTATGCTGACCGAGAGCCGGATGAGACCGCCAACGATCGTAATGACCGTGCCATTCGCCTGGCCACCAAGTGGTATGACGACCACCTGCGGGCTTCGCAGTCCTCCAAAGGATTCGAGCGTAGTGGTCGGGCTGCTACCCGGGTAATCCTGCTTACCGATGATGCCGGAAACCGTGCCAAGGCCGAAGCCGAGGGCATTCTAGTGGCCTCTGCTTCGGAGTATGTGAAATCCCTGGACGACTTCCCACTGCTGGTGGATAAACTTTCGCGCAACACTTTCGAGAATGAGAAGAAGGGTCTGCCCCAGTATCCGCCGCATTTAAGCATGAAGGAGCTTCTGGAGGGACTGCGGAACAAGAAGCTGTTGCAGGGCGCTTTCCAGGCCTCCAGGGAGAACTACCTCGAGGGTAGTGTCAACGTGGAAGGGTACGAGAAAGGGGTAAGCACACTAAAATACTCTTCTTTCTCCCTGACTGCATTTTGCACTTTTATTACAGATTTTAATCCAAGGAAGGGAGGCGCTTAACCGAGCCGTGGACGGCGATCTGGTGGCTGTGGAGCTGCTGCCCGAGAATGAATGGTCGGCGCCCAGCGAGATTGTTCTGGAGGAGAAGAACGTATATGCTGATGATGTGCCCAGCGAGGAGCGTGCCGCTGACGAAAAGGACATGCTAAAGCAGGTGCAGGCTGCAGCCGCTTCTGCAGAACGCACACCCACCGGCCGCATCGTGGGCATTGTGCGACGCAAATGGCGCCAATACTGTGGCATTCTGCAGCCCAGCCTCATTGAGGACACCAACAGACACATCTTTGTGCCCGCCGATCGGAAGATACCCCGCATCCGCATTGAGACCCGTCAGGCGGCCATGCTGCAGAACCAGCGCATCATTGTAACCATTGACACGTGGCCAAGGAACTCCCGCTATCCGCACGGACACTTTGTACGCTCCCTGGGCCCATTGGGCAACATGGCCACCGAGAACGAGGTAATCCTATTGGAGCACGATGTGCCACACTGCAAGTTCTCGGAGGAGGTGTTGAGCTTCCTGCCCAAATTGCCATGGATCATTACCGAGGAGGATTACGCCAAGCGTGTGGATCTGCGCGATCTGTACATTTGTTCAGTGGACCCGCCAGGCTGCACAGACATTGACGATGCCCTGCATTGTCGGGAGCTTCCCAATGGCAATCTGGAGGTGGGTGTCCACATCGCCGATGTGAGTCACTTTATTCGACCCGGCAACGCCCTGGATAAGGAGGCAGCTGCCAGAGGAACCACTGTGTATCTGGTAGGCAAGCGCATTGACATGGTCCCTGAGCTTCTCAGCTCGAATCTGTGCTCGTTGGTTGGAGGTGTGGGGCGTTTCGCCTTTTCCTGTGTGTGGGAGGTGGACCAGGAGGCGAATGTGTTGGCCAAGCGCTTCCACAAGAGTGTTATAAAGTCCAAGAAAGCCATGACATATGAGGAGGCGCAGGTGATAATCGATGACCCCACTCAGAATGATGAAATAGCCAAGTCCCTGAGGAATCTCAATCGTCTGGCCAAGATCCTCAAGAAGCGACGCATGGACAATGGGTAAGGTTTAATCCCCGAGAATCCCTTCTGATCTAGACTTTTCATGGAATCCCTCATTTACAGAGCCTTGGTGTTGGCCTCGCCTGAGATTCGCTTCCAGGTGGACAGCGAGACCCACGAACCCCTCGAGGTGGAGGCCAAGCAGATGCGTGAAACCAATTCAATGGTGGAGGAGTTCATGTTGCTGGCCAACATCACGGTGGCCGACCACATTGCCTCGGAATTCTCCGAGTGTGCCGTTCTGCGTCGCCATCCCCGACCGCCGCCTACCAACTTTGATCCGCTCGTGAAGTCCGCCCGCTATCAGGGCTACCACGTGGACATCGAGTCCGGCTTGGCGCTGTCGCATTCGCTGGATAAGTGTGTCAAAAAGGACAATCCGTACTTTAACACCATGATACGCATCCTCACCACTCGCTGCATGATGCAGGCGGTGTACTTTATTAGCGGCAGTTTGCAAAAGGAAGAGTTCTTCCATTACGGACTGGCGGCGCCCATCTACACGCATTTTACCTCGCCCATTCGTCGTTACTCTGATATTATGGTTCACCGTCTGCTGGCTGCCTCCATAGGCGCGGACAGCACCTATGCCCAGCTGCTGGAGCGCAAGTCCAACGAGGAGATATGCCACAATCTGAACTACCGCCACAAGATGGCTCAGTATGCGGGTCGGGCCTCGGTGGCCCTCAACACGCATCTCTTCTTCCGTGGCAAGGAGGAAGATGAAGAGGGCTATGTGCTGTTTGTTCGTAAGAATGCACTGCAAGTGCTCATCCCCAAGTACGGTCTCGAGGGAACCCTGTATCTGAAATCCGACAAGGATGGCAAGAGCGGTCTAGAGCGTACCAAGAGCGAAATTGTCTTCACCTTTAACGAGGAGGACTACACCCAGCGCTGCGGCAATGTGGTCTTCCACTCTTTCGACCCAGTCACTGTTCGTTTGAGTCTGGACTCCAGCAATGTGCAGCACGAGAAGTTGGTCTTCCGGCTGGTCAAGCCGTACATCAAGGGGTTCAGTGTGGAAACGACAGAGGATAAACAGACAGCAGACGCAGCACCGCCCTCGAAGAAGACGAAGAAGGATAAAAAGAAAAAGTAATCCTTTCGATTCCTTAGCAATTAGAATATAAGATGAAATTGAGTAAAATTTATAACTACAATCTATTTTCGTATAAATAATTGAATTATTTTTATAGCTTAGCGTTTCATTATATCCATTTCCCAACGTTCCGACGGCTCTCCCGATTTCAGAGAACCTTTGATCGGTTATTTCTTTAAGGTTTCGGTATTCCACTTGTGTTCTACATTTTCCTGTCTCATTGCAAAGTTTCGACTTCAAAGCGACGGTTGTGCACGGTTCGATTGAAACAAGAGCTTTTAGAGGACATATAGGAAAAGATATAACATTATATTATATAATATTACACATAACTTAAAATATACGATATGGAACCGGGTGCTGGCGCGTTGAATAATGAAGGCAGTAAGTTCAAAATGGCAAACATTAAAGAAAATGTTGAAATTTATTTTGTCAGTGAGTAATCACATGATTTGTATGGAATACAATTGGATTTATATACTAAAATGTATATATAAAGTTAATTAGACTTGAAAAACAATAGAATAGTGAAATTACGTAACTATAACCTCTCTAAGGATCTCTAAAGATTTAGTAACTCTTTGATGAGGCTCAAACTTAGAATTATATTGTTTTAGTGAATCCTAATCCTTTCAAGATTTATAAATAATAAAAATATAAGTTCAATAAAGATAAGGGTGTATTTTAATAATTTTCTATTTAATGCCTTGAACTTTCCCTCCAACTATAATGTAATTTAGTTCTGTGGATCAAATTTTAAGCACTCCATATTAATGATTCGCGATTAGCTTATTCCGTCTTGCTTTCGAGGGTCCAATGGCCAGGTGGAATGACGTCTAGATTATGCTCAAGCGTCTGACTCGGCGGCATATAAGCACGATATATAGGTATAGGCACGATAGGGCTATATAGAAATCAGTTGAGTGACCGCGACATTTAGAAAAATTTAAAATTCAATGCGACTCCAAGAGGTGCTTTATATAGCAGGGTGGTCAAGTTCTATTGCTGTAATTTAGTTTCAAAGCCTTAATTAATCAGTGATCCTAACCAAGGGTACAAAACTCTCTTAATCCCTTTGATATCGTATAGATGACACCATCTGCGGCATGCCAGTGGAGGCCCACGATCCGCTGTACCTACAGGCTTACCGTCAGAGCGTTCAGGATCCGGAGGCCTTCTGGGAGGAGCAGGCCCAACTGCTGGACTGGGACCGTCCCTGGCAACAGGTGCTGGACAACAGCAATCCACCCTTCACCAAGTGGTATGTGGGCGGTTATCTGAATGCCTGCTACAATGCCATCGATCGGCACATACTGGCCGGGAGGGGCTCCAAGGTGGCCCTCATCCACGATAGCCCAATGACGAACACAGTGCGCCGTGTGACCTACCAGGAGCTGTACGACCAGATTGTGTTGCTGGCCGGTGGTCTATCCAAATTGGGCGTAGTCAAGGGTGACCGCGTAGTGATATATATGCCTCTGATACCGGAAACCATCATCGCCATGCTGGCCATAGTTCGGTTGGGCGCCATTCATTCGGTGGTCTTTGGTGGCTTCGCCGCCAGGGAACTGTGCTCACGGATAGAGCATGTGGAGCCAAAGTTGGTGATTGCCTCTAATGTGGGTGTTGAGCCCGGCAAGGTGGTGCCTTATCTGGATATACTCCACTCGGCCATCCATATGTCACGCTGGAAGCCCCCTCAGAGGAACATCATCTTCCGTCGCGACAATGTCATTCCGGACATGAGCAGGCTGGTTCCGGAGGCGGATGTTCTCTGGGCTGATGTTCTGAAAATGTCTGAGGGAGAGGAACCCGTGGCCTGTGTTCCCATCGAAGCCAACGATCCGCTTTATATCCTGTATACATCGGGTACCACGGACAAGCCAAAGGGAGTCCTGCGCACCATTGGGGGTCACCTGGTGGCACTAATGTATACTCTGCGCACCATCTATGGCATCAGTCCTGGGGACACTTGGTGGGCGGCCTCCGACATGGGATGGGTGGTGGGACACTCATACATCTGCTATGGCCCGCTGTGCCTGGGAGCCACCAGTATCATGTACGAGGGTAAGCCGGATCGCACCCCTGATCCTGGACAGTACTTCAGGTAAGTTAAAATCGGAACAAATAAATGAAGAAGATTTCATGTTCCCCTTTCCTTGGCAGAATCATCGACCAGTACAAGGTTCGTTCAATTTTCTCGGTGCCCACCTCCTTTCGGGTGATCCGTCGTGCCGATCCGGATATCAGCTATGGACGCCAGTACTCGATGAAATCCCTGCGAGCTATCTTCATTGCCGGAGAGCATTGCGACTATGAGACCAAGAACTGGATTGAGAAAACCTTCAAGGTGCCGGTGCTCAATCATTGGTGGCAGACGGAGACGGGTTCCGCTGTGACCGCCACTTGTTTGGGTTTCCAGCAGAACCTAAGTCCGCCTACCTACTCTACGGGACTGCCTCTGATGGGCTATGACAGTGAGTGATGCTCCAGATAGCTTGGATTAGAAAAAAGAATTAAAAAGTCCTGGGACATCTCTCTTGCAGTCAAGATCCTGAAGCCCGATGGTACCGAGACCCAGTGCATGGAGTTGGGTAGAATCGCGCTGAAGCTGCCCCTGCCTCCAGGCAACATGGCCACATTGTATAAGAACGAGGAGCTCTTCCGCAAGCTGTACTTTCAAAAGTTTCCGGTGAGTTCTTTGATAATACAACTTCCTAATCTAAGTTTAGAATTTATTTAGCTTTTCATTTTATTAAAATCTCAATAATTATCTTCCCATCTAGGGCTACTATGACACCATGGATGCTGGATATAAGGACGATCGTGGCTATATTTTTGTGACAGCTCGCGATGACGATGTGATTAATGTGGCTGGCCATCGACTATCCACCTCTAGTTTGGAAGATGCCGTCCTGCGGCATCCGGATGTGGTTGATGTGGCTGTCTTTGGTGTTCCCGAGCCCACCAAGGGTCAGGTGCCGCTCTGCCTGTACATACCCGTGGAGAATTGCAAGAAGACCGATGCCAAGCTATCGACAGAGATTATAAAGCTAATCAGGGATGTGGTGGGACCTATCGCTGCCTTCCGTTTGATTACCCCTGTGAACAGCCTGCCACGTACTCGTTCTGGGAAGACGATGCGGAAAGCCATGGCTGATTTTGCCCGGAATGAGCGTGTGATCCTTCCTGCCACCATTGATGATGCCACTGTCTTCACCGAGATACGGCGGGCTCTTCAGCAATTGGGTTACGCGATGACTGCCCCCGATCCGATTGTGGCCAAGCTGCTGGACTGAAGGATGATGATGTCCTGCGGCAGGAAGTGTCTGCCCCACCCGCTCTATAGTTTGTACGATTCCCGAGAATGGAAATAAAGTTTAAGCAAGTTTTTCTGGGGTTTTTCCTCCGTTTATTTGCGTAGGCCGTAAAGTGGCGAAAATAATTTAAATGTTAATAGCTGGGCACCCGTGACCTATTAGCAAATTTTATACATATATTCTCCCTGCACAGACGCATTATCTAACCATCGGCATACAACTGAAACCCAATCAGTTTATTCAAATTTTGTGCAAATTTTGTGTTACATTGTTAGGGGCCACCGGCCCCCTTTCCCCTTCATATATCCTTATTCCTCAGTCACATATGGATGGCACTGGCACTGCAATGCCTTATTATTTTCCCAGATTTGTGCACATCAAAGATGACAGTTAATGGGGGGCTAAATGTAACCCAATTAGTGGATGTATGCTCGAAAAGTGGACAAGTGGGGGAACCCCACTAATGCAATATGGTGTCCATTAAGGTATGAAAAGTGTGTCATGTTCTGGCTATAATAAAATTATTATATTATTTATAAAGGGAAAAAGAATAAGAATCTGAGGTACTCAAAGTCTTAAGAGTTTTCTGTATCTTAAGAAAAGTATACTAGCCCTAATAAGTTGGTATAAAGTTTGAATTAATTATTTTAAAACATGAAACATCATTTATAACCTTCTTTCCCTACAGCGTTTTGCCTTGAGTTTAGATATAATAGATCATCTCTAGCCTTAAGTCTCTGACTTTTAACAAATTTAATTTGGAATATATATACATATATAGAACTTGGTTAAGTACAAAAATACCTTCAGTAATGGCTTCATCCTGACTTCATTTCAAATCCATAAAATCTCTCTCTCTCTCTCTTCATAGACACGACTGTAGTTATAGCTCCATCCAGTTGGAACCAAGATGAGTACCTGACGTCACAGTCGAAAATTCCTGGCAAGGATTTTGCATGCGAAACACGCACAGATTCAAATTAATTGCAACGCTTCGCCTGCAAATCCCAGTCTCATAAACCGGAGATTACTCTGCTTACGCAGCCGAAAGGCAAAGTGCAGCTGCCGGGACTTTGGACATCGAGCACTGGCTTTAAACTTCGAGCTTAAAGCAGGTCCTGCTGTCCATAGGATGAACCGTAAAACTTTGATGGAAGGTATTAATAAGTATAACTACCTATAAATATCCGATGGCTGCCGGCCACTGATCATAAAAGTGCGAACTTTTACAACATAATTAAGAGCTGATAAACTTATATAATAGATAAACATATTGGGCAACTCGGTGGGTTGCCATCGCCAGTGTGTGCCAAGTGCACACAATGAGCGGCAGCGCATCCGTGCTCTGGTCGAAGTCGGTGGCGTATGAGCTATGTTTGAGCACGCCCACCAGGCGTATATCCTGGCAGGAGAGCGCAACATGTGGTCCCCCGCCCCATCCATGGGAATCTCGGTGTGCTTGTTTGTGTGCTCCTTCGCCAGTCAGCCAATCAGAAGCCGCCGTGCCATCTGGCTTCGTCCTCAGCGAAAAGTAAATAAAAGCGGATTTCCTGGCTGGACAGGACATCATTCGAGTGCTTGCGTTCAACAAGTCTAGCAAACGGAGCAGTAGCTGAACCCCAGTGACAAAAGCCCAAGGAAACCAACAAGTTTATCCCTCGAAATCTTTGTGGAAACATCCATATCTTAAATCTATCAGGTTTGTAATAGTGTTTTTTGGTTTTACAAAGAAAGTGAAAGCTTAAAGATCGGTGTGGGATAACTAAAGTGTTTCTTAGAAAGAAATGCTTGGTAGAACTAACAAGATTTAAAAGTGAAAATTAAGCAAAACGGTTCTGGGAGTTAATTAACTAAGGTTTCAAATGTTTGAATTAATATGCTTGAAGTCGAAAATTAGAAGAGAGAATTTTAAATCACACATTGAACTAAAAACTTTCAGGTACAAACTTTACTTAAAATGTGGTTCCCTTCAACATTTAAAAGATCTAATAATACTAATACTTAATATTATTTTAAGCTTATAAAGTAACTTGAGTCTTTCCACTAACTTAGTAAAGCATTCTTCAATGTTGTGAAGTATAAAAAATATGGGTTTTAAAGTTTAAACAGCTTATTTAAATACTTGTGATTTTCCCCCACATCTATAGATATTCTTTTTCAAATGAAAATCTAATCAAAAATATCCATAAATTTATTGAAATCTAATATTTTCTAGTGCAAAGCAATTAGGTAATGCCTCTTAGTTCATTTAAAACCCAAGCACACATCATTGATTGGTGTTCGTGCATTGTAGTTAAGTCCTAAACAAGCGACAACTGTCTGGATCCTTAAAACGTGTCCTTTTTGCACATTCCTTGTCTCCTCACACCACCTCCTGGCAACACACTTTTAAGCTAAATAGATGAAGACGAAACACGTATGCATATGGCGCACTTTCCTCGTGTGCGTTTGCATGCCAACTTGCATCCCAGTGACGGCACACGGGGCGTATGAGTGTTGTGCTACCTTAGGGTATGGAGTAATCAGTGCCATCAAAGGAGGCGGGGAGGACTCTTGCTAATAGAAACAAATTGTCTGTCGCGTAAACATATTACGGTAGCATTAGGGCCTCCTGGCTGGATGGTATTCAAAGTGGAAACTTCACCGAGAGCCTGCAACGAAGACAACTCCATTTATGCATAATGCTTTGCCACGGCAACGCCAGCCACATGGCTTGGCAATCAGGCACGTAGCATTAAGATCATTACACTTAATCAAAATTTGCCAGGGGGAAACGAGAGCTGCCCTCCAGCTTCGGGATGGATGAGCAGATGGCGTCCTTGCTGGCAACCTTTTGCTTGCTAAATAATCCAATAAGCCTGACACCCGCTAACGATGTCAATCGTGCTTCCTGCACATTACTCTGAACTTGCAGCATGTCCTTCGCACAGTTCTTTGTCGCCTGCTGCCTGGCCGTTATCCTGCTGGCCGTGGCTAACACACAAGCAGCCAGCCAGCCACCGGCATTGTGCGCGGCCGGCATTGTCGAGGAGATGCCTCCGCACATTAAGAAGGTGTGCCAGGCGTTGGAGAACTCGGTACAATTGTCCTCGGCCCTCAACTCCTACATCAACAATGAGGCCTCCGGTAGGTGGAAGTTTAATTAATTAATTACAATTTAGTTTAGATTCGCTTGTAAAATAACTATTCCGATTTCTTTGCAGCCTTGGTTGCCAACTCAGACGATCTGCTGAAGAACTACAACAAGCGTACGGACGTCGATCACGTCTTCCTGCGTTTCGGCAAACGTCGTTAAGGATATTTACCCCCCAAAAAGGACACTATCGCAAGCCCATTTTGATCCCTCGATGACACAGGACCTTGACCAACGAGCGGCGAAATCGTTTCTGTTCCACACACACACAGCTCAACACACTTTTTGAAGTATTCAGCATAATTATGTAAATGTAATCAATGGAAAAACTCAGAACTATAATCAATTGGAAGCTCTCTAGTTCATTAAATAGCAAATCGATGTGTCCAATGTTTCTATAAAAAGTCACATACATGTACATACTCAAAGACCCCCGAAACGTTCTGCACAAAGTTAATACCTTTTCTTTAAACATTTTCTTTCTTTCCTACTTTTTGACTTTATTAATGTTATACAAATAAACATTTAGTAAACTTAATATGCGTATTAGATGCAGCTATCTCACATATATTTCCCTAGCATGAAGCACTAATATTAAATAACTAAAAATATGTTTTCAAATCTACAATGTCTTGAGTTAATCTATTAAATAAAGACAAACTTTTCCTCTCAATATGTGAATGCATGACAAAATGCAATTGAAACTGGTGTATTTTTGGGTTTAGAGATGGAAAAACAATTAAAATAAATACTATATAGCGGAAGATTTAACTTTACTAGATTTTTAACATATAAATCAAGATCTTGTGCGAAGATTTTTTAAGTTTCACAACGTTTCATTATTCGATAATAATATCAATTGGAAGTGTGCAAACGCGTTGAAGTTTTCATTTCCGACCCTATAAACCATATACATATATTCTTGATCAGCATGATCTGCCGAATCGATTGAGCCATTTATGGAAGAAAAAATTCGTTACTCAATTTTTTGCAAATTTTTTTAAACATAGTTGAAATTTTGAACAAAAATTTAAGAAAATTTTAACTTTTTTTAAAAACTTAATTTCTTTATGCTGGTTTGTTTACCTTACAAAAACTAGCACAGAAAAGCTTTCCGAATTGAAATCAATTCATTTTCGACCTAATTGTGATAGATTTAGGTTTCGGTTTTCTGATTAAATTTCAAAATACCCCAAAGTAAGCTTTCTTATTTTAAACAGCCTTTAAATTTGGTTCCATACTGTCTTGAAATTATGACAATTATGCACCTTTAAGATTATATAGTCTTAATCCGAACCCATTAAAAATATCGAAACAGTAAAAGTCATGTTTTATAGTAGTTTTTGACAACACTTTATTGTTGTGTTCAATTTTTCGAATTCTGAGAACTAAATTATAAGAAAAAGATCCAACAAGCTTTGATAACTATCAAATTTAATTTTAAATCACGGTAATTTTCGTTTTAATACTGAAATAAATACAGCACCACACAGTATTTTTTAAGATTACAGTCAAAGTTGTATTCGTTCTGTTCCAAATATGGAAAATATTGCCTGGAACTTGATTTTTCAAACAATTTAAAAAAGTATTATTTTTTATTAATTTGACATGATATGTTCGGTAAATTTATAAAGTTTTCTTTTCAGTAATAAATTAATAAGATTTTCAGTAATTATATTTATAGTAGGCACTTGTGTATTTGTGAAAACATCATCAAAGACTTGTTCCATTGTATGCTTTTGGTAACCAGAAGTAGTATCATATTTTGTGAGTATATATTTGGTTAATGGGTTCCACAGATCGCAGTTAATTTCGCTCCATTCGGTTATATTTTGTTTCAAAATTCTTTTGCTGAAAGAAATCATTAAAAGTTTCCATTTAATTGCATATTGGGTTTAAGTGATTGCTGCCATTTGAAATGCTTTTATTAAATCAATAAAGAATTAAACAAATAATAGAATAAGTTAAATCAAATTATTTGACACGAAAACGGGAAATAATGCAGTTAGCTCATGTCTATATCATTGTATATATATTAAATGCCAAAGCATGTAAATTAAAATATTTATATACCATTCACAAATGATTTTCTTTGTCTCTGATCTCTTAAACATATATCACTTTTGATATTTGTAAATCGATTTTCTGGTTTTGTGTTTTTGAATTATTATTATTTTGCTGCCATCTATATTTGAACATCCATTCAAGGATTTTTACTATCAATTTGGAACATATTAGTATTTCTTAGAGAGTTCAGTTTTAAAATGTTCTTTCTATGGTAGATGGAGATTTAATCTCCTTGAAATATCAATCAGCCTTTTCGTTCAATAATCATATTTTATATTTTCTTAGCTTGGTCTGTGCAAGACCCGAACAAATTATTTAACTTTGTCTTAACTATAACAAATAAAATCATTTTATACATAAATCAAAATATATAAATAACATAAAAGTGCAACATATAAAACAAAATATTTCATAGATTCATAATCTCATTCGTTTTTTTTTATAAATATATTTTTGTTTTCTTTTTTGTTACTTGTTTTTTTCTTAGTGTTGTTTGTTTTGAGATCCACCATTGGACAAATCCATTTTAGATCGTTTCCTTCAGACTTGATAAGCCTTTAAATGCTTTCATTTTGATTTCTCATTAAGATATCATTCATTCCTGTAAAAAATAACTAAATGCTACGGTTTATATGTGAAATGCGTCAATAAGGCCACATTTTGTTTTATGTAGAACTCAGCAGTTTGTAAGATTTACAAATTACAGATTTAAAGGTAAGGTATTTAGGTAAGTGTATGAACTTTAAAGCGGACAAATCGAATAATAATATAATTTTCCTTGCTGAGTTCATCATATTCTTAGAGTTTTATATATTTCTTTGGCTTTGACCTTAACTTACCAAAATATTGAAAAAATGTTATACTGATATTGTTTTGTTTGTACTTTCAGTGCTTGTGTTTTCAATTCGTAAATTTCTATAATTTAGCTATTATTGGCTTAATCAATTTTTTACGTTCTCAAAAATGTATATACGCGACACTATCTCAATAATTAATTGATTAATAGTCGTACGTAGTTTTGTTCGAGGCTCTTTTCGTCATATTTGTTTCTATGGTTTATCCTGAGCATTGGTTTAGGTTATTTGAACTTTAATTATAGTCTTGCTTTTCTTTGTTCTTAGTTTGTTTTTTATGCTTTTGTTATCTTGGCAACATATCGAATAAAAGTAATATTTTACTTGCAGTTTCATTCATTTGTTTCTTGTTTTTTTTAATGATTTTTTCTTGCTTGCTGTGGTTTTTCAGTTCAGTCTCTTTTAAGTTTTCTTCACTCAGTGCTCGACTTTCGATTGCTTAATTATTTTGTACTGATTGATTTTTGTATAAACAAAATATTTAAAATAATAATTGGTACGCTTAAATAAGTTTAATGCATTAAACACATTTTTGAACATTATTTTATTGACTTTGATATTGGTTATGATTTTTGCATCTTTTGCTAATATATTTTTTGTGTATTTCGTTATTTGTTTTTTTTTCTGCTTATTTTATAAGTTACATAAATACGAAATTGTTGATTCTGCTTAAATTGTTGCTAAACGTAAATAGTTGTTGAAAAAATAAAATAAAAGAAAAAAGGAAAATAAAAGTTTGGCTTCCGTCATTGACGTCAATATGGTAAAGAAAAAGATACATTCTTGCAAAATCATAAACTTCTTTCAGATATAGGGAGAATATATATATATATATGGGGGTTGGGAACCAACTTTCAGAGTGTCGAGAGCTTATCAACTAAAATCTATACATTGCATTCTTTTGTATACAATTTGACATCATTCACAAAGTTTATAAATTTAGTTTAGTTCATCGAGAGAAGATCATGTTCGTACTCATTGTTTTCGTCATATGGAAAATATGATTTAAGCATACTTTGGTCACAGTTAAATTGTAATCGTTAATGAAACTAAGGAGCACATGGGATATATGGTTCTTGGGTTGTTTGTCTACTAACAAAACATTAAACAACACGCAATGCAAGTAATTTTCTTTTTGTAATATTTTCGATAAGGATTTAGGGGGGACAAAACAAAAACGAATAAAGAAATTAGGCTGCGGGGGCTCTATATATATAGAAAGACGTAGCAACAGGAGTTGTCTTAAATGCTAAGAAAAAGAAAACTGTATTCTTACAACTAAACTTGTTCTTAAAGTCCGTGTGTGTATAGGGTGAGTGTTATATATAGCAAGATATTTTCTGTATTAAACATAGATTCCCTTCTTTTTTTTTTGCCCTAATCCCTTCTATTTGGTTTCTTGGCCTATCGGAGCACGCGCAGCGTTCTGATCAGGGTCGGGAGTGGGATGCGGTTGTCTAGTAATAAGCAGCTGCATTCGAATAGTTCTGCGAGTAGGCCTGCGAATCTGCAATGAGACACCGATGACGGACGACCGTTTTGAAGAGTTTTTCGAATCACCTACCATAACCCGTATAATTTCCGCGCTCATCGTATCCTGTGCTCTGCTGCCCATGCTGGCTGTAGTCCGCCTGCCCAGCGGTGTTGTAGTCCACGGCAGTAGAGCCGTACTGCTGACTATAGTCCTGGCTGTACGACTGATATCGCGTGTCCTGCTGGGCAGCATAGCCGGTGGAACTGCTGAGAAACCTGCTTAGCTGCGTCGAACTCGAAAAAAAGATAGTCAAGACTTACTTGTAGTTCTGGTACTGGCTCTGGTCGTATTCAGTGCCATGGTGAGTCGCATAACTGCTGCTGGCAGGGGCAGTAGCCTGCGACGTGTGAGCCGCATAGCTGCTGGTGCCGCTCTGGCCATAACCATTATATCCCTGTTGTGTGGGCTGGGTACTGTAACTGCTCTGTGCATACGGATCCACTTGCTGGGTCTGGTCGTGAGTCGGATAGCTGTGGTGGCTATTGAGGAATGCCAAATATAGTTTTGATGGTTTATTAAGTCTACATAGTAGCTATTATCATAGTAAATAACTTAATGAAGTTCAAGGTATATGTGTAAGAGAACTGTGTAAGGTTGAGGCTTATCTTTAATTCAAATTCTTAACAAAGAGGGCTGTAATATATCCCATAATAAAAACTTTAATTAACTACGTCGAAGTCTGCATTTGCATAATTTAAAAAAATTGTTTAAATTATATCCCTTCAGCCTATGTTAAGCCCCCTGGAAATAATAATGTCTTACCTCTGAGCTGGCGCATGATGACTTGGCGGGGAGCCATAAGAGGATTGCGGGGCCATGCTTCCGCCACCGCCTCCGCTGCCGCCCATGTGCTGCGAAGAGTGGTACTTAGGTGTCATCGGCCGCTGGCCGTAGGGACTGCCCTCATAGCGGCCACGCTTGGGACCAGGACCACCGGGAGCGCCGCGTTTGAGAGCTGGTACCGGTGCAAGTTGTGTATTGGGATTATGTGCCTGATGGTGATGCAAGGGTGGCCGACTCATACCTTGATTGTAGCCGCCCCTGCCTCGCGGTGCTCCGCGCCTTGACATCGAGCCGTGCTCTCCGCTTGGGCCGCCTCCCAGCGAGTTGCTGTGGTGGCTATGAGGACCACCATACATACTGCCGCCACCGCTGCCGTTCATATGAGAATTGTAGCCGCCGCCTCCGCGACCTCGTCCGCTGAAAGGACCTCCGCGTCCCCGCCCACGACCCATATAGGGAGGAGGACCTCCATTGCTGCCCGAGCTTCCGCCATGGGAATTTCCAGTGGGCGCACTAGTTGCCCCATCGGTGCCGTCTTCGCCGGTTGATTCGGCCGGCGGTTCGCCGCTCACCGTAGAAGTAGGCACCGGAGACACCGTCTTGTTGTTATCGGCGCCTGTGTGTTGTTTCGGGGCTAGAATGAGTTGGATCTCGATTTACAAGGAGTTCTTGGGGTACAGGATAAGGGGTACTCACGCTGCGAGTATAAGGGTGGTCGTCCGCCGCGCATGCCCATGGGAGCACCACCGCGCGGCTGGTAGCCACCACCTCGTCCCTGATAGCCCATGCCCCCGCGGGAACCACGCATTCCGCGCGGCGGTCCTGACATCATTCCTTGCATGGGCGGTCCGCCGCCCATTCCACCACCACCGCCACCACCGCGCATGCCACCCATATAGTGACCGCGACCGCGTCCACGGCCCCGATCGAAGCTGCCTCGCATTGGGGCGCCACCGCCGCGGCCACGGTAGCCACCGCCGCCACGAGGGCCGCCGATCGAAGAGGAGGACACTGAGGCTCCTTCCATGCTCTTCGTTCTCTCACTCAATTGGTTATCTCACACGGGGCACACACGCACAGAGTCGGGCGCACACTGCAGCAGGCGCAAAATTAAGAAGAAGAAGCGGTGCTCGAATGCCGGAGACTTGCGATTTGCGATTCGAGAGATTTAAAGCGCGCGTTGGCGGATCACGGGCGGTCGAATGGTCACTGAACTGCAGGGAACCGGATGCACTTTTAACAATGGCTTATAATTATTAACTTATTTATCTAAACATAGTTTTTAAATTTCAGAAGCGCGTTGGTCGTCGAGTGAAAAAATATGGCGGCGACTATTGATTTTTGTTGCAGGGCTGCCAACTTGTCGACGTGCGCATTCTGCGCAGAGTTGTCACCCAGCTCGATTAGTTGAAAAATATTTTTGTTTAAATTGATTTAAATATAGAAAACACGTATGTTAATTCTTTAAATTATGTTAAAGTGCCTATTAAAAATGCCGCTTTCAATTACATATATAGCAATACTGGGTTTTTGGGTTAAAACGCAAAGTAACAATTTTGACAAAATTGAGGTCTGAAGACAGGCCACCCGCTATTGCATTTCTTGGAGGAACAACGTGGATTTTATAGTGATGTTTTTAATTTATGTTATTTCGTAAGTTTTACTTAGAAATATATAAAACAAATCATATTCCTGGAATTTCCGACATATTCAATTCCTGGCAATAACTGAAAGTTGATCGGAAATAGGCATAAAAATAAAAAAATAAAAAAATTTAAGAAAAATTAAAGAAAATCGATTCTTTGTCTGTATTTTTAAAATTTGAATTTTTTTTAATGTTTTATGAAATAAAATAAAATTAATTTTAATATTTAAAACTTGCAATAAATATTTTCCAAGGACGGTAGTCTCTTTTCACATTTGCAAGGATTTGGGCACTTCCCGACTGCGGTCACACTGAGAACTAAGAGGAAAATGGAAAACACAAGTTAAAACGTGAATAATTTTGGGCGAATTTTTGTGGTATCAATCTGGTGAATAGGGACAGGCGACAGCGACAGGATGCCAGGCAAGGTGGGGGTGAAGATCAAGGCGGCGCGCAACCTGCCGGTGATGGACAAGAGCAGCGAGACGACGGACGCGTTCGTGGAAATTAAACTGGCTTCCGTGACCCACAAGACGGATGTGTTCCGCAAGAGCTTGAATCCCACTTGGAACACCGATTGGTAAACGCTGCACTTTCCAGAGATTACGTACCCAAGTAACCCCTACTATTCTCGCCAGGTTTCGTTTCGAGGTGGACGATGCAGAGCTGCAGGACGAGCCGCTGCAAATCCGACTGATGGACTATGATACCTACTCGGCCAACGATGCCATCGGCAAGGTGAACATCAGCTTGAATCCCCTGTGCCTGGAGAGCTCTAGTCAGGCGGTGCACGGCAAGGGCACCGTGCTGTCCGGCTGGATTCCTGTTTTCGACACCATGCACGGCATTCGCGGCGAAATCAATGTTATCGTCAAGGTGGATCTTTTCTCGGACGTCAACAAATTCCGACAGAGCTCCTGTGGCATCCCCTTCTTCCACTGTGTGTATTTTTACTATTTATTTTAATGATAAATCCCTAAATATTCCTACTCTTTTCACAGCCCAGTGCGTGCCGTTTGGCTACCGCGCCCAGGTGATTCATGGCTTTGTCGAAGAGCTAGTTGTCAATGATGATCCGGAGTACCAGTGGATTGACAAGATACGGACGCCCCGTGCTTCGAACGAAGCCCGACAGGTGGTCTTTCTCAAGTTGTCCGGCCAGGTGCAGCGTAAAATGGGTCTGAAAGCCATAAACATGGGCGCCAATGCCGTGATTGGCTATACCCAGTGCTTCGATTTGGAAGGTGATGTGGGTGTGGTTGCCCGCGGAGTGGGCACAGCTGTTACGCTGATCAAAGACACCAGCAGCAGTCAGCCGAATAGCGCGGATGTGGCCCTGATCGAAGAGTGAGTATTTGAGAGGTATAGAAATGATATGGAAAGGTTAAATTCAGTTCTTGATAATACTCTTGCAGAGATTTCTTAATTTATATAGAAAATATAAGTTTTTATAGCTTACAAGACCTGTTTCTCAAAAAGTGAAAGAAAAACGTCTTCTGTAAACTTAGGAATAACATAAACTATTAATATAATATTACTCCCATGATATTTGAGGACCAAGTCCATAGAATTATAAATCTGCAAGGGTATTATCATTTTCCCGGGCCTTATACGTAGAAGATCTTGGATATTATTCCGTTTATCGATTGTAGGTACTAGTCGGATGCAAACTTTAACGTGTTTTAAAGCATTTTTTCTCTTTTCTTGAACGTTCTCCACCCCACACCGAATTATCTACGACGATGTTCATCCCTCGACCTCTCTAATTTCGCTCCTTGTCGTATCGTATTGCACGTTGAAATCGTTGTTGTTTCGTTGTTGTGTCGTATTTCTGTTTATAAAACATTTACGTACCACCCTCACTTTCCCACAAAATGGCTAGACTGACTCGAAAGTATCTAGACTTCCTCAACTGTGCGGGAGCGAGCAGCACGAGCTTGCCGCTTTCCGGCCGCACGCCCCAATATCGTCTCAATATATACAGGGAGCCCAGCTCGTCGGCGCCGTCATCAGCGGCAGCGGCGGCGGCAGCAACGTTGTTTTATCTGGAGAGTGCCAGCAGTGACACAGAGGATGCGGACCTTATGCAAGATCTAATTCGGCAGGAGGATGAACGTGGCGACCGGAGTCGCGAGAAGAAGCTGAGACATCGAATGCGTCGCTTGACTCTCTCCTCGAGCAAAGTGTTCACCCAGAAATATGCCACGCTTATCCGTCGTATAGAGCCCAAGATACCAGAAAATGCCACTCAATCGCTGAGCAGCGTCTTTGGAGGAGGCGGAGGAGCAGGTGCCAACCCTTCGAGTTTCAGACGGCGGCGCAAGTCGCGTTTTCCTCTACCGAGCATCAAGTCCTCTAATGCTCCGTTTATAGTGCGCTCAATTAGCAATGATACTGGCGTTCGTCCTGGCCATGTGTCTGCCAAGAGTTTCCTCACCGTGCCCGGTTTGTCAGAGTATCAGGAAAACACTCGTTCGGCGCCAGATTTACCAGGAGATGAGTTTCTGGCCAAGACCCGACCGGCCTCCAACTACTCGACAGACTCGGATGAGTCTCTGCAGTTGGATCTTGAAATAGCTCCACCCGACAGCAATGTTGATGAGTCCCAGGACGAGGATAACCTGCAGGACAACTGGATAAAGCCGGGAGAGACACGCAGTTGTGAGAACAGCCAGCAGGATTTGGGACCCAGACACCACAATCTGCTCGAGGATCTGAAGAGCTTCTCGCGACACCTCCAGAAGCTAATGCATATAAAGTCCAAAGAAAATGATTTGGAGAAAGAGCCAAAGCATCCCTTCGAGCCTTCGCTAGAACGCAAGGCGTACTACAGTTCACAGCCAGAGCTGCCGACTTGCAGCGGAGATTGGACAGGATCTAGTCTCACTGGATCCTCCTCCATGTTGCAGCTAAACTTTCTGTCCAGCTATGGGAAGAGTTTACAGCGCAGTGCCTCACTGAATCATCTGGTGGCCCCCGAATCTTTTGCACCTCCAGTACCCCCTAACACGTTGCTGCTGAACGCCCCCGAGCTGCGTGTATGCCCCTCCACACCCACACCCACCCACTCCGAGCTAGTCGCCTTCGATTACAATAACTCGCCCCCTAGTTTTGCCCAATTAGATCGTTTTGTAAATATCTCTAATAGTACTAACCATAGTAACCAAAATAATGAATCATCACTGCTTGATCCATTTACCATTCGCCAACAACAACAACCACGCGAACTTAGATCCAGCACTGACCTCCAACAGCAGCCAGGTTTAGTGAGTGGACCAGCGGGCGCAACAGGACCATCAAGTATACCGACAACAGTGGAGAGCAGTAGTCCCAGCTTAAAACGCTTCGCCTCTCCGGTGGGCAGCAATCGCCTGAAGCTGACGCCGAGTCCCTCAAAGAGTGGCATCTCGGCCACCACGAATGCGGACAGTGCATCCACTTCGACCACATCGACAGCCACCACAATGGTGCCGACCACAGTTGGCGAGATCTGTCGCCGCTCCTCTGACTCCGACCTGAGTGTCACGCCCAAAGGTATGTAGGAGAGTTTCACAAGAATACCAGCTCTGATTCCATATTTCTAATAAATTTGATGATATTATATTAACCTTAAGAGTAAGAAAGGAATCAGGGCTGATCTGTTTGCATCTGTAGTTAAGACTTAGACTAAGGCCATAGGCTTTAAGCATCAAAGCATCAGATAATGCTGCTCAATATATTAGTGTGTGTTGCCGTTACCGTGTGTCTATATCTCACCGTCTCGTCTCTGAGTAACCGTAAACGTCTCTTCCAACGTTCTATCTTTGCGTCCGCTGCTGCATCTCGCCATCAGGCATAGCCTTTTCATTCAACCGGAAGCGTAAGTAGATGCTGCCGCCTAAACTCGATGTCCTTTCTCGATGTATCTCTCTGTTTATCTGTGCGTGTGTGCCTTCCTGTCCTTTTTCCTTATTTTTCGGCGGGTGTTTTGTTGCCAAGACTTTCCCACTCTATCTTATGCCTTATCAGATTTAAACGTTATCTTATTTTAATACGACACAGCCAATCACTTGAAGCAAAGTCAATACAATGAATATAATGCGGGGGGCGCATGTATTTGAAATTATCAGCAAGGATATTCATTCTATTGCCAAGACAATAACTAAGCTTAGAAAATTGTTGATGTCAGGTTATAAACGCTTGGTGTTTTACTCATATCACTCAGTGTTACAGGCTTCAAAGTTTAAATAAAATAAGTAAAGAGTTTAGGTTTCCATTTATATTTAAAGTGAATAGCTAATGCATTATTTTATCGCGATTGGTAACCCCCGATTCAGGGACACTGATAACTAACCCTCTCATATTGGCATTTTAGCAGGGAAAACTGGATATACAAAATATACAAATTCAAGAATCTCGAGAAGAAAAACTCCTTCACAATTACATGTACGGTTGAAAGACTCAAGACTCTCATTCATTCCACACAGGCCTAAGACATTTTGCTGTATATATAAATGTATTCATTACGTGTAAGACCCTTGTGAGCAAATATCATGTAATATAATCGATTTATCTAACTCTTCCGTGTATCCTTCATTCACAGGAAACTCAATTTGTGTGGCCAGTGAGCGTTTAGTGGCCGCCACGGCAATGATGCGTCTAACGCAGCCAACGGTTGGAGCTAAGCCTGGCACAGCAACTGACAGCCTAGACATGTTGGAGTATCCTTTTCTGACCATGACCAAGTATCCAACAGGCTTCATCCTCCATCTGGGGGCCACTGTTGCAGCACGTTCTGTGAAGCTGCTAGAACGAGTGCCCAATCCGGATGAGCCGGAGGTACGTGACAGCTGGTGGACAGAACTGCGAATGGAGATCCGATCTCACGCGCGTTCCCTAGGCTGTAATGTAGTGCTGGGCTATGCGGAGACCACAACCATATCGTAAGGCATCAAGACAAGTTTACTAAGCTGTTTAAGTAGGTGTAATTTATCTTAAATTATTCTCACAGCGACGACGTTTGTGTATTATCTGCCACTGGAACAGCTGCAGTGATCAATATGGTCTTTAATAGATCTGTGTCACAGACCGATATCTTTACCATGTCCAAGGCTACTGCTAGCGGAGCGGGTATGTCGAATTCCCTGGAGGAGCGCGAAGCCAATGGCAGCAGTACCGGAGAAGCGGGCACTGGAAAAGACAGTGGTTCCCTCGGTACAGGGACCAGTTCGACGGGTAAACGTTATGGACTTCCACCACTTAATGGACCACGCAATGCCTGTGCCATGTGCCACATACCCTACAACCTAAGCTCCGTGCCCTTCAATGTGAAGATGAAGAAGTGCGCCGTTTGCCGCAAGGGACGGGTCCCGGACGTACTCCTGGCCACGCTAGAGGTCCCAGAATTTATGCAGGTTACTGGACGTGGCTGCTTTATGCAGGCTCAGGTGGTGCGTGCCAAGAGAGATCTGCGAGCGGAGTTAAATGCCAAAGAGATATCCGATGGTCTTCCCTTCCTGGAGTATGAACTACATCGCGTGCTCATTAACAAACTGAAGGCGAAGGGCATGAATGCCATCTTTGGACTTCGCACACAGGTGGCTATTGGGGAGCGCATGATAGCGCTTATAGCCACGGGAACGGCCTTATTCCTTAGTGCCCTGCCAGTGCCGCAGGTACCAAAGATCGTGGCCGGAAACTCGTGGACCGACAAACAAAAGCTGAATGAGTTGCAGAAGAAGCTGCAGGAAACGTTCGAGCGCAACCAGGAGATCTATCAGTTAAAGAGCTTGGACCCTGACTTGGCAGCCAATGCGGGAGGAGCGGCCTCTGCCGCCTCCTCGGCGGATAAACAATCCGATACTGATGACTCGGACGAGGAGGAAATGAACGAGATTGATCTGAATTGCGGCAACAAAGAGCTTTGTGTCCTGGAAGTCGATGATATCGAGGACTTGGAGATTATTTCGCTGCTGATGGAACCGTATCCGCCGGAGGGCTTCCATGTGGTAAACACACAACAGGTGCCGGGCATGCTGGAAATGGATACCGTCAAAAATCTTCAAATGTTCACCCAAGTGTGGCGTGCACGTCTTGAGGTGGGGCAGAGTGTCAACGGTTTTCCCAAGCACTTTCAGAGGTGGGTCTCAAGTTGGTATTCCAGAACGTTATGTAAATATTTGTATTTCACAGACTCCTGCAGACAATTTACTTTAAGCTGCGCACCATGATACCTTGTGCTATCTGCGATCTTCGCTTCCGATTGGATCTGCCTGAGACGGTAAATAAAATATATATAATACAATAGAATATATATTTAAGTATACCTTTATTTCCTTTTAGGATCAAATCCAACTGCTAGTCACTGGCATGGCCATGGGTCTGAGTGATGCCAGTAAAATGAAGTACCGCGGACGTGGCCGCGTGATGCAGCAACAGCAGCAGCAGCAGCCACAACAGCAGCAACAGCAAAACGGATTTCATGAGTCCCAGTCCCAGTCTCAGCCTGAACTAAATGGAAAACGTATGCTGCAGGAGGAAGATTACATTTTCCCACTGGATGAGGATCAAATGGTAGACACACCCACACCGACTAGCACCGCCATACCTCCGTTTGGAATGAGTTCGTTTAAAATGCGCAAAACCTCTCCATCGCGACTCAGCAACCTGGTGCCGGGTGTGCCATCTACAGGAGTTAAGCCGCTGAGTGTGGGAGCGGTTCCGCGTAATCGCTATGTAAGTTTTTAAATCTATTTGAATTGATTTAATATTAAATACATTTAAATTTCTTCTTAGTTTCCACTGCGCGATCGTTATGGTGTGGATTTGACTCCACTTAGCTTTATTCCTGGCGGACGAATAGATAAATATCTGGGCAATCTGAACTTTTTCTTTATCCGAGAAAGCACTTCGATCCGAGAGAATGGTGGTATTAGCGGCTTTGTCCATGGCTTTATAACAGAACTGTTGGCGGTGGTGAGGGCACATATAGCTTCCCTGGGCGGCAATGCCATGGTCTCATTCTACATCACAGAACTTATGCTGTTCGATAATCAGCACAAGAACCAGGTAAGTGGATAAATGTATATATTATGGTTTTTGTGTTATATATTTTAAATTATGTGTTGCAGGGTCAATGCCTGATTAGCCTCGGTGGAGATGCTGTCTATGTGAGCTACCATGCCGATGACTGATACAAAAGCTTGCGGGGCATATAGCGCCTGTTTTACGCGAATCGTCCCAAAAGTCTATACTCTCTATATTCTTCCGCTTAGCTAGCGTGCTGTCAGCTCTGCCCAGCAACTGCAGTAAATCTGAGTCACGTTTACTTAACTTTACCGTCTCTCTAGTTCGATTCTTTATGCAATATTTGACCTGTGACGAAACGTTCTTTTCTTCGGTCTTGTTATTTGTTTGCTTGATGTTTTTAGCGTTAAACCAATTGCAATTTCTGTACATAGTTGATGTTTATTGAATATTGAATTTAGATCGAGTGCGAAACACACCCACAACAAGTATACTAACGATATATACAATTGCTGTAATCACAAACATGACACACACATATACTCGTACTCCTAGATATCAAATTTTGCGTGTAAAATACAATATTTAAAAATAAAACAATTGCTCAATTAACAAAAAGTTATTCGATTAGTTGGGCGTCGTGGACAGCAGCACGAACATGACCCAGAGATGAAGCAGGGCCACATAAACAATCACAGACACACGCATCATGGGATAACGTCGCAGGAAGGCACCCACTCGTATGCCCATGGAGTCCGCCTGGCGCAGAGCGCGCTTGAATCGACGGGCCACACGGTTGTCAAACGGACTCGGATGCATGAGCAACGGAAATTGGGCCTTGGCTGGAAAATATAATATGTATATTTAATGGAATAACAATAGCATTAAATATTTAATGCACTGACCATCGTCTGTACTGTTGGAGAGCATAGGATTGCGACTACCACCCCTATGGCTCTCCATCTCAACCATATGCGTATTCTGCTGGAGTTGTGCTTGGATCTTCTCATGTTGCAGCCGTAGGGCATTCCTCTCCGATGTAACGCGCTCCAAGAGACCTTGCCGCTCGACCAGCGATTGAGTGAGCGCCTTAAGCCTGGCCTCATAATCGTTTTTGGCTCCACTATTGGCATCCTGTTGGAGCCGCTGACGCATCTGCAGCAGCTGTTGCTCCTTCTCTTGCAAGCGGGTTGCGGATGCGGCCATTTGGTTGCTAAGCTGCTGGCGAAGCGAGGCAAGTTCCTGGGAAAGAATGCGTTGTTCGGAATCGGAGGTCACGGTGTGCTCTCGAGAGTGGCGAAGTTCCTTAGCTAATGCCTCCTCTCTCTGCAGCGCGGAGCTAAGCTCCACTTGGCGTTGCCTTTCCTGCGAGAGGTAATCGTCCACCTGTAGTCGAGTCTTTTGCAGCTCTTCATTGGCATGCTCTAGTTCTTGTTTTAAAGATTCACACTCGATTTGCAAAAAGCGCGTTTCACTGTCCTTGGCCGCTAGACCTGTATTTCCGCCGTCATCGACAGGTTTTGCTTTAAGCTCTGCGATGAGCGCATCCTTGGCCTGCAAGGCCCTCTGGGCCTTGGTACGATATTCCTGCAGCTCCTGGCGTTGCTGTTCCGTTTCTCTTGTTTGCATCTGTAGCTTGTTGGCGGCACTCAAGTATTCCTGCTGCAGTTTGGCCAGATTAGTTTCCAGTTCGGAAATGGAGTGCACGTAGGCCATGTGAGCGGTCTGCGCCTCGTTTAGGTCGTGCACCGCCTTGTCTCTCTCCTCGGAGAGCGTTTGAGCCAGAGTTTCTAGCTCTTGGCTCCGCTGCTGCAATGCGAAGTTTTCGCTGTCATGGTTTAGTTCATTTAAACGAAGACGTAGCTCATCCCTCTCTGCAGTAATCTCATTCAGAGCAATTTTGAAGGCAGCCAGTTCGTTAGTGTCCATGGAGTTGCCGGAGGCCTCCGGAGCGTTGGAGGAACTGGGCGATGCAGACATCTTCTGGCGCATCTCCTTGGTGACCACGGAACCGCTTCCCTCACTCTTGACACTCGATGTGCTGTTGGCTACCGAACGCTTCGCTGGCGAAAGAGTGGACTTCAGCGACAAGGATTGGGTGCTGCTGGTCATGCTCCTGCGCATGGGATCCCCTGATCCGGTAGGGTTATCCGTTTGAAGCGCCGTGGCCGCATTTTGGTCGAGTTTATTTAGAATGTTTTCGGCCTTGTCCGCCAGTCCTGTTATCCAGGATGACATATTTTCTGAACAAAAAATAACACAGTAGGCACAGAGCAAAACACGTAAACAATATCTGACAGTGTGACCAGGTGGTGAAATCAAATTGGAAATCCCACAATGCAGTTCCTCCACAATTAACGGTTTTTTGAATAACTAAAAGTTTAAAAATTAATAGCCCATTTAAATTTTATTAAAATAAGACTTCAACGAATGAAGTATAAGTTAAACGTTAAAAACATATCGTAAAAATTAACAAAATAATTTAAAAACAAGAAAGATCATGGGAAATTAGAAATCAGCCATAGTTAAAGACATTTGCATCCAATATTTAAATCTGACTGCATAATAACATCAAAGAGTTAAAAGATCTAATTTATTAAATACTCAACGAACGGGCAGTATTACTTTACATTTACAAACTTTGAGCCTAGCAACTATATAAAAATATTATTATCAATTCACTTTCCAATGCAGAAATCTTTGAACACGACGTCGAGTATATCTTCGCAGCTGACATGTCCGGTGATGCGTTCAATGCAGCGCACGGAGTTGCGCAGCTTAGCGGCAGCAATAGCCAAGTCCGGGTAAACATCGGGGCTGTAATCTCGGAGAAAGATGTCGATGTGCTGGATGCAGCGCTCTAGTTGCTGCCGGTAGCGTGTGTTTGTGATGCGGGGGTTCTCCGCCCGGGGTTCGCCACACAGCTCCTGCAGCTGCTTTTCCAGACTGCCCAGAAATACAGGCATTTTATCGGGTTTATGGCATGATATGGGTAAAACATTGGAAAGCTTCTCCAGCTGCTGGAACTCCTCATCCGACAGGGTGTCCGTTTTGTTGCCCACAAGCTGAAGCCGTTTACCATTGCACAAGTCCAAAGGAATATCCAATTCGTTCAGATAGTTATCTACAAACTGTGGAACCGAGTCGTTGTTTGCCAGTTTTGTAACATCCTTTGCATCCGCTAGGAGCAGTATCAAATCCGATTGTGCTAGACAGGCTTTGGCCCTTTGCATTCCCTCCTGTTCTATACTGTCCGTAGTTTCTCGTCGTAGTCCCGCCGTATCGGAAAATACAACGGGGTATCCTCCGAAATTGTGCATAGTTTCGATAATATCTCTAGTCGTGCCCGCCTGATCAGTCACTATAGAGATGGATCTCTGGCAGAGCAAATTGAGCAGACTGCTCTTGCCCACGTTGGGAGCTCCGATGATCACAGTACGGACGCCATCTCGTAGAAGCTCGCCCTGCCGCTGGTCACTAAGATGTTCGACAATATCGCGCCTCACCGCTTTCAGTTCTTTGGTAAGTTGCAGGATGACGCCGCCTTCGATCTGCTCATCCTCGGCAAAGTCAATATAGGCCTCCAGGTGGGCGGCACAGCGGATAAGTCTTCGTCGCCAGTTGTCGTACAGACGGGCTAGAGCGCCGGTGCTTTGCAGCAAGGCCTGGAAGGGAGCGGTGTTATATTACGTTTTGTTAAACCTGCGGCAAGAATTCCTTTTCTGTATTCACCTGTTTCCTTTGGGCTTCCGTTTCGGCATGAATCAGATCCGCCAGTCCCTCCACCTCTGTCAAATCTAGTTTCCCACCAAAAAACGCTCGTTTTGTAAATTCGCCAGGCTGTGCTGGTCTAAGGCCGTCCACCTTGCCCAGGCCATCCAGCATGGCGGCAATTACAGCCAGAGAACCGTGTACCTGGAACTCACAGGAATCCTCGCCAGTGAAAGAAGCCGGTCCTGGAAACCAGAGTAGCAGGCCACGGTCAATCATCTCCTTGCTGGTAGGATGAAAAAAGGATTTCAGGTACGCTTGACGGGCCTATTGAAAGATTATTTAATTAATAAATTGTGATCTATGTGGCCCATATTAATGCACGAGCCCAAGAACAATTTTAGCGCCAATTAGCGACTTTTTGATTTGTTATTTGCCCTACAACTTGCTCATCTTTCTGATTATGATTATATTCGCGATATCTGTTGGATATATATGTATATATATGAGGATATATTTGATAAACTTGCCTTTGGCTCGTACTCTTTATTGGCAACAATGGCCCGGAGGGCTTTCTTTGTCTGCGGCCCGGAAACACGAATTACGGAAACGCCGCACTTGACATGGCCGGAACTCAAGCTGTAGATGGTGCAACCGCTGCTGGCGAAGCGCCGGAAGCTGCTCCAAAAGCCGTTTGTCCCGTTTCTGAGCAGCGACATGCCGCAAAATCAATTAAAAATTGAACCGCCGAAGAAGTAAACAAAACAATTAAACAAGTGTGACAGCCGCTTGACTATGAAAATATACCAAAGAAATATTAAGTTTGGCCACACTGAAAATTAGCAAGGCTAAGATTTATCGTTTTATCGAATTTTAAAGTTTTGCAAGGAACTGTGTAACGGAAAATTATTCAAAAATATGAGAATATAAATTCAAAGAGCTATTATGTATTATTCAATTTATTAAACAATTTCATCGTAGATTTAATATTCTGGGATTACAGATACACTTCTATAATTTTGAAACTTTTTAAGTTCCAAGACTTGGGAACGAAAAAGTTGTGCATCGAACCACACTTAAGCCTGGTCAAAAGGAGCCGGCCTAGAAGTGAAACTTGCGCTTTCGATCGACCAGTGCATAGTCAAGATCATTATTCACCACTGGTGGTGGGCAGGAGTCGGTTGGTAGCACATACTTATTCCGATTTATCATGGCACTGTTACTGTCCCACTGGCTGAGGAAGGAGATTGCCTCATCGTCGTATGGCATGGCAGTGTTCGGCCGATCTTCCTGTTGTTGCAATTTAGTTAAATTAACGTGAAAATATAGTTACAAACACATTATTTGTAAGTCTAATTTAAGCCTTACCGAAGATCTTCGACGTTTCGGCGCCTCCTCTACGGTCGGCAGTGTGTATGAGTTGTTTTCATTTACCACCGCACTCTCTGGGAAATCTGTCCAGGTGCAGTTGTACCTTCGTTGGTCCAGATCTTTGGGACGGTACTGATTGGTATCCATACGCTTATGATCATCTGCATCCGAGAATCGTCCTCCGTTCTGCTCCCACATGGACAGCCGCTTGTTCTTGTTGTAGGCATCAGCCTTCTCTCGATCCTTGAGCGATTGCTCAAGGTGCTGACAGCGCGTGGAAGACAAACGTTGATGCCGATTTGCGATGTGTCGCGTTGGAGCACACTGAAGTCGGGCTCGGAGGAGCTCTATGTACCGGTTTACCATCATACGGGTGCCGCTTTGTACGTTAGCCATTTTTTCTTTAGGTATATTTAAAAAGTAAGGAAGTCTAAAATACAGGTCTTTTGAAAAGTCTAAAAGTAGTCAGCTCTGCTTGTGACGAACTGAAAACGTTCCATTTCGTCCAAAGTGACATGTAAGTTCGGAACGATTCAAGGCTTACTCGATCAAGGGTTACATCTCACCTGTCTCAATTAGCGCACTTAACTCGCTGGGCGTTAATTTTCTGTGTCTAGTACCTGGCACTCCGATCAGTTTAGTTCTTGAAGCGACGGCATGTGGTCTACTGTCTTCGTAATTCTTTGGCTTGGAGTGGTACAGGGAAACCGCACACATATGGCGGAGACAACTGGTCCACTCGAGGATCGCTTGCTATCGCGACGGGTGCGAGGCTTAGTCTTTCCGGACAAGGCTTCTCTTTTACTGACGGCCGCCTTAACCAAAATCATTGTCGGCGGTCGACCTAGTGGTCTCCAGTATAGTCTGGAATTTGATATGTACGTACCATTGCCCGACACCGTTGAGGGTTGGCAGCCAAAAATCCTAAAAAGTTTGAAACCCAAGCCCACACCAAAACGTCGATGGGATTGGTCTTACTACCGAAGACCGGCGAGCTTTTATCCTTATGAAATTCCTTATAAAGCAGAATCTTATGCCAGGTAAATTATATTAACTGTATAGTATTTATAAAGTATTTTAAAGCTCTCATTTATAATTAGGGATTCATTATACCAACAGCAATCAAACTACTGGGGACCTTACAAGACAACTTCTAATGCCAGGCAAGTTTTATAATAATTTAATTTTGAATGCTATTAATTATAGATTATAGTCCCTCCACAAGCAGAGATACGTTCTACCAAGCCAAGCCCTTCAAGACTACACCTACTTCCTTTAATAGAGATTCATTTTACCAAACTCCCTGGTATTTATCATCGCCTGACCATCGTAAGAACACATATCAACCTGAAGAAGAGGTCTACGAATCATGGGCTCATGTTCCTAGCTGGAAGCTCAATCGTGGATATAGGGAGCGCAGAGAAATATTCGATCAGCTCGAAGCCATGGGAAAAGTGTAACATATATCCAGTATATAGTATAAAGTTCTAGAATTACAATTAACATTTATAAACAGCTTTCAGTTGGACCTCAGATCATGCATTAAGAGAGCGATGTGTGAGCTTAGAGCTAGGCTAAATGCAGGACATCATCAGGGTTTCCTGATGGAGGATCTCATGCGGATTGTGCTGACGTAAAGAACATTTCTAAATAATATAATACCCATTTTAACGAATCCCTTTACAGAGTACCCGAGGAGATAGTCGACGGGAAGTATAGACATCGCATGGATGTCCAGGATTGTGCTCGATTCTACTCCCCCAGTTGTCCTTACAAAGTGTTGGATTTCCTTACACCGAGTGCCCAAAAAATTTGAACTAAGTAAACTATGTAACATACTGCTGGCTTGTGTCATTTTGGTAGCTCAGGGGGTAACCCAATTGTTCAGTTCTCGTTCGGTTCGCTTCGGGGCTGGATAGTGGCTCTTCACATCCAGATTTTATTCCAAATTAACCAACTAAATTTTCCGGCCCTAAAATTCTTTTAGTATTTGGATAGGCTCCAAAATTTTCACAGTCACAAAATGGCCTTTCATATGAATCCGAACCTGACTCGGGCACTCCTCCGGTCTCCGCGCGTTCACAGCGCCGTTAGCAAGTATGTGCGCTACAAGTCTGGTTGCGAAAAGGGCCAGGGTGAGGAGAAGTGCAAGAAAATGACAAAGTTCCCCTGTGGCAAGCCAGATATTATGTCAAAGCCGGAGAAGAAGTCCAAGACTTACAAGCAAACGTCGATGTGGCTGAACCCATTCTGTGAGCCAGACGATCCTCACTGCCCTTTCAATCCGCGCTTCGACGACATCTATTACGTGGAGTCGGACAAAGCCAAACGGAAGTACTGGCAGACCTGGGTGGCCTGCCCGCCAATCCAGATCAAGCCGAAGAAGATCTGCTGCTTCGCCAATGCAAAGCGTGCGCCGGCCAAGCGGCGAAAGCCCTCTGCAAAGCCGGTAACTGCCTGCGAACAGAAATGTCCCGAGAAGTCCTATGCTGATTGCCCAAGACTTGCGCGGCGCTGTCATCGCGATGGCCGCAGTCCGCCCTCCTGCAAGCCCGATCGTGGCCCCGCAAACTGTGTGAAGCCACTGACTCCTTACCCATCTTTCTCGGAGTGCAAGCATCCCAAGATCCGGCCTCTGCCAAATGTGGAGTGCTTGTGCCTGAAAACGCCAATGATGTGCGAAGTCTGGGAGCAATACAGGCTGGATGCAATCCGAAAGTCGAAGAAGTGATCTACAAGCCCACAGCATATGAAGCAAATAACATTTATTTTCGGTAAATAAATCCATTCCCGAGTGCTTACAATCAGACCATCAGAACGGATTCTTGGCCATGTTTGTGACGAGAATCCATAGCAACGGATTGCAGTCGCTGTAGGTCCTTTCGCAATCGGCTCCGCCACGTCCAGCATCGCGGGCATGCAGATACTTTTCGGCCACATTATCCAAGCTTGGTCTTCAAATTTACTCTAATTAGTCTGTAAATCTTGCCGTGAATAAAAATTGTACTTACACCAATACCGCGTTCACAATCTCGCTGAATATATTGCTGTTCTGAAAGGGCTTCTGAGAGATCTCGCAGATACTTCGTAGCAGGCAGGTGGCTCCGTACTCACTATCTAGCCTGGTAGTGGGGATAAATATATTGAGATTGATATAAACTTTTGAAAGCTGTTTATACTCACTGTTCCATGCCCAATTCGATGGCATTATAGACCCAGGATCGGGCCTCGTCATGCGTGAGTTTTAACTTCATATCCTTGCGCCACTCCCGAGCGGTGGACACAAAGGCGGTGGTATTCCAAAAGCTCCACCAGTAAATCGGAATGGTGGTGGGAACCCACTGACACTGGAAGTTGAAGAACCACCAGAAGGATTGCTCCTTGTCCACCTGCTTCACGGGATAAGCTAAGCTCGGTACAAGCTGTGGATTACAATTGAATTAATGGAATGGTTTTAAAGAGAATCTTGTGATCGCACCTTAACAACGCCCTGGCCATTAAAGATTGCTCTCTTGGAGCGACTCAATGGAGTATCACTTTGGCCAATACGGGTGCTGTTACCACTTTCATCTAGACCGTAGATGGTTTTGGTGTGACTTGCCACCAGAACGATGGTGGAAAGAGTCGTTAGGAGCAGCAAGAACCAGGCAAGAACCTTTTGGACCATCTTGTTTGTTTTCGTGTGCAATGCTTACTAATCCGGCATTGTTTAAACTCGAATCGAAGCCACGAAAGACAACCAATGCAATATTTGTTTATCCAAGAAATTTACATTTTTCTATGGGGGAAATTGTACACAGGAAAAATATTCATTGGGTTTCGATTTACTCGTAAAAATAATTATATTTTAAAAGAGGTTTAATCTAAGTAAAATATATTTAAATAATATCCTTAAAATCCCGCGTGTTGTCTTTATAAGTTTTATATATAATTAACGCCAATTTAAAGGTACATTGTTATTCTTATTCTTTTGTTTTTTTTTTTTCAGTGAAAGAAGTATAGATGAAATCTACTCCAATAGTAGAATGAGGCACTTCTTGATTGGCCAGATCACGCTTCCCCCTGAATCTGGATGACGGAGCATGCGCTCCAGTTTCCAAGCTGCCTCGTGGACCGTTCTAATTGCTGCTCACGCATCTGCCGCTGGTCGTTGATCCGCTTATTTAGTGCCTGCCTTAATTAATTCCCAAATAGACAATGGCAAGAGCCAGATTTTGGGTGGCTCGATGCGTGATGCCCAAGTGGATCACATCGCCATGCATTGCCCAAAGAACCAGAACGTAGGAAAGTGCCTGCTGCTGGTGCTGCTGCTGGTCATTCTGAGTGACCCGATCCGAGGTCTATTGCTCTATCCAGCCTCCACGGTGCTTCAGCTGACCTCATCGGTGTCGATACCAGTGGATCTGCCCACACGAACCAAGGTTTTTGTAGACATGGGCTTCCAGATGAACTACAATTTGCCGGCGACGGTCTCTGCCTTTTACAATGCCAGCATCTGGGCGGATGAGCTGGCGCGAAGACAGAAGCGTCAGCTGGAGGACAATGGCTTGGATGGAAATCAGCAGCAGCAGAAACAGTTGGAGATGGAGGATGGCATACATCCCGGTGATTTTACGGCCGGACAGCTGTACTTGGGACTGGAGCACATGCTGGAGACATATGGCTTTCACAGGACCTGTCTGCTGCGCAGCGTCTGCGAGCTGGCCCTGCATCCCTTTGCCAAGGATCATTTCTATGGAATGGTGACACAGGTTATCACATTCCTGCTCACGTAAGCTGAAAACTTTAACCTATTATTTTCATTTAAGTATTTCATAGTTTTCGCAAATATAAATATATATTTGATCTTTTAACTTTTAGACCCTCCCAACATGAAGGTTTCGCCGAGGACGAGCAGCTCTATCGGGACCAATACGAGCGGGCGGAGCAGATTGGCTTTTTCGGTGGCCAATGCCATTTATCTTATCCCAGCTGTCAAATAGACATCATAAACTTGGCCACCCGACTCGTTAGATGAAATAAATACGGTTGCAGTCAAATGGTCGTGTATATATTCATTGGGGCAAGAATGAAGTCGTAGCAAACTGGCAAACGGAAATATATCAGAGATGAATTTCATTGAATTCAAATGATTGCAGAAATCTCTCAGATATACTTGTGAATTGCCAGAGAACTTTATCTGAGAGATTTATATAAGTGCAGTAGTGCTAGCTTAATAAGCTACTGATGCCACTGAGAAAGTCCATTGGGCAACTGGCATATAGACTGGAGCAATCCTTCCCAAGGAATCCTTGTTGCTCGGCTTGCTCATACACCTCCCGGTATATGGTTTCTCCAGGGGCAAAGGCTTCGTGAAGAGAAGGTCTGTAATTAAATATAAATTTTATAATTCAGATATATACTTGTATTGATAAAAAATGAACTAGATCGACTGGATTAACAACTTACGTCAGTGTGAAGGTCAGCAGAGCGGTAAGCATGTTGTTTTCCGTATCCTTGAAAGGATGTTTCGCTAATTCACAGACGCTGCGTAGCAAACAGGACTCATCGAAGCCGTACCGCGCCAGCATGCTTTCCAGACTCTCGTACAGCTCTCCTGCCGAGAAGTCACTTGGATGCATGGAGGTTACTCCTCTTCGCTCTCCTCCTGGCAAGTACTTGGCCGTCTCATTCCTCAGCTGACGCTTACCCCGGCGAGAGAACTCATCTGGCCAAATGGTGGCTGCATAGAAAGACGCAGGCTGAACTGGTAAGGCATAGTTCATCTGGAGTCCCCAGTCCCAGAATAGCTTGCGATCCGGAATCACAACGGGCACCGACAGCGAGGAGGTGATCTGGTACACGGAGGAGGCTGGGAATAGCAAAGGGAACTCGGCTTGGCTGATGGGGAGGATCCAGAGCCATAGCACAGCGCTGATCAAGTGGACGCGCCTGAGACTCATTCTGATGTGTCGCAGCCCGAGACAAGAGTTTCGGTTGGAACTTCACCTGGCGACGCACTGCGTTAATTAGAGGCTACCTGAAGCTGCTAATGAAACGCATAGATATTGTCATTTACTTGTAGACCTAATTTTATGGATTTTATTTTATTTTATTTATTTTATTCTAGTGAAATATGACATGACTCATGAGCTTTAAAAGGTCGTGCTGGCAATGGGAGTATAATTTCTGGCAATCCCTTCCCAGAAATCCATCTTGCTCCGCCTGTTCGTAGGCTTTTCTGTAGACTGTTTCGTTATCGAGGAAACCCTCGTGCTGGGATGGACTGGAAAAGAGTTTTTCTTACATTTTCCGATTTAAAAAAAAGGTGTGAGAGTGAAACTTACCTCAGTATAAAGGTTACAATATCGCTGAGCATGTGCTGATGGTTGTCATCGAAGGGATGTTGGGCCAACTCGCAGACACTGCGTAGAAGACACGTCTCATGGAAACCATAGCCCGCTAAAGTATCCTCAAGAAAGGCATAGAGCTCCGCAGCAGAGAAATCCTTGGGATGCCTGCCAGTCTCCAAGTCATGTCCATACTTCGTGTAGAAATTCTCATTTGTTAGTTCCATTCGTGGTGTAAGTTCCCGTTTTGCTTTATAGTTGGCAAATCCTGGCCAAATGGGTATACTATAGAACTCGGTTAGGTTGTAAGGATAATTGTAGGATATGGCAAAACACCAATCGATCAATATGCGACGCTCGGGATAGAGTTCAGCAATGGGTGTGGACACCGAAAGGGTCAGCTGAGAGGGGATGTTAATTAATATATTATTATGTTATTAATATACAAAACCTACTCCCAAATTAGACGAGGCTGGCCATAATAGACCCTCCGATTGTTGACCTAGAAGGATGATTAGAATTCCAAACCTCAGCCAGCTGGCCTTCATTTTGAGTCCGTCCGTCGTCTTGAGCCAGCCAAAGTACCTAAAGAACTGACTTAAACTCCTACAATTGCTGCGTAAATTGGGTTGGTGGGTTAATGGACACATGAGTACCGTAAATAAATCAAGATGTCAATCACTTTTTGGGTAAATATTTGGGCAATCGGTTGGCGTTGACGGAATAACTGGCCGCTCCATGCACAGCCAAGACTACTTGGTTCTTTTCAGTTGTTCAAGATGCTACGAGCCACAATCTTTATCGGACTGATACTACTTGCCGGTGTTTGGCCAAGCTTGGGGGAGGAATCCCAGCTTAGAGGAGCAGCGGCAAGAGTTTTCAGTCGAAGGAGAAGAGCAGTTCTATTTCCACCTGGTTCATTTGTAAAGTTCACCTGCTCCTTTGCCACTGGCTTGCTGGCAACCTATCCCAAGGGTATATCCTTTGTCCTGGAGGAGGCAGTCTACTTTCCGGTACCAGGAGCTGTAGATGATATTTATCCCAAAAGGTTTTTGCCAAAGACCACCACCAAGAAGCCGGAGAAGCTACCAGATACATATGTGTATATACCCGGCACCGATTGGCGCTTCAAGGCCCAGACTCTGCCCAAGCCCAAGTGGAGACAGCCGCCTCCAAAGACCCATCGCATTGATGATGATAGTTATGTGAATCCTTACAAATGGCAGCAATGGAATCAGAAACAGAAGTGGAGCAAGTGGAAAGAGATAGATCAAACTAAGGCCAAATGGTCGAAATGGACTACACCTTCACCAAAGTGGAAGAACCACAGTACAGCCTGGCAGTCCCACCATTACTACGGACATCGCGATCGCCGAGCACTGTTTGATCACTTCATCAAGCTGAGTTCACTGTGAGTTTATTTAAAATTAAATTTAAATGAAATAAGCTAATAATTATTTATTTTTATAAGCCTCGGCATTGATGTCAAGTCCTGCATATTGCGTACTATCTGTGATAGCAAACGATTGTTGTTGCCACCAGGGTATTCCATGTTTCAGGACATGCTGCGTGTGGTTTTCACGTGAGTTTTGTAGTCTTTATTCCAGAAATTACTTAAAGATAATTAAGTTTCACATTTCTATAACATTATTTATTTAAGTATGCCTCGTTTGGATGGCTTGGAGGATGAATATACTAGTATTATGGACAGGGGAGCAGATGATTGTGCCTCGGAGTTGAAAAGCAATTGTAATATGAATTTATTGATTTGGTTGCTAAGTGGCAGAGTTGAATAAAAGTATTTATATTTATTTAATGCAAGTTTACTATTTATTTATTTAGAAAATTATAAGTAATCTATAATCCATAATCTTATATATAATCTTAACTTATAATTTTATATATAATAAGTTAGGAGAAATCGTCCAATCATCTTTATAAGATATAAAGAGTATAATTTTTGTTCAAAGCTTAAAACTATGTGAAAGAGTTATTTCCGACCCTATATATCATATCATATATATTCTTGATCAGCATCGATAGGAAAACGATCTAGCTATGTCCGGCCAAAATTTAATTTTTTGAAAATTTTGAAAATTTTATAAATTTAAAAATTGTCAAAAATTTGGGTAAAGAAATGTAATTTTTTTACATTTTAAACTAATTATGTAGATTTATTAACCAAACAAAAACTTACATATGGCTGCATTCCGAATTGAAATAAATAATTTTTTGTCTTAGTTATGAACATTTTAAACTTTGATTTTAACAAAAATTTTGGAATATAAAAATATCAACAAATATCGATTCAAACATTTAGGGTATAAGCTTCGGATTACTTGTTTTAGTCGAATTTTATTTGATTTTTTAAGTATATAGTTTAGTTAACGGTCGACACCCATTCGTGACATATTTAAGTCTATCCCCTAAATAATTCTGATCTTCAATTGTTGGCAGTACAATTAGCACTTACTACTAAAATCACTTGAATTCAATTGAAACTCTTTCGATACTCGTTCTTGATGTCTCAATCAGTACAGCTTTGTCATGCGTCTCAGTCTGTTGATCCTCTTCAGCTTTGCAGTGCTCCAAGTGGAGTCCAATCATACAGAGCTCAACCATGTGCTGGATAGGGTATTCTCTCGGAAGAAGCGCTTCGTACTATTCCCACCTGGTTCTAATCTAAAGTTCACTGGACAGCTGAGTAAGGGCCTGATTTCGGCCTATCCGAGAGGTGTATCCATGAACATAGAACAAGCCTGCTATTATCCTGTACCCTCGAAGCGTGAGGATGTCTACCCGAAGCGATATCGTCAAAGGACCACTACTACAGAGAAACCAAAAACCACAACGGAACCCACCTATGTCTGGATACCGGGCACCAACTGGCGCTTTAAGGCCACTCCATTGAAGAAACCCAATCCTATGAGGCTGCACCATCGCATCGATGTGAGGCCTCCAAAGCCATCATCTTATGCTGATCCCGCTAAGTGGGCTCAGTGGTCGAAATATGGCGATCGATATCAGGAAAAATGGTCACCCGCTAAATACAACTATAAGAAGTACAATCAACCTGGCAGATGGAGTAAATGGACAACGGAGTCACCCAAGTGGTCAAAGCGCTGGTACAGATCAGCCGATGGAGAGTACTTCGATCCCGAGGTGGAGCCTTACGAGGATGTGAGGTCTGTTTCGGGGCAGTATGATGATCCTTATGATCCCGATATGGCATCTCATCAGCCAGCACACTATCCAGAACTGGAACATGTGGACAATTGGAAGCATTATAATGGACACCGAGATCGCAGGCAATTGTTTGAGCATTTTGATGGCTTTAGCAAGCTGTAAGGATGTGTAATTCGTTCTTTCATATTTGTAAAAGCAATCATATCTTTTAGTCTGGGAATTGATGTCAAGGCCTGTGTCCTGAGAGCCATTTGTGATAGCAAACGTTTGCTCCTACCTAGAGGATATTCCATGATTCAGGATATTGTGCGATTGGTTTTCACGTAAGTAACGGGTTATTTTTTTTATCTAGAGGTATATAACTCTCCCATCTCATAGACTTCCCACCTTATCCGGCGTGGAGGATGACTACTCCCGGATCATGCAAATGGATGCGGATGATTGCGACCGACAGTTTCGGGACTCTTGCAAGCTCAATCTTCTGGCCTGGCTTATTGGCGGGGGTAAATGGAATTAAATTGACATAAAAAAACAAAACTCAGGCAAACTCGATTTTATTGTATGAACTGGGCCTGCCACATGGATTGCTTGCACTCTGGATAGAGGGCGGCGCAGTCCTGCTTGGAGGCGTGAGCCTTGTCATAGTGGCTGTCGCGATAGGCAACGGGCTCGTTATCCAGGGGTTCCGGAATGGTGAACACAGCTCGCATCAGTTCGCCTACAAAGGTGCCGGGCTCTTCCTCCTCAGATTTCTGACCCGTTTCGCAGAGAGTGCGCAAAACGCAATGGCGACCATGGTGACCACGTCTGTGGGGAGAAATAACATCATTAGGACAAACTTAAATGGTATTTAAGGGGCTAATTAGGATAGGAAGCTAATTAATTTGTGACACATATTTCTTAGTACAAATCCGGAAGAGAAATGATTGCTGCTGTTATCTATTGAATATACTTAATAAGTTTATAATCGGTTACGGATTTTAAGCTCTCTATTATAGTTTCCCCTTGTCCCGTGTCCTTGTCAATCTCTTTACATAATTTCCGTTAAACTAAACACAGGATGTCATTTGACCCTGTTCACTTACTTATCCAGATACTTCTCCACTCGCTCGTACAGCGACTGACGACTCCGTCGATGATGCTTAATCTGGAGCTGCTCCAGCCTGCTTATCTTGTCCTCGTGTTCGGTGGCCACTCCGCTGCGGCGTTGACGCTTATAAGAATTGGCTGCATCCGGAATGCTTCGCTTGCCAAACACCGGATATATGCGATGGTGACGTGGTGCCGGCGGACGAGTGGGTCTTCTGGTGGTGGTCGTGGTGGTATCCTGACGCCGTTGCGCCACTGGTGGGGCTGCCTGTTGGTTCCGATAGCCATAATAGCGGTTTTTAACTCTGCAAATTATATATCATTTAATGTAAGCTTGGATATATAAAATTAATAATTTTATTCCTCCTTTTCCTTACCTTGAATTCAGCGCCCAGTAGGGATAGCGTGAGTTCTGGGCAGGCGAGTGCTGGGGTCTGGACCACTTGGTAAAAGGATTGTTCGCACTCAACCCCTGGTGACTGTAGTAGTAGTGATTGTCCTTGCGCCTGCCACCCTTTGGTGGGCGGCTGTAATAACTGTCTGCATATTGGTGCGACGGATGCATCGGTGTCCGGAAAACTGGGTTTGAGCTGTAGTAGGAGTTGCTGCCACTCCCACTCCCACTCCCGCTCCCGGACCCGGACCCGAAACTGGACAAATTAATGTAGTTGGGCCTGTAGACAGGGGGCGGACTAGTTGTGGGCGCTGCCGAGGCATCGTTCACATAGGTTATATTTGACACGGTATCGTTGCGACTGATGTCCAAGGTTCCATCCTCCAACTTGGTGAGCAGATCGTCCAGCTCCTCGCTGGGTGGCTTGCTGGGCAACTCCCAGGCCAGAGCCACCGTGATGCCCAGAATCAAGTAGTTGGTGTGGTCCACCACACCCACGATTTCATCGTACACTAAACGGAAGAGGATAAGATAAGTGAGGCGAGAGTGATTTGCATGGCCTGGGAGGCAGTGGCTAATGCCAAGAGGGGTTTCTTGCTTTAAAGAAAACACTCCTATACTATCCTCCCTAGAAAATCATTCAACTTGATTAAGATTTTCCCTCTTCGCGAAGGAAACACTCTATATCCCTCTCTAAAACTACGCCCCTGTGCTGCGACAGGAATGACTTACCCATCTGAAAGGAGCTGCCCTCCGGAAATACCAAATAGCGTCGTTTCCTGGACAACAGCTCTTCCGACTGCCTGCCCTGGACGGATGAGGACGACGACTCATTCAGCCGCATCTCGATGAGCTGCTCCAGGCTGGTGCTGTCCTCATTGTTTATGTTCAGTGATGGTCGGCTGCCAGATGCCGCTCCCAGCTCGATGGATTCCCCGGCCTTCAGTGCGTTGGCCAGGCTAAGAAAAAGCATCACCAAAGCTGCCATCAGCCAGCAATTACCTACTGGGGAATTTTCCTTCATCTTCTTGCTGCAGGTTCTTCTTTTTCGGCTCAACATTTCTGGTATGCAGTTGCGGTCGAAGCGTTGTCCATACGCCAACTGTCTGCCAAAAGTATCGCGTAGAAGCGGAACAGAAGCGTTCTATGGTCTATGGTCTGGCTGGGAGAACTTCAGCCGTGGCTGTTAATTGTGAGTGGCCAGCAGAAAGTTTCCAGTTTGAGTTTGAGCTTCGTTCGTTAAATTTCTTTTTCCCCCTTTCCCCTGTTTTGTCTTTCATTAGTTTTCACACTTTCCGTCTTTTGTGTTCCGGCAAGTAGTTTGTCTTGTAGAGGAGAGACTTTTCCGTTCGTCTTCGTCTTTGCCTTTTGCGTTTGCCTGTGCTTCGTGAGCTCATTGGTCTACTTAAAGGTTCAAATTACTTTTTCACGCTCCCAACTTGTTTTTCCCTTCTGCCATCTGAAAAGTGGCACACTTCCATCCACAGAAGCTGCTTCTGGTAAATTCAAGTTGAAGTAATGTGATCACTAGTCGCAGTTTTTCTTGGGATAAACTTAAAAGCAGGAACGGAATGCTTTTAGAGCTGCAAGCAAAGTAACTTCCAAATGACTTTTGTATAATCTGGCTCCCCAATATTCGACTAGTTTGTTGTAAAGATAAAGGTACTGAGAGATTGAAATATTTTGTAATATATACTTTTATTATCATATTCCTTTTATTCAGACCAAAATGTGTGACTGCAGTCACTGTATAGCTGCCGGCAGTTTCCCTTTTGCTTATGTGCCTCCAGATAGTGTGGTGACATCATAAGCTCAAGGTCCGCAGGCTCGTGGATGTCCTCGCCGCTGGGCAGCTGAAAGATGGCCGAAAGGAGTTCCATTATAAAGCTCTGAGGCTCATCCCCAATCCTTTGCTGCCTTTGAGCGGATTCGCAGAGGGCTCTCTGCACGCAGGAGGTGCCATTCAGTCGTCGCCTGCGGGTGATGAAATACCCCAGATCAGTGGATGGGTCAAGGGATTCGTGTTGGTGGGACCGGACTCACGACTTGTACAGACGCTCGATCTTGCCGAGGAGTAACTGGCGGGAACTGAGGTGATGCTGCAGGTGGAAGCGCTCAAAGTGAAAATCCTCGGCGATTTCAGGACTTCGTCGTCTCCGGCGCCTGGCAAAAACAGGATATATATGATGCTTTGGTGGGGACTGTAGTATTTGCCGTGGACGTTGGGTATAACCAGAGCTGTGAATGGGGATTCATATACATGAGTTAGAGTTAGTTTTCAAGAATACCTAATTTGAAGCAAAATTTATATTTATTTAAGAAAAGTATGCTATATTTTATGAACCTCAGGTAAAGGTAAAGTTGCACTTACTTCCACTTTGAAGGGCCCCACATGCGCTGCTTTTCACGCCAGTTCTGCTGTACCCGCTGCCCGTTTCGTGTCCACCAGTTGTCCACACCCAAACCGGCAGCTCCTGCTCCTGCTCCAGCTCCCTTTTGCTGCCACTTTCCCACCGACTGCCGCGCATCCCAATTAGCAGGCATCGGCTCCTGTCGCTGCTGTCCACTCGCATTTGCATCCGCATCAACATTCGCATTCGCATTTGCATATGGGAATGCGTCAGGGATATTTCGCTGGATATTCGTGTAGTACGAATGGCGGCCATGGTCATTGGCCGCATATGCCAATGGATTCGATGGCGGTGCGTGGACTGCCTGCCAATTAACAGGGCTCCCGTTGTCCAGCTGCTGGGGAGGATGAGGCAGGAACTGAGGCTGGTACTGAGGCTGGTACTGAGGCTGGGACTGAGGCTGGTACTGAGGCTGGTACTGAGGCTGGGACTGAGGCTGGGACTGAGACTGAGGCGCCGCCTGTGGTGTACCTGGTTCAGGTTCGGGGGCGCTGCCATTCCGCCGGACAGTGCCGATGGTGCCGTCGTTGATTCGAGTAAGCACGTTTTCAATCAGCTCGCTGGGCGGCTTACTGGGCAGCTCCCAGGCCACGGAGCAGGTGATGCCCAGGATGGCGTAGTTAGTGTAGTCTATGATGGGGATGATGATGTCGAACACCAGTTGGAAGGAGGAGCCCTCCGGGAAGAGCAGGTAGCGCTTTTGGCGGTGCAGTCGTCTCATTGACTCTGTTGTCGTTTCAACTGGAGGAGGAGAAGCAGGAGCCATAGGAGCAGGAGGAGCGGAATTGCTGGCCAGTGAGTGGGTGCCATTACCATTCAATGGCCTCTCGGTACGGAGGAGGCACAGTGGCAGCAGGAGGATAAGTATAGCGCCAACTCCAGCACAACCAATTACTTTGATTGTTTTTACCATTTTTCCTTAATGGAAGGCAGCAAAAGTCGCTTGGTCAACACTAATCAGCAAAGACATACAAAAGCGGGTATAAAATTAATAAAATATGGCCATAAGAATACAGACAATATTGGTAATTGGTTTGGGGAAGAGTGTAACTAACTTTTAAGATAAGTATTCCTTGTTGAATGTAATTTTATTGTGAGTTTATTATTAAATCTAGACTCCAAAAGGACTCTTTAATCTAATTGGCCATTGAATGGTAAATGGACACTACTTTGTTAGTCAATGAAACTCTTTTTTTTTTTTTTTTTGTGGACACGGGATAGTACACCTTTTTGTTCGTTAGTGTAATTGAGCAATCGAACATTCCGATTCCGCTCATACACTCCAGCACTCTTCCCACCAAAAAGCAGCAAACGAAATTTGCATAATTTCACTTTAGCTGTGACGCTTCCATTTGCTGGCTCTGCCAATCATGCGTTAAATTAATGCAATTTTCAACAACATTCGAGGCGCGAGAGATGGCCCAAACGGGACGGACGGATGGACCCGCTCATGGGCTGTACAATTAAAACACTGCCATTCTGCCGGAATGGAATTGAACGCGAATTTATGGTCCAGATAATTACCATTAGAGAGATGGGCGAGGGGAAGAGGCAAGCGAATTGGGTTTTCGATTGGGACCGATTTCGGTACGGATCTGCACTTTTTATTTTACGATATGTCGATGCCATTAGCTGTCCAAACCGAACTGATGCCGCTCGGACCGCTCAGCGCTTCTGGGAACGCATCAGCATCGATTTTGGTCCAGTTTTGGGGCAGGCAAAGTTTAATTGTACAATTAGCACCCAATTGAGTGTCGTTAACTCGTTTTTTTTTGTTGTGTGTCATTTCAAGTGCTCTTTGAAAGGTGCTAAATACTCGGCTTTTTACCCGATTCATTCGTAACCAATATCAAATATCCAATATCCACAGCCTCAAGCGGAAATGCTAAATGGGTTCTGTTCTTTTTTCCCTGTATCCATAACAACCTATTAAATGCGATGTAATTGGCCCGATAACAGATTGTTAAATTACTACATTTAGATAGTGATTGGTGTCGCCAGCGGCTGCAATAAATAATCTTTAGTGTATTCTGTATAAATTGGGCGACAGTAGATCAGGCTAAAGTGCTTAATATTGGATATATTTTAATCTCTTCGACTTTCAGATGGATTAAAAGCATTCATATTTATTTTTTAAAGCTCTGTTTGATTGAGTTGTATTTAATGCTCAGCTTAATGTTAAAGTTTGTTGTTTTAATAGCAATTGCAAGTTATTAGAGAAATACTTTTAAAATATATGATTTATGGTGGGTATTATAATTGCAGTCAGAAGCTTGTAAAATAGTAAAGGAGTCATTTCCGATCCTATAAATCTTATATATTCTTGATTAGCATGAAAAGCCAAATCAATCTAGTCATATCTGGAGGGAAAAATTTTTTACCCACTTTTTTTTTGAAAATTTAATAAGGGGTTACATCGTTAAAATTGTCAAAATTTGAAAAAAAAAAATTACATTTTTAATTGAGAATGTAGATTTATTAGCCTAACAAAAACTAACATAGGGCTGCTTTCCGAATTGAAATTAATGCAGTTCTGGCTTAGTTATGATATTTTAAAAACTTTGATTTACCCAAAAAATTAACATATAAAAATATCTTATTAATATTATAAGAAGACGCATATTTTAAGATAAATGGAGTTCAGGACTGAAAATTTTAGTCCCGGCGGAGCGGTTATCTCAAAACTGTCTTTAATATATTATATATATTTAATGTTATATAAACTTGATTTTTATCTTTAAAATATCTTTAAACTCTTTGATACATTTTTCCCTTTTAACATTTTCCCTCAGTGGAAAAAACTCTGGTCCAAGCGAATTCTTCTTCCGTCAATTTCTTGTGCAAACTAAAAATTGAATTTCCCATTGCGGCCACAAGTTGCACCGGCTGCAAAATTAGTTGACCATGCACTCCAGTGGCAAACAGTTGGCCCTGAATCCTGTCATCGCCCAGCTCCCATTCCTGCTCCTGCTCCTCCTGCACCTCCTCCTTGTCCTTGTTGTCGTTGTTGGCTCCGCAGATGGGAATTCCGGTTCCAGTTTCAGCCTGAGTCGGCAGAAGCGCCTGGCCATCTTCAATGGCAGTGGAACCAACAAGGTTGGTGGCCATCGATCCATCGAGTTTGGCATTCTGAAGGCCTAATTGTTCCTCCCCAGATTGTCGCTGGCATTGCCTTTCCCATCAAACAGGAGGACACGGTCCAGTCCGTTTGGGGTTTCATCAACTACCAGGCCCAATATGTGCCCACACCAATTCCTCTCTACTGGTGGAGTTTCTGGAATACCACGACATTTGTGTCCACAGCCAGGCACTGGCAAGAGGAGGTCCAGCAAGTGCTGTTCCAGGACGAGACCCGGGTATGGTTGTACGATGTGGTGGAAACGGGCTTGGAGAGGTAAGTGATTGGGTCATCTCTGGCTGCAAACCATCAATATGTTTACTTAACTTAGGTTTGCTGGCCACAATGCTGGAGTCTGTCTGTTGAGGATTATCTGTGAGATTTCCCAGCGTCCTTTTCAACGTAGCAATATCTTCAGTGAGATCCTTAATGCAGTGTTTGTGTGCGTATAATTTTTGATTAATTTGGTATTTTGTGAATATAAATTTTATATTTTATATTTATATGAAGGCCATCATTTAATAATATCCCTGAAAAATATTTGCATGCCAGGGATGCGGGTAAAGCCGGTGCTGACTGTACGAGAACATATACGGAATGCAGCAAGAAGCTCTGGAACAAGCTCATTCGACTAACCAAGATCACTTTTCAATAAATGTTTAAAAATTAAAAAAAAAATTAAATTAAACCTTAATAAAATAAGTAAAAGAAGCCGATTAATTCGTATAGCCAATCAATATTTATAAAAATTCATTACAATATTTTATATATTTTTAATTATACAACTCTGCTTTCTTGAAATAAATTGTACATTCTATACCCTTGCAGGGTATATTAATTTTAGTTAGAAGCTTGTAAAAATGTGAAGGAGTCATTTCCGGCCCTATAAATCATATATATTCTTGATCAGCAGTGACAGACGAGTTTAACCAGCCATGTAAGGTCAAAAAATAAAATGTTGAAATTTTTTAATAATTTTATAAGGGGTTACATTGTTCAAATTGTCAAAAATTTGCAAAATTTTTTATTTTTCCAGACCTATAAATTTACTATGCAGATTTATTACCCTAATAAAAACTAACATAGGAATGGTTTTCGTATTAAAATAAATGCATTTTTTGGCTTAGTTATTAGTTTTTGAAACTTCGATTTGTCCACAAAAATTGTCTTATAAAAATGTTGCTAAATATCGAAAGAAGAATGCAAATATTTCATGTCCCATAATCCTATAAATCAATTGCAAACTGCAAGGGAAAATAAACTTCCACTTCCCGAAGATAGTTTTCTTTATTGTTTGCTATTAAAACACATTAAACTCTTTCAGCAAAAACTAAACACTAAAATCATAGTTTTGCTCTTCCAAAATGAAGTACATTTTTCCCCCAGGAATGTCTGAATTCAAAATAAAGTATTTCAAGTAAATTTAAGGCTCTCTTCCCACTGAATTTCCCCATTGAGTTTGTTGAACGCCCTGTGCTTAATCGCTTACCACATATACATAGTACCTGGAATACACAAGCGACATCCATTTAAATTAGTTTTCGGAAAATTTCGGTGAGCTTTCCCCCTTTGTTTGTCTTTTTCGATTCTCGCTAGTGGTAGTATTTTTTTTCTATTGTTTTATATATATATTTTCTTTTTTTTTTGTGCCGGGGTGCTCTCGTGTGAGATTTTTACTAATTTCCAACCAAGTTGAACTGTAAACAATGTCAGCGCAGAAACCAAATGAAAACAAATGCAGCTAACAAAACACCAAGGGGCAAGGACATGACGGGATCCTGGGGGTCCTGCTACGGCGGTACTAACGAACACCAGTCGTCGTCGTCGTCGTCGCAGCAGTGGCAGAATTTTGTAGCATGCAAAACATTTGTCAAATGTAAATTAGCCAAGAAGTGTAAGTGTAAGTGTGTGTGTGCGGGGGCGGTAGGGTTGCGGTTTTTTCTTTTACCAATGGCAAGGACTGTGCAGTTGCGGGGGTTGTGGGGGGTCGGCGTTGAACGGGTGTTTGCCTGGTACAAATCGCATAAAATCACACTTAATGCCCGCAGGCAACATGCAGCATGTAAAAAGTGCAGCGAGGCGTGAATGTCGCTGGCACACAAAGTTTTGCATGTGAGCAGGACACAAACACTAAAACACACACCCAAAATTGAGTAGGAAATTATAAATAATTAAAAACTAATTGACTCTAACCAAAATTCGAATCCATATACTTGCCTGGAGATACCTGAAAATATCAAATAAATAAAATTGTACAAGCATTTTCTTTTCTTTAATTTTCCAAATTATTTAAATATTTCTTCCAGTGCACACACACACACTGGCATAACCGGAGCATTGGTGCAATGTTGCAGCTGAACGCAAATGCGGAAGCATTAACATGGTCACACACAGCCCCCTTGCCTTCAACCGGCACCAGCACCTTCTGCTGGCATCTATTGTTCGCAATTATCATGGAACGCAAAAGGCAATGCTTAATTTTTGTTATCCGAAACTTTTACTTTGCCTCGCTGCATTCACACCTCCCACACTGCCACACCCACCAGAAAAAGTGATAACAAAAATAACAAAAAAAAGGAGCGATGCAAAAGTACGAGTCAAACTTTAATAAGCGCAATTTCTGCTCTTCGTGTCGCTGCCGTTTTGTTGGCATTCTGCACAGTCCACACGGCGTATGAGCAATTTGCATTTGTTTGTGCCACGTCGCCTCCCAGCTCCCTTTGGGGACCCCCCAAAAAACAAACTTCTAGGCGATGCTCTCAAGTGAATTTTATCGCACCCAGATACCAAACAAAACAGGTCTGCATTTGTATGCGAGGTGGAGCCTTAAGCAAATTCAAGTTATAATTAAATTTTCGGAAAATGCAAAGGGACAGATGACATTGGAAAAAGAGTCTCCAAGAAGGCCAGGTTTGAAGGGAAAAATATAAGTAGGAAGCAGAATGGAAATATATATATATATATAAATGTGTAACTTATGCATAAATAAATACCATTGTAACTTTATAAATATGAATCATTTTGATTAAATAAAAGAATTATTAATTACTTTTCTGTATGAAGAGAGACAGCAAAGGTTTCTAAGAATACTCAAAGATAAATAAAGATCTATGTCTCAACAGCTCTCGTTTCCAGTCATTGACTTTTGAGATATTTAACACTTAAGTGTGATGTTCATTGAACTTCTTAGAGATCAATAACGTAACGGGAACCGCCACGGGCAACATCATGAGATTGCTACAATTTCTACAAGCCAAATATGGGACAGTTGGTAAGAGTAATTAGCACCTAGAGTTAATCACTGACAAGAAATTAGCAAAATGTGAGCTGCACCATATTTTTCTTTACCCAGCTAGAAGCAAGTAGAACTTTCTTGGCTGGCTCGTATTTCATAAGCCAGAAATGGTGGAAAATGCTTTTCCGTTTTTTAATTATGTCAAATTTACACAGCTTTTCAAAGCAACTGATGCTTTTTATGCTCTTTAAAGAGGTGTGTCTTATTTATATACTCAGAACTTAGAATTAAAGTTGAAGCTCAAATTGAAAGTAGAATTGAATTTATTTTGAAATCATTTGGAGGGTTTTTGAGTTACATTTAGGTTTATAAATATTCAAAAGACCTTAAGCTGACTTGTGTAATAAAGGTAGAGAAATCTTAGCTTCGGCTTAGCAGGATCCTGCTTCACTCTCGTTGTAGCTATTTCCGTAGCCATTTCTCTTGTTGCTACTGTTTCTGTTGTTATTGCTAGCTGGCAAATGTCAGCAGCCAATTAGGAAGAGTGAGCGAAAGGATGTGCCGCTGCGTCTTCGTCATCGCCATCGTCGCGAGTCAGTCAATGTCACTCTGCTTCTGCTTCTGCTGCTGCCCCACTTAGAGTCCCAAACTCCCCAAACAGGGCGTGGCAGGGTTGGGCAGGATATTCGGCTGCCAATGCCACTCCAGCGCCTGTCCACACCCCCAGAATGCCTTGCTTGGCCTTGTCATCATTTGCATAAGAAATTTATCTCAATGAGTAGCTAATTGGGAAATTGTGACATGCCCGCTTTTCCTACTCCTGCCTCGCAGGACCTCCCTTCCAGCCGTCCCAGTTCCCCTAAGTCAACAAAAGGGCTGCGCAAATCCATGGCACGTTAGTTTTATTGCACTAATCCTTGAACTAATTTCAGGGAGAAGCGCTGATGCCAAGAGTCTTAGGATTTTAAAATTAAGTCTAGGCGTATTGGCTGTTATAATGAGAGTCAAGTGTTTAGCTTTACCTCTTATACAAACTTAGCTACCATCTAGCTTTTAAAGTGTTTAATACTCTTAACTCTATATGGTTTTCTACTGACTAGTCTACAAATAAGTTTTATTATTTTATTTCTGTGAAAGTGAAGGGTTTATCGCTTACTTCAACTATTTTTTGTTCCATATGTAGTACATTTACCCCCAGTTTCCTCATTTAATTAAAGTAGCTAGCAAGCATATTATTCTAAACCGTTCCTGTCACTCATTTGGGAATTACCAGACTGTAAATCCTGACCCTATTCACTTGCGCTGGGCTGTCTGAAGTGCGGCAATCAGCGTTTGACTAACTAATTGCGTATACGCTATGCTCTCTCTCTCTCTCGGTGCCCTATCATAGACGGTTTAATTTAGACACACAGGCTCACACACACACACCGATACACACAGCCACCCGATCATGGCCACAAACTGAATTGGCTAACTGAGCTCATTAGCAGCCGCTGCTGTCAGGGTCTATATCCCTATCTACCGTCTGCGGCTCGTCGCCGGGCTCAAAGTCTCCATCTCCAATCACATATTCGATAATGCGAGGCAAACCAAATGAAATTAATTGCACATTTTAATTGACAACGCATCAAATCAATTTGCATGCCAGTCACTTTACCCCGCACAACCGGCACAGGACAGACATCGATTAATGAATGAATGAATGTGGAATACAGATGAACGGAAGTGCAGTGAGGTTGGGTTCAGGGGTCCAGGGGTCCTTTTCGCATGCATAATGAGCCAGGTGCGCATTTTGTCGGTCCTTGACTGCCAATAAATTATCCGAGGTGCGCTAATCTCATCTATATTGTTTGGCCCCGGCCAATAGAATCGGATGGAGGCCAAATAACTTACCACACCTGTCTGGCCATTTTAATATTAGCAGTCAAATTAATGCATTGCCAGGCAAACATGTTGAATTGTAAATGGCCAATATTCCCAAGTAATTAAATTGGCTTACATTCTGACATTGAGCTGGCAGCCAAAGTATTTTATTTATTTCGATATAAATTCAATACATATTCAAATAAGAAGTGTGTTTTTGTTATAGTTTTCCAGAACAGCAAAATGCTTTTATCTTTATTTTTTGACATGTGTATGTCCAGCAGGTAATATAAAAGTACTACCAAAACTAACATGTCAATAAATAATCGAAAAATAGGAAATTTCACAAAACCCTTGATGGAAAATAAATTTATCTTTCAGTTATATTTATTTGTTATTATTTAAGAGATAAATTAAATGAAAGTGCCTTGAATGTTTATGGTGTGAAAAATACTAATTTAATCAAATTTATGATTAAAACTTCCAGAACTTTAATTTATCTAATTATGTAAGTTTGTTTTACATATTTTTTCACTAATTTGGCATTTTAATTATCTTAATATAAGCTGTCTAAGCTTTGTGGAGAGCTAAATGCATTTATTTTCATTTTCGCCGGTTTCCCCTATTAAGTGTCACTTGCAATGACAGTTTCGCATTTTTCCAGGGTATTTTAAAATTAATTATAATGGAGAAAGTCTGCTCATCTGTACTAGGAAAAAATGAGACAGTCCGAAAAGGAGAAATAAAAACAAATATCACCAAATGAGAAAATTAAACTAGAACTACTGAGAACATCAACAAGAACGAAATGTTATTTAAGTTTGGGCTGTCAGCAAATTTAACAAGTGAAAAACTGTAGTCTATAGTTCAGTTTTTGGTAGATGGAATACCCACTGCAATTAAAAAACAAAATATTATTAAAGTTGTTTATTTTTACCAAAGTTTGCAGAATAATTTAAGTAAAACTACATTTCAGGGATGTCACAAACATAAAGATATGTATTATTATTAATATTTATGTATATATCTCTACCTCTAATTAATATGTAAGAAAAAAAATATATATACTCTATTATTTACTAATTTATTTTATAATAAGAATATCATAATAAGTATAAGAGAATGATATACCCCTTGTAGAGTGCAGGTTGTGCTTAACGAGCTGGTGGTGGGTGGTGGCAAGTGAAGTAAGGTCACTTGATCTGGGTTGGGAATGGAGTTGACCTCTTATTGCAGCAATTCAACGCACGGCAACATAATCAATACTTGATTAAGGCCGAGACACGAACCCACCTCCGGGTATTTGTGTGTGTATTTAACTATGCGGGAGAAAGTGTATGTGGTTCACAATATATAGTGCGGAGGTGATGTGAGTGACACACACAAAGTTGTTGGTCAACAAACGCTTAAAGTTTTGCGGTCAATGTCCAACTGGGAACCCCTCTTTCTGGCTCTAATTCCCTATTATTCTTGGATCTCATCAGTTGTTTTCTTCATCCTAATTGCTAAGAAGTACACTTGGAAAGTAAGACAAAAGACCAGCATAACCCTGAGTTGGTCAAGAGATTTTATTTATATTAATTCTTTCATTCCATTCTTATTTGATTATATTGCTTATGCTTTTCTAAGTTTAAATTGTAATATTCAAAATAATGTTAACTTTGTCAATATCATGATACGAATTTAAAAACAAACTGAAAATATAAGCCTAGAAACACCATTCTTTTTTGCATAATTAATATTAAATTTCTCCAATATGTATAATTAAATTCTCTTGTATAAATTCAACCCATTTTTAGTACCATGTAGGGACTTGAGAAGTTCATGAGATATCTCAACAACAGGTGCAGAATACCTGTCTGTATGAGTTTTCGTGCACTTTAATGCCCTTGTATGCGTGCACGTAATTTATGTTTTTCAACTTAATTAAAGTTAATTTTTAATGCGACTGCGGTGGGCGACAGGTTACCTTTGGGAGGTTGAGGCCGTGACAAGTGCATCAAAGGCTGCCGCAAAACATTTTAACACCACTCGGCATTTTCATGGCGGTGACATTAAACAGCTGCAACACTGGATGCAACCTTTGTCCAGGCATCGAGGTCAACAGCTATAATTTTTGTACTGCCTAGGTTCGTTTTTCCCATTTTCCTTTTTCCTTTTTCTTTTTTGGTGTCCCTACAGCAGCTCACTGCTCAACTGCTTTAATAAAATTCCAATTAAATGCACGCTACTGATTGCAAGTACGCACAATCAGCGGAAGCTGTGGAAAAATAGCGAAACACTCTCCCCGAAAAAAAACCTGCAAATGGCACACAAGTTAATTATAAATTACAAATGGCAACAACAGCGAATAAATATCATCAGCAGCCACAAACACTTTCTGTAAGCTGGAAATGATTTAAACCAGAGATATTTCGACTTTTATTTACCTTATATTAGTGTGTAATTAATAAAATAAATATTTGATTATTAATACGTCTGTATTACAAATATATTAAAGAATTCCCTTTGGAATTTATTTATAGCTTTCATGAAATTATTATTAAAGCCCTTTAACCCACTTCAATCACTTCAAAATATTGTTACTATTCTGTTTTTATTATTGTTTTAGGCAACCATCACTGGATGATGCTTGTTTTCATGTCCATTTCAATCTCGTCTTTTGTTTATTTTTCATATCTTAGAATAACACGTAGAGGCACATATGTATATATATAACTCATGTATAAATATCATTAAACATCATCCGTATATGGTGAAATGCTGTCGAAACTCAGGGGACAGTGGCTGTGCATGATTTGCTCGCAATTCTCTTCCCGCAAATGCGGCATGTGTCTCTGGTCGTGCTCATCCAAACTGCAATTAAAAATTGTATATGTGTGTGTTGGATAATTTACGCATATATGGCATTCAAGAGCACTTACGTAAATACATATTTCAATAGTTTAAACAGAAATCCCTGCCCATGATCACCGGCCAGAGCGGTGCAGTAGGCCTTCAGGACACAAGCCCGACCGTCTAGGCCACTCCGGTCGATCAGTTCATGGAGCAATTCGTAGGTGTCCCTTCTGAAGGGTCGGTTTTCCCTCTTAACCAGTACCGGAGTGTTGGCTCGAAAGCCATAGCCATGAGCCCATACAATCGGTGATTTAATTACATTGTTTTTGGCATTAATGCGAAACTTTAAGGGAAGAGGGTACTGTCACTATCAGTAAATGAGTATTTGGAAGGATAATAAAGAGCCATAACTGCCAAAAAGGACTTCAGGAAATTCATGTAAATATATCAGCGTAATAATTTGAAGTCAACGTTTTTTAAATATTTTTTAAACTATTATTTATAGACTTTATACAACCATTTGGCTTTTAATTCAAATTTGTGCAGCATGTAGTCTTCAAAAGCGTTTATTATTTAATATGTATTATCTATAGTATATCTTCACTGTTATGCTGTATTTAAACTACGAAATAATTTATTAAATGAATTCTAAGATAATTTTTTTATTAATCACCACTGAAATAATTATATAAATTTATTTCCTGAAACTTTTCGGCAGTTATTGCTTTAAGTGTTACCCACAAAAATACGCGTAGTCTCTATTATATCCAAATATCTCTTAGCTCGACTGTGAACTGCAGTGGAATTCCGTTCTTGACCTGCCACCAGGGTGACGAAAATGAAAATAAATCCCCAACGAACCGAAACCATTGTAACCGATGTAAGAATTCAACTAAGATCAACCAAGGGATCAGGGTCTCAAAGAACTGTCACAATTTTTTTTTGACCAATATGAAACTGGTTTTGTGTTCTTCTATGACTTATCAGCAGAACAATGCTAATTAATAACCAACCCGGTTTAAAGAGAGTATGATACACTCACCTGAATATTAATTTGAGTAGCTTGAAGAGCATGCCGCTTTTCTTGGAAGGTTTATCCACGTCCCTTATGGCAGTGCAGAAGGATTTTAGCATGCAGGCTCGGCCATCGAAGCCATGTCTTTAATTAATACTATATTATTATGTTTTAATGATTTAAATTGCTTCAATAACTCACCCATCTAGAGCAGTTTCCAGCTTGGAAAACAGATCCCTCTTAAAGAGACGAAAGAATACCGCATTGTCCTTTTTCTGCTCCTCGATGGATGGAAAGGGATAATTGGTACGGAACCCATAGCCGTAGGCATACAGAGTGTTGATGTTCCACAGATTGTTCTTGCCGTTGGTACGCCACTGTGTGGTCGAGGGGGGGGGGGGGGGAGGGGTGGTAAATGAATAAGATATCCTAGTGATTGGGCGCCAATTAAGACAGGATAACAGGCATACGCACCGACATACGCGACCCCTTGCTGAATTGAAGATAACGCTTGCCGCGACGCAATATCCTCGTCGCATTGTTGGAGTTAGAGTCATGTACAGAGTCGGGGTTATGGTTGGGGCTGTCAAAGTGCATGTCAGGCATGTGGGTCTCGGACAGGATGGGTATGATGGTGCCGTGGTCCTCCAAACTGTCATGGGGCGGTTGGTGTGCCGACAGGACGGACAGGAGCAGTGCCACAGTCAACTGCACAATCAGCAATGCTGCCGCTGACAGGTGCGTCATGTTGCAGATTTTCCACTAATTAATACTTTAAACGGTCGATTCACATTCGTAATTTACTGTTTTTCTGCCTTAATTGTCGTTTGTACCGGCCCGGCTTGTGTCCGGTTCTAGTTCCCCTCGGTTACTGATACCAACTTGGGTCCATTTAATCCGCCTGACATAAATACGAGAGCGAAACTGAGAAGCGGGAAAGCAAATAAATAAACAAACAAACAATGAATCCGTTCTTGATGGCGTTGCTTATTTATTTATTGCTCTCTGTGTGGTTCGGTGACATCTCGTGTCTTGGCCATTGCCACCACTTCACCATTTTACCCTCATGCCTTTGCTGCTCCGGTATTCTAGTTTTAGTTCTGGACATGACATTTACTTGTTAACACTTTTCTCTCCATCGTTCGTACTGCTGCTGCTCTCAACTCTTGTTGACATCCACAATTTCCCCGTTTATCATTATAAATGGGGTCAGCACAGTGCTAAATCAGCGAGTTTTAGCTTGGGGTGTGAATCACCTGGCAATGAGTGGAAAAATATCTATTTTTGGGCTATTAAATGTGTCTTTATTATATATGGATGGATGGATTATGGGCTTAGTACACTATTTTTTATTTTCTTTATTCTAAAGAAGAGGTATCTCTATACTCTATATATTGCTTCTTCATAAGGCTTAAAAATTTAAACATTTTAAGTTTTGTAGATTAATGCCTACTTATATTTCCAAACAATTCCAAACATTCCTCCTAAGACTACTTAATTTTCACTCAGAACTCTAGACTTCTGTGCAGTCTGCAAAGTATCCTGATTGAATTCAGTTTTCGGAACAGAAAAATGCCTCTGTCAAGCCGAAGAAAGTTTGTCAAACGTATTTTTATTTCGTTCAAATTGCACTCCTGTGAAGAAGCTAGGGAGGAGGTGCCAGGATACATCAGTCAAGCCGGAGTCGGCTCACAGACACCAACCAATTGCTCCTCCACAATGGAGGAGCAGCAGCTGGGGCGAAGACATATGGTGTGCCATTTGTTAAACTAGCTCAACAAGTGCCCTTTGCCCCCGATTTTCCCTCCGGCAAAAAACAGAGAGGTGGACAGAGTTGACATTTAAAAGAAATTTGACGTGAAACACTTTTAAGTATTGGGAATTTATTAGGCATAATAATTCTTAGGCGGTGTAGAGTATTTCCCAAAGGCCAGTTCCAGCAGTGAGAAGTGGCATTGATACTGGGTGCAGTCGGTGATATGTCCATGTCGATATGCCTTATCATAGTGCACAATATCCGGATTCTCACGCAGTTCGCGTGTGAAGAGTGATTGCTTCGGCAGGCTGTTAAAATGGAAACATTTGTTAAATTATTTAAAGAAATATAGAACACTTACCTGAATATAATGCGGAGCATCTCGCCAATCATGTTCATCTTGGTGCTCTGAAACCACTGCCGACTCTCGCAGAGTGTTCTCAAAACGCAGTCATGTCCATTATAACCCATGCTTGAAAGGATATAAAGACAGATATAATAGGGTACATATTTTCAATACATCTTCTCTGGAACCTCTCCTGCCGTATCCCTTACTTATTGATTATGGTTTCTATATTTTTGTAGATGGCACTCCGCGAACGCCTCCGCAGTACGGCCGGAGCCACGGGATGTGTGGCAAAGCCATGCAGATGCTGCAACACCCAGGTGGTATTGGGCAGGTCATAGGCCACTCCCCAGTTGAGGCCGAAGCTGTTGTAGCCATAGTAGGGGTTGCCAATGATGCCCACGGTAAAGCAGACAGCAACCTGATCAAGGAAAAAGTGACAAACTGCACTCGGGGAAAGGATGGAGAATGACTCCGGCTGACACATACGGAAAATGAGGAGCCCTCGGGAAAGCTGAGATAACGCTTCGTACGACTGAGCCGCAGCCAACGCCGATGGTACGGTATCGAGAGAGCGGATGTGTCCAGAGTTGTGGACGTGGTCGTGGTTGTGGCCATGGATGCGGCGGCTGTGGATGGAGTAAAGTCGTCTGCACGTTCCATCATAGTCATCAATGTTGGCGGTGGCCATAAATCATGACTGACATTACTCGGGAAGTGCGAGGGAGGCGGGCCGTTGGCAACAGTGAAAGAGGGCGTTGCATTTGTCGTTGCAATTAAACCGTAAATCAAAAACTTTGCAACAATTAAACGATAATTAAACAATACGAAGTGCGCGTAAATCATTGCAAACAGCAACGTGGCACGTGCCACTCTCGATGCAGCTCCGTTTGCGACTGCTGACGGTGAACTGCAGTGGAAAACTGCTGTGGAAAACTGCAACGGGAAAGTGCCCTGAGCCAAAGACAATGCCTGGGAATGGATGACTGTGGCGGGCCAAAAGGAAAATGGCCAAAGTGCAAATGTGTCAATTGTCAGTTAACGTTTAGAATGCTCTTCAGCCACTTGCAGCAGTCACGTTTACAATAAACATGGCACCGGCCCAAGAGAGAGGTGCTGTGCCCCCCAGACAGGTGCTGCAACTTAATTGAATTGCCTGCACCGGCACCTTCTACCAGGAGGAGGTGCCTCCTCCTCCTGCTCCTGCTTCTGCCCCATGCATTTGCACCTGTCGATGGCATAAGGTCGAACTGCCTGTGCAAAGTCAAAGATGCGATGACAGAGATCGATGGGATGGCTGGGAGTTCATGTTGGTGAACAGCACTTGCGAAAGCATCTGGGAATATTAGTTGGGACCTTAAGTTAATTAAATTGACTAGAAAATGGTGGAGATACACCCTTTAATTACCGAAATTTACTATTAACCTTAGATACCTAAGATTCTGAAAAGCTAAATACTTTAAGATGGAAACTATAATTAAACTGCTGCCTGGTTTTTATTCAATTGGGAATGATTGTGGTGCATAGAATAAACTTAAATTTTCAGGGGAATACTTCATTTATGGAAGGGGACCAAGCCAACTTGGTTTCCTACAATCGAACCTGCGACTGTGGCGGCTGTCAACTTGAACAAACAAACAAACAACTTCATTAACCCCACAGGGCATACATCGCATACAAAACGACAGGCAGATCCCGATCCGGCACACACACTCGAGCAAACATCTGACAGAATTTTCCCATATATACCAGATATATATATATATATATATATCGGATGGAGCCAATTGAGGCCAGGGAGGCGCTTAGCTGACCCATTAGAGGGAAAGGCGCTCGTAAACCAGAAGGAGCAGTGCCAAAAGTCAGTGGGAAAATTGCCGGGCATCAATTGTGGGAGGCTAAGCAAAACAGACAATCGAAAAGCGAAACCAATCGAGGGAAAACAATAATGAAACACAAGACGAGCGAGAGCACACAAGACACCGAATTCTCGACACGTGAAGCTAAGGTCAAAACCAAGGCAAAAATCCGAGGCAAAAAGCCAATGTAAGAGACGGTCGAAGGACAAATATGGTAACTTTTTTGACGGCCACTTGAAGCTTAGCCGGGCTCTGGAAATTGAGGCAGAAATGCGAAAAGGGGCCCCAAGTCCTTTTGATTACCATGACAATGCCTGTCACTGTATCCGACGACTCCCTTCTACAGACAGAGAAAGAAATTGAGATGGAAAATTTCTTAACCTAAGGTAGGTCCTGATTTTTGTATTTTTGAAGCAGAGATTTTACTTCAATTTGTTTCATTATCACTGGTCTAAATTTTACTTACTACCAGACATATATATTTAAGAAAACAAGCCTTTAATAATGCTATTTCTTTGTAGAATATATATTGTATTATATCCCTTTTAAATTTTCCAGTGTATCTGCGTGTGTGTCGCTCGTTGATAAGATATTTTACAGATTGCAGATAGTTTAACAGGGACTCGCCACATAACTCTGCCCAATTACGGCCTAATTTGTTATGCATTTTTCGCTTTTGGCTCAAAGTTAAAGTTGCCGAACCGCAGACTCAGACTCAGAATCAGACACAGACTCGTCCTCTACGGATATTAAACTATTTCCGAAGCATACAAAAAGCCAATTTAAATGCTAATATAAAATACCAACATTTTATTATTATGCCAAGAGCACGCATCCCCGCATTTCCACAGATTTCCACCCAGCTTTCCTCCTCCTCCTTCGTTCCCCCTAAGAGGGGCGCAGGGTAGGGACAACGACCACTTTGGGTGTGAAGTTTTCTTGGTCTCACTGTGCGTGATAAGCCAAGTGGCTTGGCTGATTTTGGCACAGACACACCCCGCCGAGAATGGGGAACCTGCCACTTGAACCGTGTAAAGTATCTACATATGAGTGGCTGTATATATCCGTGTGCCTAAACAGTGCGACTCGGAAATATAAAGCTCTGAGAATGGTGATTAAGAATGGGGATTAACTAAGGATTATCTAGGGAAGTTGAATTTAAATTATTTTGAAACAAGTCAGTTCTATATTCAAACCAGATAACATGTTTTAAGTTCTATAAGATGATACTATGATAATAATATATTAATATTGAAAGGAACGTATAATGTTGTTAAACAAAATACCTAGCTTATCCTCTTCAAAATCTTGTCTATGCTTTATTATCTTTAAGCTATCTTTAGAATAGTTTCCACAAGAGACCCAATCTCGGCTCACAACTTTGTGTGAATTTTCACACACATACACACACAGAAATTCCACTTGGAATGATGGCCAAGTGGCGTTGACCGAAAACCCACCTGAAGACCCATGATTCCTCTTCTCCACTCACCTGTCTATCATTGTCTCCAGGCGGTTGTAGAGCTCCCGTCGATGTCTGCGCTTGATTTGCGCCTTGGCCGACTTCTTGGTGGTCCAGCCATGGGCATTCTGTAGGACCCAGGTGACATTGGGCAGGTCATAGGCAACGCCCCAATTGATGCCCAAGCTGAGGTACAGCAGGTTGGGGTTGCCGATGACACCGGTGGTCAGACAGACGGCGCCCTACACGTGTCCATTAAATGGTTTAACGAACAAAAGGAATACTTATCGATTAATTTCGTTTTTGCAAAGAAAAATAACAATATTTGCATTATTTTTTGTGCCATTATTTTGTTAGATTTTTAACGGAATTCCTCACTGTGCAGAGATAAGGCAAATTGTGCCATCGTTCGATGGTTCGTTGACTCACCGAAGCTGATGAACCCTGGGGAAAGGCCACAAAACGTTTGCCTCTCGAGAGTTTCCGCTGCGACGATGGGGCCGCATGTGGTGTCAGTTGGTCCTGATCCCACTCCTCGTCCTGCTCCTGCTGCTGCTGTTGTGCGACGATGAGTCCTGGTGGAGTCAGCGTGACATTGTTGACTTTGCCGGCTTCGTGACTCTCTCCAGCGTGTGCCTGGCATTGGCCCAAGAGGAAAGGCGCGGCGACCAACAGCAGCGGCAGCAGCTTAAACTTCAACTTCAACCAAGTGGTAGACATCTTTCCAAACTGATTCAAAGTTTCGGGTTTTGATTTGTTCCCCCATTTCATTAAACTTTTTGTCTTTAACGTTCTATCAAAAATGCCAACTTGTTAATTGAATTAGAGCTAGGCCAACTGACCTCTTTTGGACTAATGTCTTGGCCAAATATCTGACTGCAATGCGCTCAAAACACGCTCCCGGACAAATTAGAGAGGCACGCGTTAAGAATTGGAACTTGGTCGTCGACTCCATCTGTCCACCAAGTGATCCAGGTCTTTAGTTCTTCGGTGGACATTGCGGGCTTCGCTATGAATTATTTTCTTGGGTTCAGAGTGGTTTTAGTGACCATTTTGGTGGCCTTGGCCTCAGCAGATACTTTAGGTTCTAGTACTAAAAACTCTAGCAGTCGAGGAGTTACCTACATGCAGGAAAAGAGCCAGTTGCTTCATAGACAAAAGCGGTGGCTCACATTTGAACTGGGTTCTTCCATGACTGTAAGGTTTTTTTTAAAATTAAATTTTAAATATGAACTTATATGTATTTTTTATATTATTTGAAGATCACTGCCAACTGCGCTAAAGCCGTTTTGGATACCATACCTAGAGGCTTGCTGTTCCTGGCCGAGATCACAAGTCTGTATGAGCTGCCGGCGGCTATAGAAGATTGGATACCGCGACGCGTGGGTAAACCAAAGGTGAAACCGGCTCCACCGCCGCCTCCTCCACCACCGCCTCCACCGCCACCTCCACCACCACCTCCACCAGATTCCTCTGTGGTGCTTAGACCGCAGCCCGTAATTGTTCCCCTTAGCCCCGCAGATCCCATACAGTCTTTCTACTTTGCCTATCCGGGCGGCATTCCCAACCTGAATCGTCGCAAATCCTATTCACAACAGCGGCAGGCAGGATGTCCGGCGTCGCATTTGGTCAAGGATATGTATGGAACCTACTATTGCAGACCGTCGGCCATGTCAAGGAGACTCAAAAGGGAGTTGGAGAGCCAGGGAGCCACGGTGATCAATGAGGCGCAGAATCCACAGGGTATGCTTTTTGATTTGGTCACCATGATGGCTACGATGTAAGTATAATTAAAAATAATTAGATATGTATTTAGATATATTTTTAGCTAAGAAAAAGATATTATATAGAGCCTTTAAAAGGACTTTTAAGTACTTTAGTCAGTTAATTTTCTCCTTTTCAGGTTTAATTATCAACCGACCTATTGCATCATGCGAACCCTGTGCGAGGCGCGTCATCTGTTGGCTCCGGAGGGCCTGACGCTCTTCCACGACATCTTCCGCATCATGCTGCGCTACGTGCATCCGGAGATAGCCCACAAGCCCAAGTATCGGGAGGCCTTCACCGCCGGCCACTCGCTCCACGAATGCGCCAGTCTGTATGGGCCGCATTGCCGGCAGAGTTTTCTGTTGCTTTTCAGCGAACGCTTTCAGGAGAAATATGTGCGTTGAATGAAAATTAAAATAAAAGCCCCGAAATAAGGCGAGAAAACGAGAGATGAATTTATCCAACTGGATTGTGATGTATTTTCAAATGAAACTTTAATAAATATTTAGAGACTTTTATAGCACAATATTAAAGTATTAGGAACTTTATTTTATACATTTTTTTCCGAGAAAATCTCATTGGATTTATACTTTTCACCTGACTTTTAGGGGCTTATAAAACCTTGTTACTTTGCTTAAAGAAAAAACAAGAACAGCTTCACATATTTCGTGTTATAAATGTTGTAATATTGCCACAGCACAAACAATAAATAAATACAACAAAAATGAAATGCATAAATTGATGAGGCAAAAAAATATATTTTATTGTGTGTCATACTGAAAACGTTGAATGGAAATTAAGTAAATACTTGTACATCGACATTTTTATTGACAATTTTTTCGACCATTTGGTTATGCCCTTTCGTGTAAATTGTCGGGCATATCTGTTCTACATTATATATAACACATGAAACTGGTGATAATTTGATCAATTTAAATAGAAAAGATATAGAATAAATAATGCCTTAAGTCTAGTTTTAAAGTTGGATAGCGCATAGAACTATTGATGGATCCATTCGCAAGTGCAACTCCCTTTTCCCTTTTGGGATGTGCACTGCAAATTTCATAATTTGTGCTGTTTGTTTTTCATGTTACAATGCTGACAATTGGACTGGAAGTGGAAACAAAACAAGAGTATTTTCCACTGTTGACAGAAATTTACATGCTACAGCAATCAGTGTTGGCCGCGTCGACAACCAATGGCCAAATGAAGGGGAAGCTGCAGCTTCATGGTTTCTGCACCGAAAGAATTACCAAATTACTGAAAACAACTGGAAAAGTTTGCTATTATTTAAGCTAACAAAAAAGGTATTTAATTATATTATAAACTATGTATGCATTTGAAAAAAAATTAAAATACCATAATGTTAAGCTTAATGATAAATGTAAAAGTTCAACAATAAACTAGTTTTTCTTTAGTGTATAGATTCCAGAGAAGAGCACCATTTCCACAGACAATGGATGATAGTAAATATGAGCCCCGTTGTGAGGGACTTTACAGACAGCCGCTAATCAGTGCAATCAACACAGCACTTGAGCTAATAAGCCGCTAAAGCGTAGGCCACCATGAAGAGTGACTGGGTTTTTGGATTCGTTTTCTGATTCAGTTTCAAATGGAACGCCCTGCCGATAGAATGAGGTTCTTGCTGAATTTTCTGGTTATGTGCCTGCTCCTAGTGCTAGTGGAATCCATGGAGCCAGAGGTGAATGCCACTCAGGAGGTGACGAAAGTTCTGCGCCGGCAAAAGCGTTATCTGGCATTTCCGGAAGGCTCTTCGGTTTCGGTGTGAGTGTGTTGTGGCCAGTTAAAAGTATAAGTAAAGTGGTCTTAATGGTAATTTGTATCCCACAGGGAGCCATTTGTTTGACAATCGGCATGATTGGTAACCCCGATGTGGACTATCTTAGCTGGGCCGTTAATTGGGGCGTGGCCTATGACCTGCCCAACCATCAATGGGTCATCCAGCATGCCCATGGATTGAATGCCACTTTGGCTAAGGATACCATCAAGCGGCGCTCTCGGAGAGCCTTTTACGATGAGGTGCAGTCCTTGTTTGATAAGTAAGTAATTAGCGGTTAAATCTTTAATTTAATTTAATTTGATATTCTTTGTTTCTTAACCTTCAGCATGGGTTTCAATGGTCGTGCTTGCATAGCTCGTGCTCTATGCGAAAGTGCTAGGTTTATGCTTCCTCCCGAGAAACGTGGCAATATGTTGCAGGAGCTGGTTCGTGCCGTGTTCAGTCTGCCCCCTAGTCCTGTGTCCATTGATGAACCCCAAGAGCATCATCAGTACGACCGTATATATCGGCGATCCAAGCGGAACTCACGCGAGTGCCATGAAATCTATCCTGGCTGTCAGTTCTCCCTATTGGCTCTGGCCTTGGGAAAGTATATGGCTGCCACCACTACCAAGTTCAGTTCGTTTAACTATATGTGAAAAGGTATATCATTTGATTAGAAAATAAAGAAAATAAAGCTTGGAATTAATTTATTTTTAATGAAGCTCTACGAAGGTGACAAAGGTAAAATTGAAGAAAATAAAAAATTAAAATTATCAAAAAGTTGACAAAAATTTTAATTTTTGAAAACTATAAATTAATTAAAATTATTCAATTTTTGACTTAGCTATGAGTTTTAAAAACTGTGATTTTTCGAAAAAAATGTCATATAAAAATATTGCTAAATATCGATTATAGCTTTAAACTTAAATCTGATTGATTTTTCCTAAAAACAAAATCCGTTTTAATATTCCCTAAAGAAATATATTTCCCAGCCAAGATTCCTCCTTTTGAATTGAAATAAAAGAAGAGAATTTTTTTTTAAAACAAATTATTTTCATTCTTCTTTATTTAATAACGCGTAACATTTATTTATATAGTAATTGTTTTCTTTTAATGTGTTGTCGTTTTTTTTAATTGTTTTCAATTTTAGTGTTACTTTTTCGCAATTGTTGCTATTATTTCAATTTGTTTTTGCGTTTAGCTTAAGTTCATTATTTAGTGTCTTACGTTTAGATTTTTAATGCATTTCGTTTTTGTTATATTGTTGTGTTAGTCAACATATTTTTGTTTTTGTTTGTTTTCTATTAATTTTGTTCGTTTTCTCCTATCTTCCTCGTTTGGGAATGATCATTCTGTTGGTTTTTTGATCAATTTGAAGTGTTCAATTGTTTTTTGCTTGCTGGCTGCGCGTGTGTGTAGTTTATTTTAGTTTCGGTTCATTATGCAATATGTTTACTGTTTTGTTGTTCAAAAGAGTTTCGAATATATATTTAATATATATATAGTATTTATTTATATATTTACGCATGTATTTGTTATGTATTCCTTGTTTATGTGAAATGTAAATGCAACGCTTTTCCGTTTAAATGTAAGTATTGTGTCACATTTATTTAAAATACTGATGCACAAACGTCCGGGTCACCGGGTCACCGGGTCACCGGGTCACCGGGTCACCGGGTCACCGGGTCTCCGGATCATTGGGTCATTGCCTTTTGATGATCTTGCATTGATTTTGCAGTGTCAAAGTTAGCTTAGCCTAAACTTACGGATCTCGTCATGTTTTAGTTTGCAAATATTTTACATAAATCTGTTATGGATTACCGTACCTTATGCCTACTTACGTTATGCGATTCTTTAACTAAATTTTCAATTTAGTTAAAATTGATTTCCGTGTAGAATTTATAGCGAGCGCTCGGGGCGCCTAACTAATTGTTGATTCCATACATGTATTTATATCTGGCTTTAAATTACTGCATATATCTTTAATATTAATATATACTGTTTTGGTTTCTTCTCCTTATTAGTTTTTTGTTTTGTTTTTTATTTTTGTTGAGCAAATTGTCGTTAGTTTGGCCCGAGGGCCGTTATCTTTAACTTTAATATTCGTGGTGTTGTTTTCCCCAGTGAGTTGCAAGATTCTAAGATTTGCCATTTTCTTTGATTTGTTTTAAGTTAAAAACCTTGATGCTAAAATTGATTTTGTTTTCCCTTTCGGTTTGCATACGTTTTGCTGATCGAACGAATTGAAAGAAAATGTACACAAAAAACTTTGCAACGGAAGCACTTAAACCTATGCGGCACCTAACAGTTAATACAAAAAATATACATACCGGTATATGTATAGTTAATACGCCTAAATACCATTTATTCGCAGATATATGGTTAGTATTACTTTGAAATTTTTCTTGTTTAATTTATACATTTGATTTCGGCTTCATTGCTTACACACACACACATGCAATGGCAGTCATACGAAACGCATACACACAAGCATTAACTATTCGAGTGTTGTATCCTGTGTCAGGGAGTAAGGTGTGTGTTGTGTCCTGTCTGGTGCTGCTTGCAATTTCTATGAAAGCGATGTTTTTTCTTTGTTTTTTTTGAAAACTCCGGGAATTGTCTTCCGTTTGGTAATGAGCAAGGTCCTTAAATTTATCGATTTGTGGGAAATATCTTACAAAAGTCGTGAGGTCTTTCAAATTCGATTTACTGCGATGAAGAGAGGCTAGCTGCTCGTGTTTGTGTGTCGAGTGTCGAAATTTGCTTAGCTGTCATTGAAACCGTTTTTAATGAATTAATTTTACGCATTTTGTATTGTGTTTATTTGTTTGTTTGTTGTAACTCCTGCCGAATTGGTTTAAACGTTTGGCATTTGTATGTACAAGCCGAGCATGAATGGTTTGGATTTTGCCTTGGGAAACTTCGGAAAGGTGTAAGTTCATCTATTGTCAGGTACTTGATTAGTTGCTGGGAACTGAAAGTGGGTCAGATTTCAAGGGAGTTAAGCAGGGGCAATGCCAGCATTCGAAAAGGATACTACTTTTTGCTGAAATAAATACATAATTTGCAATCATTTAAGCCAGCAAACCCCTGCCTGAATATTGCTTGGAGTTTTCTCTTTACTTTGCCTGCTAACCCCTAGAAGTAGGCAATGATCTCTGGCCAAATGAGCTTGCAGTGCAGTGTGTGTTGTGTCTGAGTGTGTGTGTGTGGGGGGGGGGAGTGTGGTGTGGTTCCTCATACATCCTGCACACCCACAATGGCTTCCAATTTGTTTTCGTTAAATACTGTTTTTCTTTAGCAATACGCAGACTTTGATTCTTGTTGTGTTTGCTACAAAAGACGACCTTTGATTGGAAGACATACGATTTTATGTTTTTTGAATCTCAGGGTCAAGCCGCATATTTATCAAATACCTCAATTTCCTGTTTACATTGTAGTTCTTTTTGCTTTGCTCGCTTTAATATATGTTATTTTTTCTTTAAATAACTATTTCGCATTTAACTAATTATGATATTTGGTAGTGCTTTAGTGGGGAGAAGGGGGCCCTAAAATTGTATTCGTTTGTCTAAAAATGAAACACATTTCGGCCCAAAATGAATGCTGCTCTGTTTCTCATCGAAAAGGACCGAAAGAAAACCTTCCAAATCTATCCAGAAACTTCATCTAAGGGCCATCAATCCATTCTGTGTGGTTGTCTTTTGTCAAAGACTTGCCTGTGCTTTATCTAAGTTTTTTTTTCTTGGTTTTTGGGTTTCTAACAAGTTCGTTGTCTGCTTTAACTGTAATCGTGAAATGAATTGTACTTAAAATAAATTCTTTTCGCTTGCTGACTGATCGATGATGGATCGGCGGTGGCCTCGCAATATATCCTTATATACATGTCCTGGAAATGAACCGATGTGTGCTCGTGGCGTATGCATTGCTATGTGTGTGTGTCATTTGGTTGTGTGGCTATATTTAGCTATATGTACAGGTTTATATCTTATCTAGTCCTTAGCTTCAATGTTAACTTCCAGCCCCGGTCTTCATGTTCGAATCTTATGTGACTAGTTTGAGTGGCATTATCCGCTCGTATCGGATCAGATCCATCCGATTTTACCCATTGTGGACACACTCTGAAAATTGTTTGCTCTTAACTAGTTCGTATATCGTTAATACTCGTACTTGATACATATATGTATATATGTGTATATTTTTTTATATGTACTATTTGCATTTCATTTCGTCTTATTTGTGGCAGTATTTAAATTACATGGTTTCTTCTCAATTACTTAAACTATTTTCGTTTTCTTTTCTTTTTTATTTGCTTTTTGTTTTGTTTTTTATATCAAGCATACTAAACATTTAGCTAGAAACAAAATGGGGAAAACCTTTAACAGAATGGGCTTAAAAAGGCAAATTGAAAATGTTTGACATTATTAGCATAATATACAGTAATGCACGATTATCGTGGCTAAATCGCGCGCTAAATTTAATTAAATTTATTTGTTAATATTTATGAATCAATGTGAAAATGAACTGTACAACTAGGGGGTCCGGCCGATTGATGGCAGACCGACTGATTGAGTGATTGAATGAACGATTGTTTGTCTGCTTGCTGGTCCGTGCCGTGCGTGTGTCTGTGTGTGGGCACACACCACACACGCTCTCACACCCACACAGAGGCAAACCTATTTGTTTATAACCTAAAAACACAACCAATGAGAGCATATACACTTCTATGTATTTGACGTTAATTCGATTTTGTTTTTTTCTCAAGTGTCTTTATTCTTTGTGTTTTTTATTCGCATTATTTGTTAGAACGAGCTTTCATTTATTTCTCTATTTATTTTTAGTTTTTGCTTTAGCGTGTCGATTTCCCAAGTGAAAAAATTTACAAAATGGTTTTTTGTTGAAATGAACTCATCGTCGCCTCTCGTTTAATTTTTTTGGTTTTTTGATTTTCCATAGTGACATTAAGCTTAAATACGCATTAATGTTTTCACGCATTTTTTTACTCGTTTAGTTTGTTTTATTCACAGAAAAGTTACGCCATTTACTTGTCATTAGTTCTTTGTTTTCATTTCGCTTTGCTGTTTTTTAAATATTCTTTAATAGTTGATTGTCTAAAACTATAACAAAACACTTGTTGTTAGGCTGGAAGTCTGTACACAATATTCGTAAACGAAAGAGCATATAATACAAATTTGATTTAACAATTGTTATGCACTAAACCAAATATTAATTATACGCCCATTTAAATTATCTGAGACGATTTTTTATTAAATAAAATATATTTAAAGCTTATGCAAATTTAAATATACAATATATAAATATGTACAGGTGGCACCAAAAAGGCGTAATATCGACTCGCTTCTATTTGAGTGTCAAGATTTCTACAAACCTTAAGGGAACCAAGAACTTAGGCTGACATTATCGTTATTTCACAAAGTATATTTCATATATCCGTTCTCGGTTTGAATGTGCGATCTAAACTGTTTTAATTGCGGATTTTTCATTTTGCTGGCATCAATTTTTTGTGAACCTATTTTTTATTTTTATTTTCTTAACGCTGCCTCGTATTATTGGCTATTCGGTTTTTGCATTTTAAAAGGTGTCATGTGTGTTGTGTATTTATTTATACTTCCTTTCAATGTGTATGTGTTTGTATATTGCATTTTATTTTCAGACTTTTTATTATATGCTTTTCGAAACGGAAGTCGAGAATGTTATCAAATAGTTTTCGCTCTTTTTTCCCCATTTTGGTTTGGGTAAATTTTATGTGTGTGTAATTTTTAAAATTTTATAAGCTCAGTTTAATACTTTCAATATTTGATGCACAATTATAATTGGTATCTGCCTGTGGTGTGTGTGTGTGTGTCTGGGTATGGTGTGTGTGTTTATTTATTTTATTAAATTTTCCACTTTGCCATTTAGTGCGACAAGTGTTTCGTTTTACATTTAGTTCTCGCGTTTTATTTAATTACGTGATTTATGATATTCCGTTTGTTTATTTTATAACGATTATTTTAATTTTAGTTTAATAGCTAAATATTTAAAAAATGTTAACTGTTGATTTTTATGCACTTTACATTTTAATACACCCAAAATGGCATTCGCTATTTAGATTTTCCTGTTAAATTTTCCACTTTTTTTTGTTTATCGCTAATCGTGTGTCTGTGTGAAGTGTTTGTTTTGTGTGTTGTAGGAACAGTTTAAATAAAAGAGTAATGACAAAAGTTTTAAAGGCAAACCAGCTTTGGTACTCAGTCAATTGTGGCTTTAAGGCGGACAATAAATTCTCAGAGACCGAGTCCTTCGGCCAGAACAAATAGAAAATATAATATACTGGCATGCCTTGAACACTACCACTGCACTTTCTCCTCGGGCTCAGTGGGCCACAATCGTTGGCTTGGAAAACTATTTTAATTAATTCACATTCACAAATGTTGAATATTTTCGATTAGGAATTTTAATTAAACTTGTGCCGGGCTAGCACGCACAATGCCTGTAGCAGCAAAAGCAGCTGAATTGGCAACATTCAGGCAGCCGGCAACAATGAGCAACACGCAGGCGGCTTGACAACCCTGGCAGGGTGCTCAGGGTTGCCGTTGTCGCGGCATTCTTTGCTAATAGTTTTTGCGAAGATTTAACTTATGCTTGGCGAGTTTGGTGTACATGGGGGAAAAAAATAGGGAAACAAATTGTTTACCATCTTGAAATCTCTTGTTTCTACCAAAAATAAAATGAAAAGTTTGCTTTTAGACCAAAATCAAGTGAAAATCTAAAAGGGAATTAAACAAACTTGGTTTTAATATTTGATTATAAAGATTAAAAAATTCAAAATATATCAAAACAAATTTCAATAGCCTGAAATACAGAATTTTATCAATTTTTTTAACTTAAAAAATAGTTAGGGAAAAAGAGAAATCTATATAAAAGTTTTTAATATATTTTTCTGGATTTCAAAAAGTGTTTTTCTCAATACTAAGAGTGTGCATACTTGTTTGCTTTTCGCTTTTTGTTTTTTTTATTAACTATTCACACATACTCTGGTTCACATGCTTATACACACTCTCACACACACCCGTTGAATGGCAAATTGCATTCCACACTTAATTTGTTGCATGCCTTGTGGCACTGCCACGCCCCTTTTTGGCACTACCGCCTCACACACACACACACACACACGCACACCCCATTTTGCACACTCTTCGGGAAGGCAAAAAAACCGGCGGTTGCTTTCACGTTTGCTTAATGTTTACTGTTCTTGTTGCTCTAGTGGCGAAAAACTTTTCCAAAATCAATTAAAAATGCAAAAAGCAAAAACGAGTGGGTGGCAGTGGCATAGGGGGTCTAGTGGGCGTGGCAGGCCAACCTTGTGGCAAGTTTCGTTAGCTTTGGCATTTAAATTGAAGGTGTTTTGCCGAGCGAGGCTATTGGAAATGGCCAGAAATACAGCAACCAGAAACGGAGAACGGAGAGCCTAGAACTCAGAGCGGCACTCGCGTGGCCCGTTGAAAGTAATTAAAAAGTTTTATTTTAAATTGAACTTGCCAAAGGTTTCTGAACGTTCCGCATGCTCCGATGAATGCATAATGAGTGCACAAAAGTATGCTACGAAACAGTGAGTTGAGGTTGCAGAGAAATGGAGAAAGCTGGATAAAGAAAGGGGGAGAAAGTTGAGGAGCAAAGTCACTGCTAAATAAACAGTGAAAGGTAGTGACTGAGGAAAACAATCAAAATCCCATGAAGGCGTACCCAGCTGGGTGAGAATGAAATACGTATTATACGCAATAATTTAATTGATTAAAATCGCTTCGAATTGTGCAAATAGTGTTCGCAAAAATCCAATTGGCTTTAGTTATTGTTTCCTGTTTGTGTTTATGTGTTTTTAATTGAAATTGTTTTGTGTGTCGGCTTTTGTTTTTATGTGATTTTGGCTAGCTGCAGTCCTATAAATACGTACTCTATATATTATATGTATGCTTGCTCGATATAATATAGTTATGTGTGTGAGTGTTGTGTTTGTGTGTTGATGTTAGTAAAAATATGTGGCCTTAAAAATGTGACGACGACTCGCTATCAACATTTAACTAAATTTATTTCAGAATTTCGCGCTTCCTGCGAGCCGAGTTGCCTTGCAGCAAGCTATCGGACCTCGCTTTGTTAATATTAAATTTAATTCAATACTAGATTGGCTTATCTACGATTAGTTACGACTTACTGGCTAATTTAATGTACTTTTACCGTATTTATTTTACTTATTTATGCTAAAAATAGTTTCGGAATTGTATGCAATTTAATTCTTGCCCAGTTTTTCTGTGTTCTTATTATTTTGTTTTTTGTTTGCCCTGCTAAAAATATTGTGAAAAATATGCACAAATAAATAAACAATTAAAATTGATTCTCATTTCCATATGTATATATTTTAGCATTCACACTCGCATCCATACCAGCAGCCATACATACGCATTGAACACATACAGTCAGATTTAAATTTAAAATGCAATTTTAAAACATTTTCATTTGTTTTTGTTTCGGTTTTCTTGTTTTTTTTTTTTGTTCTTTTCTTCGTGTGTATTTGTGTTGTGTGGAACTTTAAAACTAAAAGATGTAACAAGGAACTTTTTGGCGCTCAAAAATACTATATAACTTACAAAACTCCATTCGCTTTTTACAACACTGGCCCCGGGATACGTGCCCGGTACCAATCGAACTTCGATCCATACAATCATACATCAAGTACATCAAAAAACTTACATACTAAGCCGATCTTCTGGCTTACGTCGCTTTCCAGCACTGTCACGGTTAATCAACACTACAACACCCTCGAATTACATTTACATACATATTTTGATCAACTGCTCCAAAAACTTGCCCTCCTTTTCTACCGATTTCGATTGTATCATAATTTCAATTCATTTCGCAATGTTCGCTTCACTCGCCTCGCGGTTTCTATGATGGGCTCCATGAGGTTTCCGTTTCATTGGCCTTTCCAACACTGTCCACCAGGAGCTTAACAACTTTGCTAAGGACACTGCCACTGTCACTGCTGCTGTTGCTGATGTTGGTGTTGTACAACGCCGAGGAAATGCTCATGGTGTGGCTCATCGTATATTATCCACGGTCATCATCGCGAGCGGCGAACAGGGTCCGCAACGAGCTGATGATTAAATTCCACCAGCCCGCTGCGAACCCAAGTGGTCGCTATAAGGTGTTTTCGCTGCCCATCTTGAGCAGCTCGAATTTCTTCTTGGCAATCTTCGAGTAGAGTATATCGATCGGTTGCGATTGGTCATACAGGCTGGGCGCCTGCAGGATAATCAGTGCAGTGCCGACCACGCAAGCAATTGCAAAGATCCACAGAAACATACGATCCAAGACCATGGCAACGTATTTCCAGTCCTCTTCCACCTGCAAGAAAAATAAACAATTCAGATAAATAAGGACACTACAGAAATATGAAGTATAAGATCTTTAAGATATAAATGGATTTGTATAATTGATTTTCTTTTTCCGTTTCTGTCTTTAAATTCCCTTTTGCAACTATGTATCTTCATTAATCATTTTGCCAATCGAAAACTAATAAAATGGCTTTGGCAGATCTAATTCAGATTTGCGGTTAACTTCGATTGAAATGTTCCAAAGCAAACACGGATTTCAGTTTAGTTCTTACCCATCCACACACTCAACCCACACACAGACTCACACATTCTGAGCCCAAAGTACACAGAATCGTTCGTACACATGGCAAATTCGCCGTCAAATGGCAAACTGCTGCACTGCTGCAACCGCATGTTGCAAACTCCTCCTATTTGCGCACAAACAACTCAATCACTCAGCTCCAACGGTGGCGACAGCCCGATTGCCCTTCACTTTGCCATTTCAAACCCTCCAGACCCACTAGACCCACCAGTTCCAGCAGCAGCACCACCAGAAACTGAAAAATATCGCCTTCCATCGACACCGTGATTCAACCGAATATGGTTGGGGTACACTCTTTTTTTTCTTTTTCGGCGGATGTTGGATTTTTGTCGGACTGCAGCTAATGCGGGTTATCAGGAGCAGACATAAACACAGGGCCAGACATGCTGGCCTGGTCTGGATTGGTTTGGTTGGGTTTGGTTGGGTTTGGTTTGGTTTGGTTAGGTCTGCTCCAGTCTGGTCTGGTCTGGCTTGCCTGTTCCATTTGCCAACGATTGGAGTTTGGCAATAGGGGAAAACAATACGGGTGTGGCAGTGTGGCCACGGATTATTACATTTTGCTTTCTGTATTGTGGGAAATTAATTACAGCGTGGCAAGGCAACAATTCCAATTTCAATTCGCGGTTAAAACTCAAAAAGGAGAACGGATTTGGTTAGTTTTTACAAACCAAATGAAAGGAAGTATTTAATTCGTTTACTTTCCAGGTAAGTCGTCAGTTTATTTGGTTAAGGACTAACTTTAAAAATAATAATCAAATGAAGATAGTTGCTGTGAAAAATATTAAGTACTTTAATCAATACTCACGCTCTCAAACTTATCCTTATTCTTCACATGCTGCGCTATAAAGCGTGATCCCTCGATGGTCTTCTCCATCTCACGGGCATAGGGTTTCTCGAACGTGGGACTGAGATCGGCGGCCGCGGCCGCAGCGGCAGCTGCAGCAGCTGGACAGCAGCCGGGACTGATGTCCCCGTTGAGGCCCGAGGGGCTAAACAGGTCGTCATCGGCGCCCGGAAGTGGCAGTGAGGAGGGCAGAGGCGGTTCACCAAAGCAATGGGCGCTAATGCCACCCGCCGCGGCCAGGTCGAAGCGGTGTGAGGCGGGGAGTGCTGCAAATAAGTGAACAAATCGGAAGAGATTAGTGATTTGTAAAATAGTAACTTTAAAACTGTCTGTCTTCTGCCTTATAATAGTATTTGACCCCAGTTTAAATTATTAAAGCACAAATTTACCAAATTACAGCTAATATTACATAAAAAAACTCTTTCCGAAGGTCACATCTTATTTTCTTGCCGTGGATCGGCATTAACAGCATTAGGCAAATAAAGTTGTAAATGCAATTTGTAACTTTTCTGCTTTGTCTTTGGCGCAATTCTCTTAGGCACAATGTCGTCCCCGAAGGAAGTGGATGTGGACAAAGGACCCTCAACCTCGAGCGCAGGCCAACAGAAGCAGAAGGAAACTCAATAAATAGTTTTCCGCATTCTGTTTTCCATTTTACATTTTCCATTTATTTCGCATGGCCATTTCAAAGTTTCAGCTTATTTCTTTTGTCGTTTCTCCTTTTTGTTTTCGCGCGCTTACTTTTCTTTCCGAGAAGGGGGAAATTATTAAATTTTTTAACCGCAGGATTAAGATGAAGTTCGTGTTTCCCTTGAACTTGGTTCTTTGGCTATAATTCGAAGTCAATTTCTTAATGACTTCGACTGCGGTGTATTACTTCTTTTTCCTGGTCTCAAGGGTAAACATGTCGTATACGTAATATTGCGTATACGTCAGGTAGTGCCGAGATTTCGTAGTGTTATTTAAGAGTTTCAGTCTGTTTCTTCTGCTGTTTTTTATTTTGTTTTCGGGCGCTTAGTTTTCTGTCTTTGAACGGAAAAATTAATAAAAGTCTTTAACAGCGTTATAAAGATAAAGTCTGTGTTTCGCGTGAACTCAGTCCTTTTACATATATGTATATAATACAATTAGAAGTCAATTTCTTGATAACTTTTCTTTTCTTTTCTTTTCTTTTTATTGCAGCTTTTGATCGGAGCTGTGTTTTCTTGTTGCAATTCCAGGTCTCAAGGGTGACCATCTCGTATACGTAATATTGCGTATACGCCAGGTAGCACCACGATACATTACAATTTTAGCTTGGAGAAAGTTTAACAAAAAACAAGGACAAAGTTAGACTTTAATGCCTCATCTAAATGCTGCCAGTCAATAAGAAAACTATACGAAACTCATTTCCTTTATAAGACGCGACCGAAAGTTTCCATTTGGCCGGCGTCCTTGCAGTTGCACTTGTTAATTGTCATAAATTATTTCGCCCGCCCCCGCTCTCAGCGTCATTATAAAGTGGTGTGTCTGAATGCATATAATTTCAATGTTGTTGTGAATATTTAAAAGGGAATATAAACTGGCAAGTTGCAACTTTCACGTTGCCCGCTGCATGCTCCGTTGGTAATGTGCCCACTAAAGCCAGTTGAAAACATTCATAAATTTCCCAACTGCAGCTCGGAACAAGAAGCCGCACAAGCAGCCCAAGAAGTAAAGTTCTACACAGAAAGTTTGCCTCAAGCAGAGCGGGAAAATAATGGAAAACTTTTCCCTGTTTTCCATAGGATTTTCTCTAACAGCCTCCATCGGGAGGACTACCTTTGTTAGGACTAGTGGAGCTTAGATTCTGGTAACGACGTACCTGGAATGCCATAGTCGCCGCTGAAGCGCTTCGAATCGTAGTTGACAAACTTGTCCACATCCGGCGGCAGATGATAGACATCGGTGAGCACCTCGGGTGGCTGATCCTCCTCGGGCTCCTCCTTCTTGGGCCGCTCGATGCAGAGCAGCTTGGGCAGGATCTGGATGAAGAGGCGTTGCACCCACGGTGCCATGCGATGCGTGACAGGTGATCTGCAAACCGAATGAGGAAAATTAGATAATCTTACTGAGATTACGATAGATAGAGTTCACCCACCTGAAGTTCACATTGAGCACGGCAATGGTGACCACGACGGAGAGTGTGACCAGCATCATGGTGAAGAGCAGATACTTTCCCAGGAGCGGAACTGTCAATGAGGTTGGCGGAATAATCTCCGCCAGCAGCAGGAAGAACACAGTGAGCGAGAGCAGGATGCTGATACAGAGTGAGATCTTTTCGCCGGAATCACTGGGCAGATAGAAGACCAGCACCGAGAGGAACGAGATCCCCACACAGGGAATAATCAGGTTGACCGTATAGAAGAGCGTCTTCCGGCGCAGCGTCAGGTTAAACACGATATCCAGGTAAGGTTCCTCGCAGCAGCTGTAGAACTTCTCATTGCGCACAGCAGGAACTCTCATAATATCCCACTCGACGGAGATGTAATAGTCCTGCAGGTCTATGCCCACCTCGATGTTATCCGAGTCGGCAGTTTGCTTCAAGTGCCTCAAGTCAACCTGGTAAAATTTTTAAAATTTTATATTAATTTAATATATATAAATAATTACAGAAAGTATTAAAATTTATTATGGACATTTTGTTTATTATTTTGAAATGACAAATCGGGATAGATCGACTCAATAAGTAATTAAATCAAACAAAAGACAACTGCGCCAATAAGAATTAAATCTTAAAGTTAAATTGATATTATTATAAATCAATTCTAATTTTGTTTAACATTTATTTTAAGCCTACCTATATTTTATATTTAAAAAATATAAATTGTTACAAGTACACGTGGCCTATATATTTGTTTATACCCTCGATGGGTATTAAAATTTTAGTCAGTCATTTTCGAACATATAGACTATATATATTCTTGATCAGCATCAGCCGAGTCGATAGAGCCATGTCTGTTTGTCAGTCGTTAAATGCATGTGCCGCTCTCTCTGCGAATCTCCAGAGGCACCTCTCTCTAGACTCTCTAGAGGTAACTCTTTCCCTCTTTCCCTCTTTGCCTCTTGCGCTCTCGCTCTCATTTTCTCTGATCTTCTCTTTCCTCGGGGAGTATAAATAGAGGCACTGCCGGCCCGCCGCCCTCAGTCTCTTCGCGGCCTTCGAGGTGTTTACATCGATAGTGATAGTGGTAATGATAGTGATATCGCCTGACCAATGCCTAACATATGGATAACCAGGAAGAAGCTAACTTGGATGATACCATGAGAAGCCTAATTGGAGTCATCAAGAATATATCTTTGGACTGGGAGGAATTAAGCTATGACTAAGAAGTATCTTCTACTGCGGTAAGTCTTAAGCATGACAATTATATTATATATGTTATGTAGATGCTTTAATTATATTTCAATTAATTCTCGTAATGCCATGGACCTTGTTACTTAGTTTGAATTTAAAGTGATTCAGCAATTTGTATTAGGGATATTTACAAATGTATACTCAAAGTTAACAGCCTAACTCAATTATAAATTATTCACTAATATTGATTTTGTACCCTTGCAGGGTATTATAATTTCAGTCTGAATCTTAAAACGTAGTGAAGCAGTCATTTCCGGCCCTATAAATCATACATATTCTTGATCAGAATTAAAAGTTGAATCGATCTAGCCATATTCGGTAGAAAAATAAATTTTTTAATTTTTTTCTTAATTTTATTGCTAAAATTTGTAAATTGTTAAAATGTCGAAATTTGACAAAAATTTAAAATTTATAAATTTAAAAACAAAGTATGCAGATTTGTTAACCTTGTAAAAACTAGCAAAGGAAAACTTTCCGAATTGAAATTAATGCATTTTTAGCTTAGTTATGATATTAGAAAAATTTGGATTTCACCAAAAAATTAGCATATAAAAATATTAACTTATTATAACTAGAATACCCATATTTTAGGTTTTCTTCTGAATATATACGAAGGCCAAAAAGCCATTGATTGGCAAGAGACATATATATTACTTCTTGCAATCGAAATCAAATAGCTTTCAAAAGTGAAACTAATACACGTTTCGCTTAGTTATGATCGATTTCACATTCGAACTCATGATCCAAGATATACAATGAATACGATACATACTTCCTCTTTCTTTGTTTTCTTTTATAAAATTTGTATCTAGGGATTATCCAGAGATCAAAGAGTGGGATAATCAATAGGAGAAACTGGCACCTGCTGCCTTTGGCTTTAAACTTGCTGATTTATGCCCAGCAACTTTGGCAACTGCTGCACCTGTTCGCCCCGACACGAACCCGGGCCAATCATACATCTATTTATGTTGATTTGTTGGCTCATTTCCCCAGGCTCCCTCGACACCATTTGCCCCAAGTGTCGCTCACGGCTTTTCCGTGCCCCTTGCCAGATGCCAGCTGGGCAAATCAAAGGTGATGGGAAAACGTACTTTCTGACAAATTTTTGACAATCGTCAATTGCACAGTGAATTGCCCAGAGGGTGAGAGACAGAGGAAGGCAGGTAGGTAGGGAGTCTCGGTGAATGGTTCCTATTCCTGTTCCGGATCCTAACTCAGCGTCTGATGGCAGGAATCGAGATAAGTTTGGCTCACGTGCCGGCCGAAACGCAAATGACATTGGCGCTTGTAACCTTTATTTCATTTCCATTTGTCTTGATTTGCCATTTGTTGTCTGTTGCTCATTTATCAGTTGGTGGTTCTGTTAGTGGGGTGTCTTTGAAAGCGATTTCAATTATTAATAATAAAGTTTATTCTGTATTTTCTTAATAACAGCACATTATTCCCGATACGTCCAAGAAGCTAAGGTATATTTTTCATTACAAAAAACTTTAATAACCAAAGTACTTTCATCAGTCTAAGCAACGAAACTTGTGCTGTCAAGCAATCATATTTAGGCAAACTATTCTCGACTCCTTATTTGTTACTCCAGGAAAGTTTTGTAAGGGAAACTTGGAAATAGTTCAAGGATTTCCCAACCAACCAACCATTCATTCACTTGTCTATTCATTCCTAGGCCCGACCTTTGGATTCAGCATTCTTTCTTTTGTCGTGTGTACTTGGCAAACTGAATAAAGAAAGTACGAAAAAAACTATGGAATACATAAACCTCTCAGTCTGCCGGGACAGCTGTCATTAATACCTCGTCCTGCATTTGCGCTGACACTGTAAAATGCCCAGAAGCCGATTCACAATTCCATATCCCACACGGGTTGCGAAAAAGTCGAAAGTCAATGAAGCATGCTCGAAATTTGTGATGCGTAAAAGGGAAGCAAACGAAAAATTTATATGTAGAATAATGTGCTGTCATTTTTCGATTTTGCCCCAGCTTCCACTTCCTTTCTCTTATATTTTGTTGCTGCTCATAATGAACACAATAACAATGGGAAGGAAGAGCCTGGGCGGCCTTCAAGCGGCGCAACAGTTGTGCCGCCCCCAAAAAATATTTTGGAAACACCCTCGAAATTAGGTTATTGGGTATTTAATTTTGTAACTTAAATGGTTTACAATTTCTTTTAATAATATCCATGAAGTTATATAACTTATTTATTGAATAAATAGAGTAAAGTATTTACAGATGTTTATTAATTTCTTTATCATTGAAAATTGAATAACATTCTAAATTTCCACTTTTACTATATAATAAATTCATAAAGTTTTCAGAACAAATTCAAATCACTAACATAATGCGTTGTGTTTCTTTAATTTAAGAGGTATTCTCTACTCCGAGCTCCTCTAAAATTTTATAAATTTCACTTTTCTTTGTTTTTTGTCGTTAACAGTCCCTACACAAAAGTTTTTGAAAAGGCATGGGCGTGGCCTGGTTCATTAAACGCAGCTGCCAGCTGTTATCTCGCACACCCACACACACACGATGCGCATGGAAAATGGAAAATGGAGGGGACTCCAGTTGATTTATCACATGACAGCAAGTGAAACGTGTCAAGTGTACAAAAAACAAAGTAAACATTAACTGCAGAAACTCGAATGAAAAAAAAAAAAACGCGCACATATATTTAACCATGAAAATCCATTCAAGTAAATCATAAAAAGCGTACGTTCTTTTTCATTTTTTAACATGTTTAAATAGTCGTTTAACGGGGAGTTAACTCCCGCAACCCCACATATATGTTATTTCTTAAAATTAATGTTTTTATAATCGAGTCAGAGCAACGTTTGATTAACACTCAGTCAGACAGCATCAAAGCCAGCCTCAGCCTCTGTCTCAGCAATATTCTTCTTTCAGATTTGGTTCAGCTTCGATTTTGATTGATGGCCCAGGACATAATCTGTCCGTGGCCAGAGTTGCCAGCTGTTGCGGCGAGCCTTCAGGATTTGGGATTAGGCTAGGGATTGGCATAGGGATTGGGTTTGGGTGGGTTTGTGATGGAAACACTTACCATGTAACCATCGTAGGTCCAGGAGCCGAACTTCATGAAACATGTCTGCTCATCGAACGGAAAGTATTCGACATCAATTTCGCAAAAGGATTTGTAAATGGCGGGTGGTTTCCACACCACTTTGCCCGTGTGATGAAGAATGGCTTTTGTCATTATTGTCACTTCATAGTTGCCATCGGCGCTGCAATGAAAGAAGATGGAATAACATAAATTATGGATCTTTTATACAAAATTTCATAATTTAGAAATAAATTGAAAGAATAAATAGCATTTATGGTTCAATTTCTCATTGATATGTTGGGGTTTAGTACAAGATAAAATATATTAAAGAGAATCTTCTTGTTATATATAATATGTAAGATATTCTCTTTGTGTTTTTTCCATTATTATCTTTAATTTAAATCGTCCAGACTCTGGCTAATTGCACTAGCTTCAGACATTTACTTTTATTGAGCTTTCAACTGGCTTTTAATGCTTCGCTTTTACTGAGTTCTTTTGGTAGCCTCCTCTCCGCTCTACAAAATGTTGTCTCCGGTCAGGATCTACTAAAAATGCTGAGCTAATTAAAAATACATTTTAGGTTCTAATTACAAATTCATTTTAGACTACAAAAATGGCTAACTTTTTTTTTTTTTGGTTTTTGTATTTTTTTATTCTGCAGAATGCTGATGCGCTGATTCGGATTTGGATTCAGGTCCTGTTCCCCTGGGAAGGGCACACGCCTCCATATCTCGCATATAGCATCGGCGGCTGTGGGCTTTTGCGGGACGATGGTCCATTAGCAGCAAGGTCCTTTTTCGGCAAAAACTCCTGGCCATCGCTGCTGGCCCAGAGACATACACTAAATCTAAATCCGAAAGCAAAGCATTTTAAAATGTTATTACAACAACACGGCAGTGGCAGCAACAACCACAGGCGGCAGCCATTAATGGCTAAAAACCATTTAAAATGGCTGTCGGCAATGCACACACACACACACACAGCACAGAGTAGTGACTGTTCATGGGGGATGGAGAGGGGGTGGGGAGCGAGATGGAGATAAAGAGCAGAGGAGTCTGGGGCAACAGAGAAAGAAAATCAACAAAGAGAACAAAAGTTTATAGGCGAAGCCGAAAAAAAAGGCAAAACCACGCCTGGGGGTCACCGCAATTGCAGCCATTATCTTAACGGTGATTCACACACAGAACGACACACACACAGCAGGAGAGGGGGAGCAAGAAGAGGGAGGGCCGGACAAGGCGGCGTATGAGTGTCATCGCTGTTCGTCCTGGCAGTTATCCTGGCCAAGCCGACGGCGCCTGCCGCGTCTATCAGCGCGTTAATCTCAGCGGCGCAGAGCGAGCACAGCGCCATCTTTGTATCTCTGGGCCCAGTCAAAGTTTTCAGGCCAGAAATCGAAGTACTTCACAGTGGGCATGAAAATGTTGGTTATTATATAAAATTTTATATAAAACTCAAGAAATATTTTGTATAGCATATAATATATAGACACAGAAATCATTGCTTTCATATTTTGTGGCACAATTAGTTAAATGAAAAAGGAAACTAACTTACAGAAGTGTCATTTACATGCGGAAATCGATTATATCTTAGCCTAAAATATTCGCATTCTTTTAATCGATATTTACCGGTGTTTTTATATGACATTTTTCTTAAATATCTAAGTTAAAAACTCATAACTAAGTCATTCATTCATTCATTTTAATTCAAATAACTCTCACATTTTAGTTTTTAATAGATAAATAAATCTGCGAACTCAATTTAAAAATTACAAAAATCAAATTTTTTGTCCTTCATATCTTTTAAAGCTTCTGACTAAAATTATAATGCCCTGAAAGGGTATAAATATTTAGCCTAATAATAATAATAATTAATACTTTAATATATTCGGTACTTAAATAAATCAGAATATTTTAATTAAAGTCTTTTAAAAAAGTACAATTACTGATTTAATCCTTAAAGTAAGCGGGAGTTGAAATCTATAAAGTAACTTCTGAGAGACTGATCAAATTGTATCAAGCTTATTAGTATAAACATAGTTTTTCACTTTAAATATTGATTTAATCAATAGTTTATTTTCACCCTGAACTGATTGACTTAATGTTTGAATCTACACAGATTTGCTTTCAAGCTAAATATCTTAAATTATTGATAAAACTTGGCTCCACTGTACCATAACCGTAGCGAGGGAGTTGGCTGGCAACCCGCTGCCGGCCAAGAAAAACTTTTTGCTGACTTTGTTGCCGCTGCTCTCCCGATTCCCAATGCCGGTCCCCAGTTCGAGTCCCAGACTCAGTCACAGTACCAGTACAAAGTCCTTTGCGCCTTTTTTCCCCTCGTCCTGCTCGTATTTCTCTACGCCATTTTTATTTTTATAAATCTAATGAAAGATAATGAAATTTTATTTCGTTTCTTTTGATTTCAACGCAGTTGTCGTCAGCTTTCATGCTAAAAACTAAAAGCCAACAGCAGTTGAAAAAGAATCATAGATACGAGCGGAAGGCTGTGGCAATGCGAGGGGCGAGGCCATCTAGCAACATACAATAATAGAATTAAAGTGGCTGTGGCTCCTGTTCCTGATTCTGATTCCATTGCTCCGACTTCTGCTCCAGCTCCTAGCGCTGCCTGTGGCTGAGGGTGTGGTCCTTGGTCGAGGCCCGGGCCTCGCAAAAGTTCAGCTGATAATAAAGTTGTCAACAACATTCATTTAATTAAAGAAAACAAAGCAACGCAGAGCACTTTGGGAATAGTATAGCCGAGTGCCGAGTGTCGAGTGCATGGTGAGGGAGTGCCAAATGTAGGGTTTTGGGGGTCTAATGCCTAGGCAGAGATTTATGGCATTCGGCTAATATGGCATCTCAAAATGGTAATGCGTTTTTCCCACCCACAACAGGGGAGTGTGGTGAGTGTGCTTCTATCTGGTTTAGCGGGGATTATGTTTCCCGCCAAATAGGCCATATGGGTGCGTCCTTAAATCTGTTTAGGCTTTGATGGCCAGGCATTTCAGGTCTGTCTAGATTGGCTTAAAAGCAGACAAACCATGAGAACATGCTTGATTTTATATTTAATACAGTATAATTAAGACTCAGCACTGAACTTCATTTGCTTTCAATTTTGTATTGAAGCATTCATATGACAGACAAGCTTATAAATTCAGGAAAAGGGTTTTTATGTTTAAATAATAAATAGTGATGATTTTTATAATCTCTCAGTATTTGGGGGTCTATTTTAAATATGTATGGAAATATATTATATACATATTCACTCTTAAAATGCCTAATAATTTCATAGGGTTCTCCAAATCATTATTCAATTCTTTTCATTTTTAGACCCTTAAGGCATTCATAAGATTTGCTAATAGTTACACAACAATAGCAAGCAATTAAGATGACAAAATTTTCATCTCCATGGAGACAAACAGTAATTATTCGGCTTAAAGCCCAAATGAACTCATATGCGAAATATATACATATGTACACATGTCTGCGTTTGTGTGCCATCTAACCAGAATAATAACCAATCGCATAAACCACTAAGTGCGGCCAGAATAAGCTCGGCGGTTATGGGCCCAAAACCGAAAGCTGGTAGACCAAAGCCAGTTGTATGCCAGCCGTGGTCTTGAGTCACTCGAGTGCGATTTTAATTTCTTGGATCAACATGAAAATTAATTGCTGGAATTAAGCGGCTTTCACAAATACAAACAATGGGCCCATAGAGTGTGTCGGTAGTCGTGAGTTTCGTCAGTGTGTATTGGTGGTTGGAGGACAAAAGCTCACTAAATTATAGAGGCTTCGGAGTGACTGTGTCACGTATGCCCTTTTGATGAGCTCATATGCCAGAAGATAATTATGCCAGGGCCCCGGAGACCACTTTCGACGCGTTCGGGTTGAGTGCACAACAAATGCAGAAGGTAATTGCAATTAAAAATTAACAAAAATGTTGCCAAAAATGTTGCAATTTGCTGGTGGCTTGTGGCTCTTGGCTGTTGCATGGCCATAGAACAAAACACACAAAAAACATGCCGAGCCGCGTTGCAATAAATAACAACTTTTGACGCTTGTTTCAAATTCTTTTGTGGCCCGGCATTTTGGCCCTGAATGTGTGTGCTGTTGTTGTGCGGTTTAAGTGCCTCACGCACGCAGGTATTCGTGGTGGTGGTGTATGCTGGCAGAAAATTTTGGGCCATTTACAAAGGGCCCAGAGCCGTAAACAGAGGCAGAACCACAGCCAGAGCCCCGGCCAACTATTTATTTTGCTGCCATTGCGCGTTTAGCAGACAATTAAACATTTTTCATTGCATACAAATGGGCGCGGCTGCGTCGGGGATTCCCCTCGTTTCGCAGCACAAAAGTTGCATCGTAAAATAGATTGCCATCGTCCTTGTTGTGAATGCGAATGTGTGTGTGTATGCGAATGCGACAATAAACGCGCTTTTCCTCCGCTTGCACATGTATTTGCATTTAAAATTACAACAAGCGAGGCGGAGGGGGGAGGGAGTGCTTTCCCCGGGAGCCGCTCTTTTTTTGCGCCCTGCAATTTTCGGTGCTTAATTTCTGCATACATTTTCCTGCCTGCTTGTTTGCGCCAAGGATCGAAGGCTTTTCCTCGACGAGCGCAAACAAATCAAACTAAGAGCCCACCCCGGCAGGCAGCAGTAGCGAGGATATTGATATTGACGTTGGACTTACGTTTATTATCCTTGTGGCAACATTAAAAGCCTACAAGATAAATATTCGCCTAGCGTTCATTTAATTTTTATGAATTTGACGCAGATTTCTGCCGAGATTCAAGCACTGGAGATGCCATAAAAAAGGCCCGTAAGCCATCACCTCAACTTGCCACTAAATTAAATGGACTTTCGACCGGGGCCATTTAGCCGTTTGAATTGGCAGGCAGGAAAGGAAAACACAAAACACAATTAAGTATCCGCCATGGACACAAAGGACACTTCAAGTTCAATTTTATGCGGCAACAAAGCGAGCCATGGCTTCATTATGGCGCTACAAATAATTTGCAGTTTAAAAAATGTCTCAACGACTAAAGCCGGCCATATAACACCCATGGCGTTCAAATAACACTCTGTCCGGGTACACAGAGAGAACGAAAATCTTTTTATATTATTATATAAAGAGTTTCAAGTAGAAATATTTATTCTAAGCCGATTATTATTAAGAATTATTCTAAAATGAATATTAAATTAATTTGAGCATGGCAAACATTTATAATCTTTTCCAGATCTAGAATTATTTCTTAAAGTATATGTCGCCATAGTTACTCACACTCACAGCTACAACGACAATGCTTTTGTAGTCGTTGCTGGCAAATGAAATTTAAGCTTTTTCCAAGCAATAAATTACGACTTTTTATGACACTGCCAGCGAAACACCCAGAAAGTATGCTACGCTATGCGTATAGTTGCCTTAGCCAAGGAGCTGAATACAAAAAAGTACGTTCTACGTATCTGCCCCGTTGCCACCGCCCCTTGTAACATATAAAGGGTCCATAAAGCGCGTAAGCCGATCTGCCAAAGCAGCGCCATGGCCGAGATATCCTCTGACCGATGTCCTGTAAGGAGAGGAGTGGAGAGAGAGAGAGCAGAGACTGGCAGCTGGCTGCCAAATCGGCAAAGTCAAGTGTCTGGGAAACCGAGCTGAGGGCGGACCATGGGCAGGAAATGTTGGAGAGAAATGCGAAATAAATTGGGAAATAAAAGCAAGAATCTAAGCTAAATGGTTAGGGGTTATTTAATTTGCTCGCCGGATATTTTACACTTCTCGAATTATTTTCACAGGATTTTAAAGATAGAACAACTGGGAAAGCTAAACAAATATATAATGTATTATGTATTAATTTTAAAGTTAAGTATACATAGCAAATATTAAAAATATATTATGTTATATTTCTACTTTTTTAATATGTAAATTTATATATTTCTTGTTTTTCAGTGTCTCTAAACCACACGATACATTAAACTGTTTTTGCGTTCGCAACTTTAGTCCTGTCTTCTAATTGGCACTACTCCAGCAAATAGGACACAAGGAAAATTATAATAATTATACCAAGAGTGGCCAAAAAGAAAAACGTACAATTTGAGAACAGTGGAACGGAAACGGGGACCTACACAAGGCTCTACAACAGACACACTTAGCCGGGCCTATGGGGATGTGGCTCTCGAAAGGCAACCGCAACGCTCAAGTTACATTGAAATAAAAATACGTTAATCATCGCCTGATAAATGGCCGAGTGGAGAAACAGTTTGGCTTTGATTTATACCGCCGCCCATTCTGGGCAATTATGCAAATGGCACAAGCGGCTCCAGGGCGGTATACTTGGTCTCGGGAATCGGATTCGGATTTGGATTCGGATTCAGATTCAGATTTAGAGGAGCCTGCCTGGAGGGGCGAGCCCCGAGGCAATGAGCTGGGCGAAAATTAGTTTGGCACTTACTTGTTATAGAGCACGATATCCGGCAGCCATATATGCTCGGAGGGCACGTGCAAAGTGTCCACGCCGCCGTAATCATCGGGATTCCACTTCAATTTATAGTCGTTCCATTCCTGAAATAGCACAAAATGCACAATGTAAAATGGTTCGGGCAGAAATAGCACAACAGAAACTACAAATATGCAAATGGCAGATGGCAATTATTTATGCCTGATTGCCATGAATAATAGAGCGAGAATAAAACTAAAAATAAAAAGAAAAATAAAATATTTAGAAATATGCGTGCACAAACAATGCCAATTCAGGGCCTGAAATATGTTTTAAATATTTTATTCTGTGGTTCAGGGCGTTTAACTCGCGTATTGCTGCAATTTCAATTTCATTAATTATGCATTAATTCATTGGTCGCTAAGCTGTTGGCATTAAATTACATTTTCATAATACAATTGTGTTTCAATGTTTGCCATCCTTGTTCAAGTGTTTAATTTCCTTTCGAAGGGGTATATGTGTTTTATACTAATTATGTTTAGATAAAGGTGGCTTAAGGGCTTTAATCTGTAACTTATAATGTTAGAATAATGTTCTTTTCATTTTTAGATTAAAGAAGCACTTTGTTATTAATATAATTCCCCTCTCACTTAACCAACAGTTAAACTAAATTCCCTTAGGTTTTCAAACATGTTCCTTGATGACTGTTTCAGATTTATTTCATATTTATCTGATGTAATGTAATGTAATGATGTACCATTAAATATTTTAATTTAAGTGTCTTAAGGTATCTCTCAGTCGTGACACATGATGTGTGTGTTTTTTTTATCGCCTCTACATATAACTGTAATTATGTTGATTGCCACTTTCCCAGTATGTATTTATGCGGCCAAGCCAAGTGGGAGCCATCATGCTGGGGGGATTAAGGCATTCCGGCCCGGAATGAGGCTTCCCGGTGGCAGACACTCTCGCGTGCTGACCAAGCATGAAATTTTCCGATAATTGCAAATATAATTGAGAAGCGGGATCCCAAACCGGTTTAATATTGATCCGACTTACTCACGAAATCGCGTTTGAATTGTGATTACATGCGTTTCAGCCATTATCAGCATGAATTGCTTTCTTTATGACAAAAATCAAATGGCATTGCCTAAAAAAACCCGACCTTTCTTATTTATCTCGTGTGTGTGTTTGATCCTATTTTTTGCGATTAATTTGCTGTTAAACAGATTACAAATACGGGCATGCAGGCATAAATTAATTGAATTAAGTGAAGCAAATCAGAAATCGATGTTTATGAGATGCCAAATGTTGTTTGGGGGCCTAAAATCAGCATTGCCCGTTTATGGTCAATGGTATATATATTGCTCATTTAATTGCGGTTGCCCAGGCCATCTGCTTAAATGCATCTGCATGTTGGTCAAATACGCCCGAGCACACACACTTATGCGGCAACGTGCGCAAGCGTTTGCTGCTTTATTGACAGACTGCCGCCCATTTATGGATGGGCGTGTTGCATGCCACACCATTGAATGGTTAAGCAAACATATAGCCAGAATACCACTACAATCTCTATTGTTCAGGTTTCTATATAAAACTGCGATATTTGTTTAGTTTGTTTTTAATAAAATTCAAGTCAGCCAATCAAGGTTTATAAAGATTCAGCTTATTTTCTACTAAAGGTAAAATAACAAATCTATATACAAAAATCCTTTAGCAAAGCTTAAGTCCACAGAAAGATTGTTCAAATTAAAACAAAAAAGCAAAGTTTAACCATTTATTAAACAATAATATTTACTTTTGCGAAATTATAATTTTTACCACTCATATAAATTTATACATTTGTTTTTCTAACTGAAATTATTATCTGGAATGAAAAACGCCACGCTTCCTCTCATAATAAGGCCTAAACGGTCATTCGTCTGTATTTGGTCAAAACAAATACCTATTCAGCAGCGGTGCACAATGCCACAATTGCTCGGTGAATGCATAATTAATGTATAATTTGGAATTCTGCTTTTGTTAGTGTTTTCGGTTTTAGTGAATTGTCAAACCAAATACTTTGGATAAGCTCCGCGCACTATTGACTGCAATTTGTGTGCGAGGCATTTGCTGTGCATGTTTTATGCAAAACCGGAAAACTTTAAAGTCCCGTCCCTCCCATTCCCGTTAAAAGCATCAGGGATAAAAGTCGGATTTTGGACCAATTGATATTCCTCTTGTGGCGTTTTTGTTCACTTATTTTCTTGTTTTTTTGTGTTCTTTTGGCCAACTGCTGGCGCATTAGTGCAAAGCCAATGGACATGTAGGAGTGGCGACCAGGCAGGAACTGACGCTGGCAAGTGGAAAACGGGATCCTGGCCACTTGGCCAAGTTAGAAGTTTGGCATAATGCGAACGCGTCGAAATTGGCTAGCGAAAATTATTTTGCATTCGTCGCCAGCGAGGCATGCAAATGGCGAATTCATGTTGCTCGGAAGCCAGCTTACAGTTGAGCAAACCGCAGGAATATATATACTTATATATATCAGTAATACTATATATCATTCGTTTTAGTTTATGTGTAGCTTACCTGCTCCACCCAGACATTGGTCGTCATGATTTGATTCTTCAGATTCTGCAAATAAAGGAGATAGAGAGGGTAGATTTGTTAGATCTGAATGTTAACAAGAGTTTTATTAATTTAACTCTGACAGTTTCCACTTCTGCAGCATGCAACTCAAGTAGCAAGGAGGGGGTGTGGCTTCCACTGAAGACGAGGCGCCACTGACAGCTTCTTCAGGATTGAGTGACAGAGACCATCAAATTGGAATCGTTCTGCCCGGGGAAATACTTTTTTTCTTAGTGAATTGAACTTGTGCTCTAGGCACTGCCCGAAAATTGCCAAGAAAAGTTGGCAAAGTTTTCAGAACGGAGTCTGTTGATTGGTTATTAAAAGTATTACTTTTTCCTTTTTTTTATAGAAACGTAACAATAGGATAAGTTTGTTTTTATATTAGTCTAGGCTTTAATTTAACTATGACAGTTAAGCATTAACATCATAAGGCAACTTTTAAACTTTTAAAGTTACTTTTAATATTATATTAAAATCTTTTATAAAGGTTTATGACTATTTAACATATATATTTCTTTGTATATTTCTTCTGAGTGTAGAAAACTCTGTCTCCTCAGATATATCCACAGTTAAGATACTGCTTTTGTCGTTTTAGAAATCTATTTTGAAGTGCTAAAGCAGGGGGAAGTCGCCGGGTGAAATAAAATGGGAATTCGAATTGGTTTTTTAGTCTTGAAGTGAGCTGCAGACTCTCAGTATCATTGAGTTTTAATCAATTGCTGATGTGCTAGAGGATAACCTGCTGCAGCCCCACTTGCTGAAGTATAAACTATAAAATTTAAAGATATCTTAAAATATACTTAGAAGTCTAACTAAGCATTGCGATAAACAGATAATCGAGAATTTGTTGTTCCCAGAAATAAAAACATTTCAAATACAAAGACAAATAATACCCAGAACTAGGATTGTCTCAGCGGAAATGCTACATCCTGTTCTTTCCTTTAATTAATTTTGCAGGGCATTACAGGTTTTTCGAAGTAAATATCCAACGTTGTGCTATTAATAATTCAAGCACATCATCGGCAGACAAAGCAAGTGCTTAATTATCGTCTTAACAGATTCACGCACGACCCAGTCCCGGCTCTCAATATACAATATATCTGCCCCATATCAAGAATCTCTGGGGATGCTCCCATTACTTATGGGAGCCTGCTACCTCCCTTTCGCATTTATTTACGCGTCGGGGCAAACTCATTAAATGTGGGGAGCTCAATAGAAAAAATTAGAAAACGATAAAATTGCGGAATAAATCACTTAAGCGCTGAAAAATGTAATTAACGACAGAATGATAATGATGCGCCGTAACGCGTTTTTCGCATTTCTCTCCGCAGGATAGCTTCCGAGTTGGTCGAAACCTCAGAGACCCCCGACAAATATGTCGAGGCATGCAGTGTTAATAGATTTTGCCGGGTCCCTCTTCCAGTAATCACCCGCTCAGAGGGCTCTTAGCTCCTGCTCCTCCTCTTGGCTCTTAGCCCTTCAGTGGGCCAGGCTCAGACCGTGGAAAGGTCATTAGGCGACGAGGGCGACGCGGAAAACCGGCAATAAAACGACAAAGCCAAGAGCCAGGCACAATGGCAGCAAAGGCGATGAGCATGGCATAAGGAAGAGATAAAATGTGAGGCGCAAGAAGGGAGTATTCTAAGGATCCGGCGGCGGAGGGAATCTAAGCGCGTATCCTTTATGCTTTATGTGCGGCATCCGTTGCAACTAGTGGCTAAATCAGAGCACTTAGAAAAATTATGAGCTGCTAATGGTCTTTTAGTTTTTAGATAAAAATATAATTGATTATAATATTTTTAAATTTCATTCATTAAAACTTCGTACAACTTCATCTGCAGTAATTAAAAAATATCGAAAGAGATGTATCTTTCACTTTTCCTCTGAGTGAAGGAGATTTTATAAAAGTAGCTGCAGCTTATCTCACAAGAAATACAGAAATTTGCAATCAGGATGTGTACTTCCCCCGTAGTCTCATTCTCTGGCAGTTCACACCTAGCTTTGTAATTGGTGTTGCTTTTATCCTTGTTGCATGTCTCGGTTAGTCGCATTAAGGAGACGCCTGGCAGGAGGGACATTGCCCAACACAGGATGCAGGATATACACCACTTAAAGCCGAGTGCTTTAAACAGTCATCCTGCAGCAGGATTTGCATTCACTGCTGCGGTGTGTGCCCACTCGTGGGATCGGTCCAAGGAGCTGCAGGAACACTGCTCTGTGCCGTGCCCATGACTTGCCTGACTGGGCTTGTTTACAATTTAAATCGAATTTCCTGTGTGCCGTAAATAAACTTTGCAAAAGGCATTCCGCTTGGCATACAAAAAAGTGTCCTGTGACCACATCAGGAGGAGGCAGAAGCGGCATTTGAAAGGCGGTGTAAGCTGAATAAGCAGTAAATTAATTTCCGAAAATACCATGAAACATTTCCAGAGAAAGCCCACCTGATACCGACAATTATCAATGGGAAAAATATACGGAGAACATTTGCAAGAAGGGCGAAATATGGGCTTTTATTAATGTGTAATAATTTTAGCTTTTAATTGTTTGTTCTCAAAACTAATTCCAGACAATCATCTCCTTTATCTGTTTATATTCCAGGTTTATTAAGAGAACTTTTCCCCAGAATAGAGAGAATACCTGTTCCCCTCTCGAAAGTGAAAATCTAATTTCCTCCTGATTACAAATTCTGCAAACAAATCAGGACCTCACAAAGGGCATTCGCTTGAACAGACCCAATTTCGGTTTCAGTTTCAATTTCCCAATAATATATGAAATTTATGGACAAACATGCAATTAACTGGCTCGAAAATGTGCAACATTTGCCATTTGAATGCCTTTTGGTGGCCAAATGAAAGCCGTCCTTATATGGCAAACAATGCAGTCAAAATGTACCTCACCTGGTCGGATGGGCACCAGTTATGCAACTAATAAGCCGAAGGGACTGAGCCATGGATCAGAAGGCCGAGATGCTGGCAGGGCAGCTAAAAGGAAATGGAGACCCAAGGTTCAGGCAGATGGAAAATTGCAAATTACAAATTCTACGGTCAAAACGCATTTCTGCTTTGTTGTTATGGCTGCAACATATCCTTTCCCATACCTCCATACCTTCCTGCCATTCCTACCTCGTCCACCCCCTCTGACAGTTGATTGCAATTTCCAGGACAACAAGAGGAAAAGCAAAAAAGAAAAAATATAAAGTACAAGCACTGATTTCAGTGTGGAGAATTTACAAGCAATTGTATGCCAATAAGGAAAAGTAGGCAACACGTGTGTCCACAACAACAGCCACAGGGTGGGGCAACAAGGAAAACCCAGGATGGGGAGAGGAGCAAAGGGGGTGAGAAAGTGGGTGGAAAAAACGTGGACTACCAGTGGACTATTGCAATAAAAGAAATTCTGCGAATATTTCAAGCGAGTCAGCAGTCAAGCGCACACAGGGCGGCTGAGCGATATTCCAGTGTGCACGAGCTCACATACACAGAAAAGCAATTTCGATATAAGCACCTTATGCCAGATGCCGCAGCTTCACAGTGGAGCCAGGTTAGGTGAAATGGCGTTAAAAGGGTTGATTTTGATTCATTTGGAATGTATTTGAGATACTATCTACTAGGAAGTTCACCAATTTAAAATTATACTCTAAATTATGATATTAATGCAAAGAATCACATCTTTACTACTTAACTTTTTTTAAGACGTAACTAATAAGATAGTTAAATATATCAACAATAATTGGGAATACAGATAACTGTATTATCTAATGGAATAAACTTAATATAACTAATAAATGATATCATATAAATTAAGAGAATAAAGCTGGTATGGCAAATATTAAATTAAATTCTAAACCCTTTTAGGGTATTATTTTTTCAGTCAGAAGCTTATAACGATATGTAGGAGTCATTTGCGACCCTATAAATCATATATATTCTTGATCAGCATCAAAAGCCGAGTCGATCTAGCTATGTATGTCCGGCAAATATTTAATTTTTTTAAAAATGTGCAAAATTTTATAACGGGTTTCATTGTTAAAATTATCAAAAAATTGAGGTAAAAACTTGATTTTTTTTAAATTATAAATTGAATATGTAGATTTATTAAGCTTTTAAAAATCTAACATAAAAAAGCTTTCCGAATTAAATATATCGATAAATAACAGTTCAAAGAATGATATTATTTTTAGCTTTATTAAAATTAATTTGATAATTTAAGTACAAACTGCAAGGGTATATAAAATCCGCCTTCCCGTTGTTAAATTTCTTTCTGGTTTTTTGTTTATTTTAATTCTATAAATAACTCAGTATGTTTAACACTAATAATACAACACCATCTTATTTTAATAGGTATTCATTTTTCTCTTTTTTTTAAAGATATTTACTTGCCAGTCAGAGTTTTGACCATGACAAGAGTCTTTTCAAGTTGATGATGATAAATATGAAGCCCCTTGTGAGAATACTTTTTGGAAAACTTCCTAAAAGCATTCATAAATGTAACAAAATGATTACCCTTTCAGATGAAATGTTCCCCCATTGTATTTATAAACTCTGATGTCTTAATTCGGTGCTCTGCATTTCCCCGATTCCGCTCTGAATTAAATCTGTCCACTGCAATGTGCTGACCCAATGTGCATTTGGTTTGACTGCCTTTACTGCCACTGCCACTACCAGAGCCTCTGCCTTCGCTCCTGTTCCTGCTCCTGCCAGGCATGCCCTTTAGTGGTCTTGGTGCTTAGCGCGTGATTTATAACAGCAGCGAAAGAAAGCTAGTCGGTAGAAAAAAAAAGCGAAGCCAGAGAGCAGAAGGCACCAGCTCAGTGTCAGGAGGCGAGGACATGCCAAGGAGCCGGCGCAAACTCCGACTACTGTGTGGCCAACAGCACGTAACTGTTAGCCGGTTTCCCATTTCCGGCTGTCATGTGCAGCCAAACCGAGCAGAAGATTGTGCACCATTTGCCTGGCCAACGCAAAACCGATCTCTCTCCCGGCTGCAGCTTAATATTGCTTCGAATTCCTTGATATATAGTGTACATCGGTGGAGGCGCTTTTTGTTACTTAATTCGCGGCACCCCCCCCCCGGCAATTGCATAGTTAATCAAGAAAACAATCAACTGAGGCAGCCCCATTGATTTATTATACAAACAGCCAGCGAGACAATGGAGCTTAGTTGCCTGGCTTTTTAATCGGAGGGTAAACACAGTTATTAATTGTGCGCCGATTGTTTGCTGTGGCTTACACAAATGCCATTTGCCTACTTACCGGCATGGCAAGGCACTGGCGAGGCTTTCGCGAATTAATCTGTTATGATTGTCATTTGATAAGCCCGGAATCTGGCCGGGGGGCACACTTGTCAAACAAATGGATGGAACTCTCTCTCTCTCTATTTTTGACGGCATCGTTAACAAGAAATTTAAGCGAATTTGTTTGCGATTTGCTTAGACATTTTGGGGATCAAGGTGGGCATAATGGTTAGGGATTATTTTTCAACCATTAATTTGTGTCAAATTGAAGGGCAATTGAAGGGGATCTCTTATGAAGTAGTCTCAATTTATATTAATCAATCAAAAGTATGTAGAAAGTATGTATATGATTTAGAGGGTACTCACCACATCGATCAGCTGGGAGAGCCGCAGACCCATCTTGACAGTGAGGCGATCGGAATTATTGCCCACGGGTCGGATGAGCCGATTGTAGTTGCTCAGCAGGTCGTCGTAGAGGCGCTTCGCATCTGGGTTGGCCAGGCCGCCGGTGGCAAAGTGTAATGCTATGAACACAGCTGCGAAGAGCACGCTACCCATCTTAGGCCAGGTCCAACCCTGCAAGTGAACAAACAAATATGGAAATAAGTTGCAGATAATGTCTTCTGGGTAGGGCAGGGCATTCGGTTCTGCCTGCATTAGCATTATTTCAGCATAAAACATAAAAACTTTACGCTGCAATTGTTCAAGTGAAACAGAGCGGAAGGGGGGGACCTGACTGGTGGTGGTATAAGGGTCGTAAATTTTAGCAAAAGTGTCAAAAGTCTTGGAGCTTTGTTCCCTTTTTGGGCAGCAGTGCAGTGCAGCCATAAACACCATTTAATCTTTGGCTCAAACACTCAAGACACCATACACACCAAACATGCACATCCGTGTGAGTGCGCCGGAGCATCCTTCCGTTTCCTGCGTCTTCTGGCTGCCATTCGCATGTGCTCGGCATTTTTGTTATTCCTCAATTGCATCCTCCCCCGCAGGCCTGTCCTCCCAAAATGCTTTTTCTGCATTTATGCATAAAAATCCTGGCTCAAGTCGAGTCCAGCCACATTAAGAACAAACATGCAATTATAATCAATTCCTTACTCGGCATTCTAGCCAATTAGAGGAAGTTCTCAAAATGGGGACTCGATATACAGAAAAATGTCAAAAATAAGACAAACTATATTGCAAATAATAACAAATAAATAAGAATTGGTCTGTTGACTCTCGTAATTGGCTGGACATTGAGACAATCGAAGAACTGTTTGCTTATGCAGGAAACCATATTGGTAAAGGGACACCAGATTGATGCAGTAAACAAATATCCTTGCACTGCATACGAAATAAATTGTTATTTACATGTAATCCATGACCAGCTCGATGAAACTCTGCTCTTGTGGCTAACTCAAATAGCCTTTCGGCCAAGTGGTTTACGCCGACTCGAGATTTAGCCAAGGAAAGCGGCAAACTGGAACCCAAAAACTTTTAACTGCAAAACTGTAAGCTGGAAACTAAAAACTTTTCCGTACTTTGTTACATTTTTTCTTCTTCTTCTTCTTTTAGCTGTTCTAAAGTTTCAGGGAAAAGATTTTACGTGTCAGAAGCGGAAAAGTTTATCATAATTCGAGGTGTGCATATGTGGCCACGGCCATGGCCAATTACAATCATCAAACTGATGATGGTTTGGCCAGACGTCTAAATTAATTATGCTAATTTCATACGTAAATTGCTTGTAATTTGTGCATTGATTTGATAAAAATTCGTCTCTTTTCCGCCTCGAAATAAATCAAATCAAAATTCCAACGTCTGCATAATTCAGCAGTTGTGGCGCACAAAACACGTGTCAGTGACCGCAAAATAAAAACGAAACAAAACCAAAAAAAAGAAAAACTGGGAGAGAAATAATAATAATAACGGAGAGGGCAACATGACACATACAGAAAATGGCGACAGGGCGACAACAACACACACACACTCTATACACACACACACATGGAGAACAAGGAAAATGGCCGACATAAACAACGGCAACGAAAATGAATGTCATTTCGAGGGCTATTTATGCGCCTCTTAGTTGGCAGATTATTTCATTTTCATTTCCATATGACCATTTATATTTATTTATTATTTATACTTTCCCTCACGCATACACGTCTGGCCACAATTTGGCTTGCTGCGGCTGTCAACGCTGCGTATGCGCAATATTATTTGCTGACTATTTATTAAATTGTCTACGAAGTGTATGCCTGTGTGCGTATAAAGTTTTTGTTTGAATACCGCGACCACCCTTACCCATAAAAACCAGACGATGACGATGACGTGTCCTGCCTCCCAGAAAATAGCTCGCATTTCCATTAATGAAAAATGTAAACTGCAAAACTTTGCTCTATCTCTCCCTATCTCCCTTTTCTGCTGCCAGTTTTTTGTGGCTAAAGTTTTTAGAATAACTGAAAATGCCAGTCGCCATTTTAATTACACAAATGTTCCATTTTCATTTTGGTTATTTGTTTTTGGAGCAGCAGGATAATGAAGCAAAAAAACTGACATAGACTGTGGCCAACAGCCACTTTAATTGCAATCAGAGTCCTCCGAGTGAGAGTCAGTTTATTGCAGAATGAACTTGATTTGAGCACTTCCAACCAAGAGAGAAGGGATCTGTGAAATAATCGCTCGATGCTCCATCCTCATTTGTTGGGGATTGAAGACGACTACGACCGCGATTAGTTGCAATATGAGAGAGGAAGAGAGGGGAGAACAGCAGAACAAATTGTTATGTAATTGCCCGATGTACATAAAGATGTACACTCCATGGCAGTGCTACATACACAAAGCCAGCACTGTCCTGTCCTACGGTTTCATTCTCGCTGCTTTCTTCCATTTTATTAGCACTTGTTGGTCCTGCACAGTCATGACAAGGAGGAGGTGAGACGGTGGTGGCATAAAAATAATAAGTATCAAAAATAACTGACCAGCTCTATGGCCGTAAAGAGAATGGGACGGGCATTGAATGCACTCGACGTGTCCAACGGCGGCTATAATTTCAATCACTTCCCCGGCAAACTGCAGAAGCCAAAATGTGGCATTAAAAACACTCGTAAACGTTGAGCTGAGGGGTGTGGATTTCAGTGTATCAGTAGCGTTTGTACTTATATATTTTTTTTCATTGTGTATTTTCTTGCTTCCTTTTTTATTTTCATCCCTGTTTGAGTGCAGCCAACGAAATTGCAGCAAATATTGAAAGAGAAACTATTTGTTAGCTAGCCGTCAATTTGTTCGTAATGAGCTGCGGCTGAGTCCGAGTCCTGCCTCTTTGTTGTTGTGTTGCCTTTGTTGGTTTATTTTTGTATGCTTTTTTTCTGCTATTTTTGTTGCTGCTGTGGCACAAATGAAAATGTCTTTCAGCGTGGTAAATATTTTATGTCATTTCTGTGCTCGTCTTTTGTGCGCTTACTTGTAGTTACATCCAGCCTTCTTTTCTGCTCGCTTTTAAATACCCAATACTCGGAACACTGAAAAAGGGAATATTGTATTTTTTGGGGAATTTCTGATAAAAGGTTTAAAAACCACAAGGAATCCATAATCAGGCAAAAGTGTTGGGGGAAAATCTACTTGAAGAGAGCATGGTTTCAAAGTGGTAAGAAAATTGCTATCTTCATGCTATTTTCCAAGAACTGAATACCGGGTATGTTTATGGTCGAGGCCTTGCTTTTCTTACTCGTATTATTTTACTTTTTGGGTTCCTTTTCCATTGTTGCCTTTTTGTTTGGCATTTTTAAGCGCCAGTAAATTTTTTAGTAGGCAGAGCTGAGCAGAGCAACCGCAGCAGCAGAAGCACCAGCAGCAACAGTGAAACTCTGCCGGAAACGGCGTCGACGGCAACATGGCTGGCGAGTCAACTTCCGCTCGCTGTAAATGTGTGCGTGCGGGAGTACATATGTATATGTGGGTGTACGGGGGCCCTTGCAATTTTCCAGTTGAGTTCGTTTTTCATTTCCGTGTTATTTGTTTTGCATGCGCCACTCCGGCACTCTGCCACTCTGCCACTCTGGCACTCCATTCTCCATACTCTGCCCGCCCCCTTTTCCCCATTTCTTTGTTATTTTCCCAACGCCTTTTTGCGCTGCATACTTTTCCAGTCTGATATATTAACATGGCCGCAATGGCAGCTGCCATTTTCGGCATTGTTGTTGTAATTGCTTTTGTCTCTGTGGCACCGCTGTAATTGAATTTCACTTCGTACTCCCCATGAACACCCGAAAAGAGAAATGCAAATACCCATCCGCGTTCTTAATCCTCCGGTTCTTCATGCGAATACACCCATCCTGAAAGTTGCTGGGAGCTGATGGAAGCTGCTGGCTTTAAGGCAAAACTCAACCCATTCGAGTGCAAAGATCTGTCTAATTTATTTAAATTTATTTTATATAATTGCAGATGTTCCTTCCTTGGCCATTGATTGGCCTGTTATTAACTGGCAGACTATCTGGCTGAGTGCATTTTTTGTGAATTATGCAAATAGCGTTGAGAATTATGTGGAAAATCTTGATGCATGCATAATTTTGTGTGCAAAATTTTCCATAATTTCTTGACCCAATACAACTGGGAGTGACTGTTGGCATTCGTTCTAGGCGGCAAGTTGTGTTAGGCAAATACTCGGCAAAAGTACATAGCCAAAGGGCAAAAAACCGAATAGGGAAAAGGGTCTGCGGAGATGAACGTGGTTTTATAATCAAAGGAACGCACACACACACACACACACACACAGCTGTAATCTGCCAAAATACCTGGCGTGTATATATATTTTTTTATACTTTGGTTGGGCAAAAAGTAAAAGCTGAAATTTTGTTATTTGAACTTTTGCTCATGAGCGCCCTCAGGTAGCTTGTTAAACATTCTTTGCTTGCCTATATAGGTATATATAAATATGTATATAAACAGGCCTCTGTGTGTGTGTATACTTTTCCAAAAAGAAAACTTCAACTTGAAACATGAAAATTTGCATATGATAAGCAAATAAGCAGATGTATTGCCGTTGTTGTTGCTGCTGTTGCCGCTGCCAGGTAACTGGGAAAAGTTTTATTAGATTCTTGATTCGTGAAAGGCGGCAGCAGCGAGTCGGAAGGGAAAAGGGAAAGCTGCAAAAGGGAAACTGGTAAAAGGGAAATCGGGCTCCTGGCCAGGTACATATATAGGTAGCTCGCGCGTTTGTGGCTTGGCCTGACTTGGCCCCACCGAGATGGAGGCGGTGTCTATGAATATGCGGGGCAAATATGCGAAACATTTTAAAATTATTTTTGCATAAATAACATTTACCTAGCCTCATGTGTGTGAGTGTGTGTGTGCGGGCCAAAGGGTTGCAAATGAGCTGAAACATTTTGGCATTAGCCCCAGCACGAGGCTGGAAATTGAACGAGCCCGAAAAAGTTATGGCATAGAAAAGAGGCTTACCAACTGCCATCCCGCAGTCACTTGAGTAACGCAAATGATGTGCAAAAATGCGTGAATTGCACACACACACACATATAAGTTGGGCGAACATACACGTACTATGCGGCGTATGCGCAATATTTAATTTCAAGTGATTC